CCCCGCAAGTTTTGATAGGCAATGTACGGGTGCCAAACGTCAATCGACGCTTCAAGCATTTCATCTGTACGGACCGTCTGACTTCCATTGTTTTGGTAAACATTTGATAGATTCTGCCTTGATGTGCTATTCTGCATGGATGTAAGCCGGGGCTCAAGTATGGGTGTCCTTTGCAAGGACAACTGTAACCAGCTGGGTACGTTCTAATTATATATCTGCACTGTGATTACTTGTGGCTACGTGCGTGGATCACCCTCTCGGTCGGTGTTCTTTCGCCCCATTTCTTGCTCGACCGTGAATCGATAGTCGGACATGTATATCACACCTTGATCGGCTTCCAAGAAATTGAAGATTTTCCACGGATTATTCTCTGCAGCGCACATTGGGCAATCCCTGATAGCATTCTTGCAGCAATTTCAACGAAAATCGGAGCTAGGGTCGCCTTTAACTTCATTGACCTGCCCACAGGTTTCCCTCAACGTCATCTACGGGAAACTTACAACCATGTCGGACATGACACACCAAATGAATCCAGATACTGAAGAGAAGAACCCAAGTATTCCAGTCTCCACAGCTTATAATTAATTTCCATTACGCTGTTTGCAGATGTAAATGGTCATGAACCGTGTCTATTCTCACACAGTTATACACTATCGACTTGCGAGCGCTCTCATAGAGTTGATTCATTAAAAGATGCAAAGTCGGATCAGCTAGTAGCCATGACAATATCATTCGTCCGCTTCGAATCCATATCCAACTTGGTGAGGTGATGAGATAAATGGAAGGTATTGAATCGGGAAAGGAGCATGTACATGTTAGAAGCCGTACCGTAGTGGAAGCAAATGAGCCATCGAGCGACTTTTACATCACGTACTATCATTAAAATCCTCATGATCCAGCAAGTATCACGAAGGACGTACAGCTCGGCCCTATTCTACCTCATCTATCCTGCGAGGGTTCCGATACTAGTAAAATGGCAAGACAAAACGATAGCCCAATGGGATTTCGAACATTGGTGTTGAGCAATGATGTTGTATGAGCAGAGCAAATGACTTGATAACTAAAGGCTGGAAGTGTCCGGGTCAATGCCCATATGGGGTCGGTCTTATTTAGAAGACATAAGACCGGCGACATTGACCAGGAATGCGGTGTCGAAGGTTTTAAGGGCTGGTGTAATCGCCGTACTATGCGAATCCCTCGAAAGACGCGCGTATTGTGGCCGCACAGACGCACGAAGAGGGAACGACAAACCTATTTGTCTCGAACAAGTACAACATAGGCTTTTTTGATTTTATCTATGATAAATGTATGGAAGAATGGGAGTGGGCTTACTGCTGAGAGAACCCGTTCGTCAAATTTCCTGGTAGTAAGCACCTACCTAGGTAGGTAGTATATCATCACGTTTTGTTGCCTAATCTTGATCGTACGTGTCTTACCAACCGACCTGTGGAACCTTTTTGCTATCTTTCTTTGTTTGATCTGGACCGTAAAGGGTTGGTCCCCCTTGCTTTACTTTTATGGATACGTGTTAGGACACGCACGTATTGCACAGATCAGCCATGGAGTGCTCTCTCTGGTTTTCACAACAGTTGTATGTAGGTTGTACCTAGAATATGTAATGTGGAGGGAGCGCCATAGTTAAGAGACATTGTGTTTGCCATCGCGCACTTACCTAAGACGTTGCCTCTTCCATACATCATAGTGCTACAGTTGGACCTGCTCGATGCTCCGCCTCGCTGTTGCTGTGTCACCCTACTTATTGTTGTGCCGCATCCCTACATTTCTTGAAGCTGTTAAATAATCCATGCTCACTTGTATACTGTGACATGCATGTTCCACTTAACGCTGAGCGACATTCATTTTCGATCTTGATACATGTGGACCCGAAAGTGCAGAACTACCGACTAACTATAAGCTGCGTCTACACTCAAACTCAATGCCGATACCAGAGATTGAAAATTCGCAGGATGAAAGGGGAGAAAGATCACAACCACAACGCGAGCAGGATGATAATCAAGCGACCTATGAGCCTCGACTATTTTCCGACGTCGAACTCGTGGGAGAATTACATCCTTTATCTCGCTCTGGAGGGAAAGAGGAAGAGTCTACCGCAGCTGCAACTATTTCAAAACCATCGGCGCTGTTTGGCAGTCAATCTGAAGCTAACAAAGTAAAGCACTCATACTAGACTGTGGTTGGAATGCCGGGGCTGACTATAGTTACAGGCATCATCTTCAGCTCACATAACGCCTACGAACTGGCCACGGGCAAAGCGATGGGCTGCAACTTTGATTGTTTCCTCTTTCGCCTTCCTCCAACCACTTACTGAAACGATGCTTGCACCGGTTGAAGCGCAAATCTCGGGTGAACTGAACATCAAAAGCTCAAGGGAATGGCTTTTATGTAACTCTATCATACTCATTGGTGTGGGACTTGGGCCTTTGATTCTGGCACCCTTGTCCGAAGTCTATGGTCGAAAGCCTGTTTTACTAGGCGGATCTGCGATCTTTCTAACCTGGAATACTGGATGTGGCGCCTCCACAAATTTCGGCATGATGCTCGCTTTTCGGCTCCTGTCTGGGTTCGGTGCGTGTGTCGCAGATGCTATTGCTGGAGGAATGCTTGGAGAGCTTTGGAGACCTGAAGAACGAGGAAAAGCATTCGCAGTATATATGACTGCTCCCTTGTTGGGTCCGGCGTTAGGTCCAATTTGTGGCGCTTTCATATCAGAGGGAACGGACTGGAGGTGGATTTTCTGGATCACATCCATCGCTTCAGGCGTGGCAACTATCGTTGCAGTTCTCTTCTTACCTGAGACTTACGAGCCCGTATTACGACGTCGTAAGTTCAATTTGCGGCGTAAAGCGAGTCCTCTCTCTACGGACAAAGATCAAGCACACTTCCTCCAAGTTATGCAGACGAACCTTCAACGGCCATTTAGGATGCTTGCAACTCAACCTATTGTTCAACTCCTAGCGATATTCATGGCACTTCTATACGGCAACATGTTTCTATTTCTCTTCATATACCCTAAATTGTGGATTGATAGTTATGGCCAAAGTATTCGAATCAGCAGTCTCAACTACATCTCGGCGGCTGTCGGATATGTCTCTGGTGTTGGCATTGCTGGACATCTCAATGATCGAATATATGTCATCCTAAAAGCCCGTAACAATGGAAAAGGAAAGCCGGAGTATCGCGTACCGGCCATGATCATCGGTACACTTCTGGTTCCCATCGGATTGTTATGGTGGGGCTGGTCAGGTGAGGCGAAATTGCACTGGATTATGCCTAACATTGGGTGTGCCCTCTTCACGGCCGGATGCTATATTTGCTCCTCTTGTGTTTCTGTCTATACGATAGATACCTACGCTCAATACGCTGCATCGGCAGTATCGACTAACCTGGTCACCCGAAGCGTTGCGGCGGCGTTTTTCCCTCTTTTTGCACCGTACCTATTTCAAAATTTAGGGTTCGGCTACGGAGCGACCGTGTTGGCTGGGGGATTTACGGCTATTGGGTTATTGGTCACTATAACATTGTGGCTCTATGGCGAGAAAATTCGCGATCGGAGCACGTATTGTTCGGCGGGGACAGTGGACTAGACAGAATATGTTGCAGACGCAATGAAGTTGCATAGAATGGTAATTCTTTGGGACAACAATTTAGATCACATATGTTAGTAACTTGATCAAAGCGACCGATAAGATACTCTACAATGCCCAGGGCTGCAGATGAACGGAAGGTGATGACATTCTCGAATTAGATGCTATAGAACTCCACCTCAGCAATGCCTGTCCTAGCTGGGATAGTGACTGCGATGGGGAAACCACCATAGTCTGGATTTTCGTTCGGCATCAATGCAAATGAACCACTCCTTGTCTCATCACCACCAAGAACCCTTACTGTCTTCAAAGTACCAGCTTCTCGGTCTACTACCTTCTTCTCTGCCATGTTCAAGATACCACTCCATCGCGAACCAGCTTTTCTCGATTCACCTGCAACATGGAAGCCCCAGCCTATGAGCAGGAAACGACCTCCGCCCTGGTGTATCACCATTCCGCTACCCGACCCAGGTTTGCCAAATACAAAACAACGAGATACGGTGATCGTCCAATCCCCAAATCTGTGCGTAACAGGCTTTGAAGGATCTTTATCGCCCTTTTGCCAGCCCTCAGGTAGGTCGTCGAAGTAAAATCCAAAGCATGAATCGGGCTTCCGCTGTGCCTCTAACACGATTTGACTGACTTCTGAAAGAAGTCCATAGTGCTTTGTGAAAGGGTTTGTCGCCGGTTCCAAAGTATCGATACCGAACGGGCTAGTGCATAGCGCCTGGAAGGAGCCATATGCCTTCCAGATACGGCGTACTCCGTATTCATCACGGCGCTGCTCTGGGATGAAGAGAGGATTGTTCTTGTGTCGATACTTTGCGCAAGAGCTATCGTACTCATTGAGGTACACATCTGGTGCTATGAAGTCGAGTGATGGCGCAAATCGCAACCAGATGTCCAAAACGTTGCTCGTACCCCCGCCACTGGGGTAGTCACCTGGATTTCCGCCGCCGCCCACGATGACAGGGAATTGGTTGTCCGTGTCATCTCCTGCATAATTCTGCCAAACGTTTGTGTACAGTATTATCGGATAGGCTTCTTTGCCTGCAGATGCAACGCGTTCGATGTAGGTTGCATAATGATAGGCCATGAATAGCTCGTCTGTTTGTGAACTCTTGCCAAAGATGTCTTCCCATCCGCCAGAGCGGACCTTCCCGTCCACAAACGGCTTGAGATTCTTCTTAAGATCGACGTGAAGCCCATCGTATTCCGTATCCAGGAATTCTGTGAGTTTTGAAGGGACAGGTGAAGAAAAAACCTCATTGGCCTTGTCACTGCCATCCCGACTGTCGAACAGTAGTCCAGGCTCGTTCTCCACTTGCACCATAAGCACAGTATTATGGCCCTCATCGACCTCTTTGATGTGACTCAGTAGCTTGCTGAATGCTTTGATGTCGGCCTGCACGTTTTCCTCGCTGAATAGTGATAGAGAATCGGCTAGCTCTATCACACCTCCGGCCTTTCGAATTTCAGCTCGTGGGAAGCGCTTGGGATCTGTCTTGATCCATGCAGGGGTATATGTTGAGCGACCTAGAATATGTCAACAAAGATCACCTTTAAAGTCACTGATTATAGGATTAGTTCAGCCATGCAACCAACATGGTCCAAGATTATATCTCAAATCCAAAGATGATTGGGTACTCCGATATGAGACCGAAATGTAGGAAAAGAAGTATCGTACCATTCTTAAACGACCCGAACCACAATAGGACAATGTGAATATTGTAGCTACGTGCATCCAGGATGACCTTATCGAGCTCTTCGAAGTCGAACCGGCCTTCTTGCGGCTCGATCATCTCCCAGGTGACCGCCCCCAAAACGGTATTTATGTTGGTATCCACCATTTTGGGCCATACCTCAGCCATATACTCGGCTGATGATAGGGACGAGTTCTGTAACTCTGCACCGAGGATGAGGAACGGTTTCCCATTCACAACAACCTGGTGCGTGTTTCCATACTGCTGGAGGTGTGGGATAGTAGATTGAGACGACATGGTGATGAAGGAGTAAATAAATGTTTGAGCGGGGTTTCGAGAGAGCAGACTGAGGGGCGCAGCCGTTCTGCTATTTGTATGATGTCGACGTCCACTGTGTAAATACTTACCTTACAAGTGATCAGTTGATGGTGGAGTAAACATTGAGCGGTCTTATCGAGCTCCGATTGGGTTCAAAGCCGCACTTTTTGCCCCACTTGCGGATAACCGTATTCGTAGATGACCCACCTGAAATAGCCGATGTTACGCCCGTTCCCCTCTGGTTTTGAACGACCGTCATTGGATCCAAAGCCGCAGCCAAAAGCCAATGCGAAGAGATCCAATAGGTAAAGCTTCGCTCTAAACCAACCGACATTCAGGTAGACTTTCCATTTTCATCTCTAGTTGCGGAGATTATGCGGCTTTGGGTGTCAATGATTGCTCCCAAGTCCAAAATTACACCAAGAAACTCGATGTCGACCATCGGCATGACCAGATGGCGTGGGGAAACGAACTATTCTCCGCGCCCTAGAACTTGGGGTAACAAGCTAGTGAAAGATCTGGTGAGATTTCAGTCCTGCTCTCGTTTAGGATCCCCATGCCCCATGAATTGATACAAGACATCAACAATTGTCAACACTAATGTCCGACTGCGTATAAAGCCATTGTCGACCCCATGTAGATTCTCCTGATATCTGGATCATCAGATCTTCTGTTCATTGTCACAGCTTCCCTCTGTTCTGCAAGTGGTCATAAAATTTCTTTCCTCTCGTTGTAACATGGACACCAAAACCCCCAAGGCAACCGAAGCCTCCCAGGCTCCTTCTGGTGTCGACCACGAGGAGCAGATATTACACCAACACGACCTAGAGATCCCGGATGTAACATGGTACAAAGACCCAGGGTTGAGGAAGCTGTACTTGATGATTCCGTTTCTCTTCCTAGGTTCGACCATCAATGGATATGATGGGTCATTGTTGAATGGCCTCCAGACCTTGAAACCATGGCAAGAATGTATGTGTGGTACTTGAACTACAGTCAAAGTATGCTCATATTGTTAGATTTCGACCACCCGACTGGCGCTCGCATTGGACTGTTCACAGCCATGCAAAATGTCGGTGCCATTGCTGCAATGCCATTCTCAGCCTACGTCGCGGACGCTTTCGGCCGTCGAATGGGCGTGACTATTGGACTTGTTGTGCTCTTTGTCGGAGTAATCCTCCAAGTCGTGCCTGGCGTAAACTCGAACATGTTCATCGGTGGTCGCTTTTTAGTTGGTCTTGGGTGAGTCTCCATCTGCGGTGCCAATGTGTACAGTCAAAGCTAATCAGAGGAACAACAGGTCCAACCTCGCTCAAGGTTCCGCGCCTCTCCTGATTATGGAAGTATCCCACCCACAGCATAGAGGCAAGCTTACGACCATGTACAATACCCTGTGGTACGTTGGGGCTATCATCGCAGCCTGGACTGTCTTCGGAATGGTCGACTACACATCGGATGTTTCTTGGATATTGCCGACATCATTACAAGCCTTGATGCCACTGGTCCAGCTCATAGGAGTCTGGTTCCTGCCGGAGAGCCCACGTTGGCTTTGTTCGAAAGGGCGCTTCGACGATGCCTTTGGGGTCTTGTCAAAGGTATTCATTCCGTTACCCATGTATCGATCGATCGAGGCTAATCATTGACAGTATCACGCCAACGGTAACAGAAATGATGCATTTGTTCAAAAGGAGTTTCATGAGATTCAGGAAACTATCAAGCGTGAGACACAGAACTCAAGAGATACAGAATGGATGACTCTTCTACGGACGCCGGGAAACCGTAAGCGAGTCCTTCTGATCATTTTGGTCTCCTTCTACTCGCAAGCATCCGGAAACGGTCTCGTTTCTTTTTACATCAAGGACATCCTGGTCTCTGTTGGTATTACAGAGCCCCATGATCAGTCACTCATCAATGGTGGTGTCCAGATATGGTCTTTCCTGGTTGCTATCTGCTTCTCCGTCTTTCTCGTTGACCGCTTTGGAAGAAAAAAGCTGTTCATGATCGCCGGTGTTGGCATGCTAATTGCCTTCAGCGTCTGGACTGGGTAAGGAATCATTCTGTTCCTCTAATTGCAATAATCCTCGCTAATCCTGCTAGATGCTCTGCTGTGTACGCCCAGACGAAGAATCCAGCCGCAGGTAATGCTGTCATCGCAATGATCTTCCTCTTCTATGGCGCAGCTGGTTTCGCTTGGCCAGGTCTGACCGTCGCGTATTGTGCGGAGATTCTGCCATACAACATCCGAGCGAAGGGCGTTGCACTCCAGTTTGCTGCAACATCTATTACATCTGTTGCGAAGAACTACATCAACCCGATTGGACTGCGCGAGCTTCAATGGAAGTTCTATTTCGTCTACATCGGAATTTTGATTGTCGAGTGTATTTCCATCTGGTTCTTGTTTGTTGAGACCAAGGGTCCAACCCTAGAGGAAATCGCAGTTCTCTTTGACGGTGAAGCGGCAGCCGTTGCAAACATCGAGGAGAGCGATATTGGTATGGAAAAGGATGAAGCATCCAAGGCTGAGCGTATTGTCTCAAAGTAAAGTGACGGGGCAGATGCAATGTCGCACCATCCCTGTTTCCTACATATCCGGGCTAATGTCAAACACCGCCCTCATGTACATATTTATTCAATTTACAAGCATGAAAGACTCTATGCTAAGATCTCCTTAGCACGGAAAGTGCATCGTTTACATGCCGCTCGCGAGCATTTTCAGGCGAATGAGGTGCCTCGGGGGCTTTCTCGTCTACCGGCATCGCATGTTGTAGTAAGAATTTGACCATCCACCTATCTGCACGATGGGTGTTCGGGTCTGGGGAGCGTAGGCACATATTTTGGAACGCGAAAAGACGATCCGTCTACCTCAAATTAGTATTTATACTTGTTTGCCACATGGAATACACACCATCATCTCTGCTGTAGGCCAAAGCTGTTGCAGCTCCACGAGGGTCTCAAAATTCCCATTCAATCTCTGCCTCGTCACGTTTAACAAGGCCGTATCCCCAAACAACAATTCATGAAGTAGTGCTGAAGATGACACGACGGTCATGTGGGCGACTGTGAAATACAATGGCTTGCAGCCTTCTATTCGTTTCGACAATGCAAGCATATCACTGAGTTCGGCTGCACTCCTTTTGCATTGGGAAGCATACAAGGCTTGATTCGTACATTCGGCAAGCTCCGAGTCGAGGAATGGAAAGTAGAGCAGGGTAGAGTAATGATGGAGACCAAGGTGAAGCGCTACCAGATCCCGACCCAGGCCTTTGGAAGCGTATGCCGAGAGGTTCGATTCGTCGATACGCTGTTCTGGAGGCAGCTCGCGAACGAAACTTTCGATATCTTGCGACAAACGAGCGGTAACTATTTCGATCTCGAAGTTATTGAGCCGCCCATCAGCGTGTTGCTTATGTAGGTCTCGGACCTGGCCGAAGATTCTCGCTAGCCGAACCATCTGCGCCCACAAGCCGATTCTTTGTGACTCTATTCCTGCGGCGGGAGTGTCGGCATCCATGGCATAGAAGTCCAATTCATGCATAGGATATGGAACAAAATCATTGTCCGGCATCTGTTTAGAAAGGTCCAAACCCGCAGAGCTCCAGCGATCAGTCATGTAGAGGCTCCACCATGTTCGCACTCTCTGCTCACGTGTAATCCAGTCGTCAGTCACTTTTGGTTGAGGCAATTCCACAATGTGTGCAATGCGGAAACCGACGGCGAAGAATAGAGATTCCCGGTTTCGATCGTTCTCTGCTCCACATAGATGACCGACAAGAATGCAAGCCTGAATAGTTGCCAAGCTGAAGTCGTCCATACATGCCTTAAGATCGGCTTTGGCGAGCTCAATATAATGTTCTCTTTTGCTCTGGACAAGCGGGGAGGGATGAAAACGCGCGGCGAGGCCTGCGATGGAATAGAGAAGACGATCGCTAAGACTAGATTCTCGCACTTGTTGTCGCAGTCGGGAAGGATGAAAAAGCGTGTGGGGTTTGCCATGAAGCAGCTCGAGATAGAGATCCACAAGCTCAATTGCAAACGCCGTAGACAGAACTTCGACAGGACCTTGCACTACCGGAGGGGAAAGGAATGCAGGTACCTTTGGTAGTCTATTACCTAGATCGAGCGAGCAGGACGTTCCCTTTCGCGCGCACTGCTCGCATGGCCCATAATCCCTCACCTTGCAACGGCGTTTTTTGGATCGACATTCTTTGCAAGCACTTGCAATGCGCATCGCAGAGCGGAGGGCGCAACCTTTAAGGTATGTGGATTTTGTGTTAAGAGTTGTTGAAGTAGGAAGCACCCAGTCACACTATATACGGTGTTGGATTTTGCCTAGGCCTTTGTTGCACTAGACCAGGCCTAGATCTCAGTTAGACTTAAACCAGAACACTCGTAAATATCTACTTACAATAAGCATCATTATAGCTTATACTAGTATTCGCCCATGTATCTGTGGCATTGCACACAACTGGCTGGATTCCTCTACTGAGAAACATCAGAATTGATGATGATTTATAAATCCTATGCACAAATTTCATCTTTTGTGATCAGAAATGTACTTTGAATGATCAATAATGAGGCAAATTTTACTAACCTCAATGTATTAAATGCGTAACGCAAATCACCATAACTCTAGAGCGAGGAATTTGGGCTTCAACTCAGACATGGGAGCATCTATCTTGGCTTTGACCGGCGCAACGCAAACCACACAAGCGTTTGAGTCCGGCGAGTTCATCAGACTTCCGCAATCGACATGTGGAACTAGACTTAACAGTTTGTTTAGTACAGGATCGCAAAAGTTCCATTTCTATCCTTTCAAAGAGCAGGTTCCATAGAGAAAGGCATGGCACCGTTTCAGAACCATCCGTCTGTTTCGACATTGATTCACTCTTACCTTGCTTTGAGTATGGGTTAATAGATGCACGAAGATTCTTACTTGGATGAATGCCACAATCATTTCTCATGCAAAAGATATTGCAGTGGTCAATGGGGTGCGATTGTAGACGGTGCATCGCTGTTGTCGTGATGCTACCCTAGATCGGCCATATAGCCTACTTTAAGACGCAAAAAGTCCCCGCATTCTATCCATGCATAACCTATAAGAACTAGGCAGGGCCCGGGTTCTCATCCGTTCCCCAGATTTCCCTCGCATTAGCTTAACTTGATGTTGACCCCGCAAGAATGTAGACGTTTTGTGAATCACCAAATGCTGATACACGATTATGGAAAGACGTTGCGGGGATAAACTTTGTATACAACACGGGAGCTACAATTGCAGTTGTCGACCACGACTTCGGTTATACCTTCGGTTATGTACTATTATCTACTTATGGTGCACTCGAGCACCTGGTTTAAACAATGAGTAACTCCACTCAGTACATTTAGAGATTTTCCCTAAAGGATAGCATTTCAACGTTCTCGCTTGACACCTGCCAACCAACAACATCATGACCAAAGTAACAGAACCAACTCCCTCGGTTCCCGAAGCTACCACCACTCGCTCCAGCAACCTTGCTCCCGGAGTCGCGCTTGTCACTGGTGGAGCTCGTGGTCTGGGAAATGCAATAGCTGTGTCGTTTGCTAGAGAGGGCGCACGGGGGGTTGCCATTATCGACATTCAAGACGAAGAAACGTTGGCAAAGGGGAAAGCTGCAGTTGAAGCCTTCGGCACCAAGGTTCGTACACATGGCGCAAAACGCTTCAATTCACTTGAATCATATTGCTTACACTTGCTTTCGAAAGTGCATCGCTATACGTGCAGACGTCACCAAAGAAGCTGATGTTGAGCGAGCAGTTGATAAAGTAGTGAAGGAATTTGGGCGACTCGACTATGCTGCGTAAGAATGACATATTCAATTTTATTGGTCTGCACACCATCATGCGATGGTTTCTTCTGACGATGACCATAGAAACTTCGCTGGTGTCATTGGGCCTTCTACAGAGATTGCCGACACACCGCTCGAAAAGTTCGCGGGCTGCATGTCTGTGAATTCAACAGGCGTTTTTCTCTGTACGAAACACGAATTGCGCGTAATGAAAACTCAAAGCCCGAGCCCAGATGTGTAAGACCTCGTGATTGTAAACTTTCTACGAAGAAGATTACTGAATCAGCGCTCAGTGAGCCCGGAAGGCTACAGCAGCGCGGTTCCATAGTCAATTGCGCCAGCGTCAACTCTTTGATGTCTATGCAAGGCGCTGCAGCGTACACTGCAAGCAAACATGCCGTCCATGGCATTACAAAAGCAGTATGGACTGGCCCCCTCAGCATCTAAATCCACATATCTGACGTTGTGACAAAAAGGCAGCGCTCGAGGCACGCTCCCACGACATCCGTGTAAATGCAGTATCTCCGGGATTCCTTCTTACGCCTATGATAGCAAATAGTATGAATGATCCAAAGAGCAGCCTTAACGAGGAGGGCAACGATGATTTGTGGGAGAGACTTGAAGCGCGGCAGGGTAGACAGGCGCAGCCCGTCGAGATCGGAGATGCCGTGGTTCTGCTGAGTGGACCAAGAATGAGCTTGGTCAATGGCGCGAATTTGATGGTCGATGGCGGTTTTACTATCAACGAAGGGTTTGAATGAACCTATTGATGGGGGATGGCTGCAATGGTCAATGCCAAAAATGAAATACACCCCTTCTATGATACACAAGATCTAGGGTATGCGATATCAAGTTCTCTCATCTGTGACTATGTAGATATTGTGCTGCCCCTCGCTTCTAATGCTGCAGCCATATATGCCTGGACAGATTCTGTTGTAAATGGTAATGGTAGTTGAGACTTCTGCATGCTAGTTGGTGGCGACCTTGGCCTATATCTGCTCTCCGCGTGAGCGTCGTATAGGGCAGGGTACTTTTCGAAGAACCTAGGGTCTAACTTGAATCGATGGATCGGATGTTCCCAAGAGGAGGAGAATTTCACGGTGCTGATTTCACGCAACAATTTCAACACCGTGAACTGCTGCTGACTCTGACTATCCAGAGGTCCAAATACAAGTGTTTTCTCAACGAGATCCATGAGATTGTAACCATAGCCCTTCCCTGTCGTGGGCTGGTCAAAATCTGATGGTTCCAGCCGAGGTATCGCGCCTTCCACCTCGACTACGAATGAGTCTGTCATATCGCAGATAACCTGATCCACATCATAGGATTCGTAATTCAGGATCAATATATCACGTAGCCCGGGATGTGGCACCCAATCGAGGATGCTTGGGTATCTGGGCCTAGATAACTGGATGAGTGTTGGTGTGTTGCCAGGCGGCACCTGAGTTGCGGCCTCGTGGCTGTGAATGGACTGCCACCACAAAAGACGTCGTGCCCGTGAAAGAGACTGTGTAACATTGAACCAATATTTCACAGATGGCCAGCCATGTTCTAGGAAAGCGGCGAACATGTTGTCAATAATCTGCGGGATACTGCAAGGAATTAATGGCTCAAGCTCATCCAGAAGTGTAAAGATGGAGCGTTGTATCGCTGACCTTGAGCCCTGTTCAAGACCACTTCCCAGACGTACAAGTCCATGTATATGATCAAGATGCTGCGACAGGACAGATCCGTGGTAGACGTGAAGCTTTGGCTGAAGGCGAGGTCCTGGAAATAGATTTGTCATAGCGAAGCCCATCTTGCTGGCCTCGAACAGGGACTCCATCGGATCCAACACCCTTTGGGAATGCGTGGAAATATCTTCTGCGTAAGTTGTCTCTCGATGTATATTGCTGGTGGAGTCGATCATATCTAACTCGTTATTTGGATATTGCTCGGCATCGTGTCTAACGGAGATCGATGTCGTTGAAGTGGTTAGTGGAGATTGAGTGTCTGTATCTGGAGGGTCCTTCCAGAGATCATATGCTTGATCATCGAGCATATCTGTTTCCTGGGGTCCAGTATCATTCTCACAAGATTGGGTTTCTTCGTTCTCTGTATTCACTATCAACGGATGCAAACTTCCGCATCGTGCTGATCTCACCATGATCGTCCAAAACAAGCTTGATGCGCTCTCCTAGTTGCGTAGCTGTTGCAGACAGACTTGCAAGCTTCTTACGCGTATCAAGGAGAGCAAGTCGCAACCTCGAATTCGTGTCTAACAGCTCATTAATCCTGGCGCTGTCTCCGCCTTTGGTAACAGTAGCAAGCTGCTGTTCGAGCTGCTGAATGCGCGCTGCTTTGCGCTCGCGTACAGCCTTTTGTGACAATCTATTTCTCAGTCGCCTGCGATCATTAGCAAATGAACTGCTTCCCTACAACCAATGATTCATCAATGGTACCTCTGATCTTCGCGCCAAGATGCAGGGTCGGCACTTGGGTCTTTCTGCACGCGCTTTGGAGGCATTGTCTGACTGCGTTGAATTCAATGCTCAAATGGAGAGAGCGGATGAAGTACAGATATGAGGGTGAAATGCATGACAGGACAACGTTCCAGCGGCCAAGCAAGCTCGGATTGACTGATCCACAGCTGAGACCGAGGAATGGGAACTGCGGGGAAATTGCCAGACCCACTTAGGTAGATCAGTCAAAAGTATGGGGTCAACTTTGAATATCCTGCTTCCACCTGGACGCATTTTAAACTTTGTGACTACTAGTGAATGTTTAAAATCTGAACGCCAATCAAATTGAATGTGCGCCAGTGGGTTTGAGGTATCGGAGGAGCGAAATGTCGGAGTGCGAGTAAGTAACACCAGAGTCAGTAGCTCTAACATCATTGGCGCCAGCATTGGAGTGGCTAGCCCAACGGCCAGACCTTGGAAGAATTGAATGATGAATCAGACTTTGATGACACGACTGTAGTGCCTAAAATTCCACCTCACCTCAATACCACTAATTAGCTGTTGGATCATGGCAGTGCGACAAAGCGACACTTTCATTTGATCCAATATCAAGTGGTGCATGTTCAGTCTTATGAGCTTGGCTGATACCATTGTCATTACTAGCATAACCTTGTCATTCGAATGCGAAATTATAAGTCGACGGAGTTTTCTATACTACAACCTCGCTTTTATTCACAGCAGTATGCGATCAAGTCAATATGCATTCGTGTCGCGGGAGTACCTACAGCTTACCTCGTCAATCATCGCATTCTGATTCCCATCGTCCGGATTGCTCCGCTCGTGCGCGAAGTTTATCTCAAGGCATTATCACTCAATCTTCCTTGCTTGCCGACATTGGTGTTTTTCCAACTTGCATCTGATGAAGAAGCCCACAGAGGTGATGAGATATTCATTCTTCAGTGAAGAAGTACATGAAGAAATCACGGCCAGGGAACATTGCGGTGTTGATAACGAGGGGTTACTGAGATTCCCGAAGAAGCTGCACAGAACTGCGACCAAAAGAGTAGCAAGGGGAATACATTGATTGTCATTTCTAGGCGGCCGGCAAAGCAATGTTCCTAAGCGAAGTTATCTTGCACCACATCAGAAAAATTGTTCTATCAACTCAATTTCAATGCCCGAGTACAAACTCAACTTGATTCGCGATAGTCTTTTGGACTCAAGTTTGTCGCTTATTAGATGCATTATTTAAGTCTATATTCTTCTAATATCTGTTGATCTATTCCCCATATTACCCTAAAGGGTAAGCCATATGCAGAGCATTAGTATCTTCCTACTACGCAATGAGATCGTCCAAGCCGGTCCACCTTACCAACGCACTTATGAATTATTCCCGGTTGCGACACCCCAGAAATACGCACACCAAGCCCCAAGAATCATGAATATCATTGCAATGAACAGACCTAGGCTCAATTTTCGATTTCGTTCTCCGGCCTTCCCTGTCTCGAATTTCTCTCGCCGGTCGTTGATGAGTTCTCCGTTTGCCATTCTCTGTTTCTTCGTGAATTGCAAGATACGTAAGTCCGTACTCCAGAAACTGAGCGCGAACAAACTTCCAGCCACCACCACAGCGCCGGCTGTTTGGACAACATAGACTATAACAACATTGTCGTACGAGTTCTTGTCCCTATCCTGGATGACGCCAGTAATGATGCGAATAATGATATTCATGCAGTTGTTGATTGTGATTTTAATGGCATAGCCAGTGCCAAAGACTTCCTGATACCACATGCTGGTGCGTATGCTATCGATGATTACCGTGGGCCCAAGAGAAGATGCAAACGCAAATACACCGAACGAAGCTGCAGTACCTCCTATGGTAGGACCCCACGCAGCTAAACACATGGATAGAAGCATGCCGGCGGCGCAGACTACCATCACACTGATGCGGTTGCCAAGAAGGTCGATAAAAATTCCGAGAAGTGGTACTAGAAAGAAGCCAAGGTATTGCGACATAGCAGCATACCAACCTGCGGTAACAGCATCAATATCAAATCGCTGTTCGGCCATCTCGGTGGCATTCTGCGAGTAGACGATAGCAGCGCTCGTCTGAAACGTCGTGAAGGCAATGATACTCCAGAAGGTCCAAGGAAGACGTAACATCTTGCCGAGTTCAAATTTCTTGTTATTTTCCGTTAGTTTTTCTCCCGTTGCAGGATCAGTAGTTCCTGCATAGGTCTTCCGGCACCACCTGGTGAAGAACCAAAAGATGAGTGTCATAACGTTGGTGAAAAGGTTCATGAACACAGCGGTCCAGTACACCCACATGAAATCGCCAGTTTTCTTTGCAATAACATTTGCTGTCGCCTTGCCAACGAAAGACCCGATCTTGCCAATGCCGAGCTCCAACGCCAACGTTGATGCGAATCCATTGGACGGTGCGAACCAAGAACTGAAGATTTTATACTGAGCAACCTGAGTTGCAATGTCTCCTAGAGCTTTCACGACAGTACCGAATATCATGAACTTGTACGATCGGACGGTGGTCGCAGCGGCGATGAAAATGGACCCGACACTGAAGATGGCATTGCCCCAGAGCATCGCACCTACAACATGTCAGTCTTGACCAAGCTCGTATTGAGACTATTAGAGGATCCTTACTTGCGCCACCGAGACGATCAGTGACAAGCCCACTCACAAGCATAAGCGCCGTGACCATAAAGTCCTCGCTTGCTTCCAGAACCGAGAATTGCGCGTTGTTAATGTGCAGTTGCTGTAAATCCCTTAGTTAGATGCATGAAGCCTGAGACAGGGAATTGTCCGACCAACCTTCTTTACGGTGCTCTTCATTGCTCCAGTTACTCCGCTGCTCCAATGGGCACCAAACCCGATGGCGCTGACCATAACCACGGAGAGGAGCTTCATTTTGAGTGGGATGTGCGTGCTGCGCCCATCTTCGCTCTCGTCACTCACGGAGGGGGTCGTAACAGTGGCAACAGCATGGCCAGGCTTTTCGTCCAGTTGTGCCTCCATCCCACTGGGTGACTCGATCGAAACTCTTTGGGCCATTGTTGACTATTGTGCTATTGTTTGGAAGCACAAGTCTGGGTCCAAAAATTATCAGATGAAACTAGGGTGGATGAAAGGAGAGATAATCTTTTGGCAGGACTTCCACGCTATTATGTTGAGGTAGAACTACTCCACATTTACCTACGAAATTGGAGGCACGGTGACACCGAGAATAGTTTTTTTTTCTCTCCAGTTCAAGGTCGTACGTCGGTACCTTTTCGGTGGTGTAGACCAAGAAGGGGTCGACTAATGGGTTAACATGATTGAAGCAGCAGCCAACTTGGGTTAACTGCAACGCCCGTCAAGTGGCATGAGTTAGTTCACGATAAAACTACCTTCCTCCGGGATCGGCCCCGTAGTGAATGCAAGTGGTCATGTTTATTGTAGCCCGTAGGCTATCCTTTCTTCATCACGCCTGGATTTAAAGACACCCTGAACGTGATTTTGGGTATGCTTGCAAGTGAGCAGGTTCGAGTAATAAGCTCACGAGACGCGCGAGACCCTGACAACCACGCAACAGACTAGAATCCTAGATTTTGAGGTCGCTTAAATGGCAGCGGGGCAAGGCGTGAAAGCGGATCTTAAATACGAGATGGAGATGGAGATGCGGAAATAGAGGAAAACGCGTTGTTGCATTGACCGGGTTGACTGCCGGATGGGGCTAGTACATTGCAAATTTTTATCAGATCCATTGGTGAACAACATCTTAAAATCTATCAGATCCACCTTGGAATCCAACTGCAGTCAAATTGCCTTGGAGTTTCTACGCTACTTACAAGGCGGAAATCTGACTCGACTGAATATTTAGGTTTGTTGGGAGCTGTTGGAACGGGAGAAGTCGGGCTGTAAGTTTCGGCAGAGCAGACCTACGGACGGAGAATTCCTAGGCACGATCATCATAGTACTTGTTTGAAGAATTTCGGGATTTATGTATGACGGCCGGCTCAGCTGGCATCGAAACTACTTTTTTTAATCGCAACCTGAGTCTCCATCACTTATATTTCATTGGTAGACCAGGCGCCCTAGGAATTCATCGAGGCAGGCCAAACATACTCCCAGCCCAGTGGACAGGACAAGCTGGGCACTCTCTTGGTAGATTGGACCCAGTTTGTAGGGTTAGCGCCCAATAATACCTCGTACCTTTGAATGTCCATGGAGCAACTAGACCAGATCTACCAGAGCATGTGTATATCCGTGCAACATTAAGGACGTGGCGAGCATAACCAGTTGCCACAGATCATGCGACTGGCAATTGGGTACGACTTCAATCAAGAAAAGATCCGCTTTAGGTCAGGAAAGGAACTAGGTAAATGTTCTCTTGGACCATGTTGGAAGTTCTCATTTCCTGGTTGATTTCCTTGTTCATCGATTTTGTGTCTGCAGTTGTACGAGGTACTTTACATATAGCATAATGGGATATATTTCCCGCGAGATGCGCTTCCATTCATACTTCGCGAAGGCTTCTATGGAAATAAGCAAAACCTGTTTCCTGGTCAGCAGCGGCATTGTTGGGTGCATGAGTTCCCCGCTTTCGCACCGCTGCATGGAAGATACTTGTATGGAGTACCAAACAATACACCACAGCCTTGCTAAAGCTTGTGAATACGATCTTATCATATCTGCGAGAACGGCGGACCAGCCTCGTGGGGCACACAATTCTTCACGCAAGGGACAATTCCGTGCGCGATCCAGAGGGAAGCAGTTACCGGTATGGCCAGAATAGCATTCGTGAAGCACAGATAATCACAGTTTCTTGGGTCGCCGCCTCGTGAAGATGTAGGTGGCGCGTCTCTAGTTTTGTCACTCTTTGCCAACTTAGTCAAAATAATTGACGATCGCAACGGCAGACGGCAACCGAGATCCGTAGGGAATGATTCCGGCATTGGAGCATACAATCTGTCTGCGAGCCTTTGGAATTTGCTCACGGAGGAAAATGTACTCGATGTATGCCAGATGGCCGTTGCGGTTTACATGAACGCGCCAATTCTTTTGCATATCACAGGAACCTTATTGAGACAAAAGGCCGACTTCATTGGTGCGCGTGTGTTTAAACATTGCCATGTGAGTCTCGTATGTCAATTTATCCTAATTATCAGTTTCTCTTTTCAGAAATTGTGGGGATCCTTCGGGATTTATGGGTCATTCCAATGGAACTACCCGTGTCAAGACTTGACCAGGGACAACGGAATAGAATGGTCTATGCAACTAACAGCCCCTTATCTGATGAATTTTTATCGTCTTGCCTAAGATCTGATGACTTCGTGTTTGGCGTGATGATTCGAGAGAGAGTCTGCAACCCGCAATACTTGACCAACGGGTTGCCCTTACTGGGCCGCACCTCGTATTTCATGAATTGGATTGACAAACTACATGTCGACCATCTACAGTTCTAGACGACAACATGGGGCGAATGCTCAAACTAGATAAAAATCTGCACTCATAGTGGAGAGTAACCACCAGAATGCACATGTCATTCGACGAGTGAGAGCAAGTATAAGAAGTTGAAGTTATCTCGTCTCCAGGGATAGCTGTAGTGTTCAAGCTCGCCAACTTCACAACAGTACTTACCTACAGCGCAGTCTGAGGACTAGCAACAATGGCTACCACCGACAAAGGGAACCCGCAAGACCAGATCACGCCCGATCCGGTCGACACGGGCTCGTACCATGAGGATGAAAAGCCGAAGCCAGTTGATGTCGGCCACCAGTCCAAGGGTGTTACCCGTATGGAGGCCGTCTATCGCGAAGGCAAGCAAAGTCGCAAGACCTTTTGGCTCGTTGGAGCTTCAGTCCTCGTCTGTGCCTGGGCCTATTCACTCGACACTACCACCACGAGCAACTACAGTGTCGATGTCTCCTCGTACTTCAACCAACACAGCTCGGTCCTGGCCACATTGTCCATCGCTACAAAGATCATCGGCGCCGTTTCGAAGCCTTTCATCGCCAAGATTTCGGATATCACCTCCCGCCCATACACATACATTTTGGTTTTGATGTTCTATATCGTTGGTTACATCATCATCGCAACATGCTCGACTGTCTCCGCCTACGTAGTGGGTGAATCGTTTGTAGCCGTGGGAAGCGCTGGATTGGACCTTACCAGCGATATTATCGTTGCTGATCTGACACCTCTGGAGTGGCGTGGTTTTGCCAGCTCTCTCTTGTCGGTACCTTCAATCATCAACCCCTGGTTCGCTGGAAAGATTGTCGATGCCATCCTTTCAAGGGATCAGTGGCGATGGGGTTACGGCATGTTCGCTATCATCATGCCCGTTGTGCTCGCTCCGGCTATCGCAACCCTAGTCTACCTCGACCGCAACGCTAAGAAACATGGTATCGTCAACATTGCTTCAAGCAATGCCGCCCGCCGTGCTGCCCAAACTCTCGCCGCCGAGGAGGGCAAGGAAGGACCACATGGAATGGTCACCGCCCAAGCTGCTGAGCCGACCAAGACTTGGATGGAATCCCTCAAGTACAATCTTGAGGAAATCGACGCTTTCGGCCTGATCCTCTTAGGATTCGGATGGTCTCTCTTTCTCCTTCCCTTTTCGCTCAGGACATATGCCGACGGCGGCTGGAAGAACCGATCGCTCATTGCCATGCTCATCGTTGGAGGCCTTCTTCTCATCGCGTATGTTGTCTATGAAATGAAGTGGGCTAAGGTGCCCAGTGCGCCTCGTCGTCTTGTCTTCAACAAGACCTTCGCTATGGCCATCATCATCGATTTCTTCTACCAGCGTAAGTCTATCTGTTTCCTCCTTTTAAGTCTAAATTACGTCTAACCGTTCCGTAGTCGCTGGAAGCATCCGCGCTTTGTACTGGAGTTCCTACGTATACGTTGGCAAGCCATGGAGCCTGCAAAACTGGACTTACTACAACAACACCTTGACCATTGCGCTGTGCGTTGGTGGCCCTATGACTGGTCTTTTGCAGCGATGGACCCATCGTTACAAGACCATCCAATTGGTTGGTCTTTGCATCAAGATCATTGGTATGGGTATCATGCTCGACGGCCGTATGGCTACGAACACCGACGCCGCAATGATCATGTGCCAAATCCTCATCGGTTTCGGAGGCGCCATGTCTGTCGTTGGTTCTCGTGTCGCTTCCCAGGCCTCCGTTCCTCATCAGGACGTCGCCCTTGCCATCTCCCTCCTCTCTCTGTGGTCTAGCGTTGGATCGGCCATCGGCGCTGCTGTTGTTGCCGTGATGTGGTCTCACGAGATGCCCAAGGCCCTGCGCCAGTACCTCCCGGCCAGCGCCACCGAGAAGGATGTCAAGAAGCTCTTCAGCAACATGCGCACTGTTCGTACCGCTTACAAGTTCGGAACTCCCATGCGTGAGGGTGCTGTCACTGCCTACAGACACGCACTCTACCCTTGCATTGCCACCGCTCTCGCCTTGGCCTTCATTCCTCTCATCGCCGCTTGCTTCCAGACCGACTACTTCCTCGGAAAGCAGCAGAACGCTGTCACCAATGTTGGAAACGACGGATTGCCACTCGCCGAGGACCACCACAACGAGAAGGAGCAAGCGCCACCAAAGAACAAGAAGGAGGCTTTCCTCCGTTTCTGGGCTGGCAGGTAGAAAGTTTCGTCTGTCTACGATGAGTGACTACTATGCGCTATACTGTTGCTAGGGTATAGCTCCAGGGTCACGAATATGGCATCATTTAGAGAAGAAGTGTGTCACTAGAAAAGCAACATTCGTTATTCCCCCAGTCTATAATACGAACCATAGCATAAGCAATAATTTACTCAAAATTCAATTCCTTTCCATTTATGCTAAGCATAGTGGTTGTACATACATTTATATCAAGTCTCAAGCCGAGAAGTTACATTCTACTTTTCCACATCTAAGTGCAAATGTTCGTGTCTTGTGTGAAAGATACATGCTTGTTACTACGTGATCTCAAATGTTGCCCACGGCAAATAGTTCTTCAACCTAGAATGAATCGAATCAATCGGTTTCTACTCTAGGTATGTGTTCGCCTCAATTCGCCCTTGCTGAATGTATGGCCTAGATCGTGTAATTCCTCTACACACCACATCAACATTTTAAAATTTCGAAAATGTGTTACAATCATTCCTGCAGCTTTATTCACTCAGTGCGACAGGTTCTTAGAGTGCATCACCTAGATATGAGGTGCAACCAAGCCACCGATAGGCCTTTGTCAATACCGTGGCTGGTGAACTCAAGATCGAGGTAATACTTGGTGCAATGCTCAGTCGCTCCACGATCGTCTTTGTCGAATGTATTAACAAACCTCTTAATCTATTTTGTTCGTTCTTTCATGGTGGAATATCTCTACGCACAAAATTTTACATCATGATCAACTTATGCGAAACCATAACGGAGGAACCCATACTCGATATCAAATCACACCACGTCCAAACAGCACTAGCACGGAGCCTAGAACCAACTTCTCAAACAAGTTGGGAATCCACATGCTCAACAAACCAATAATGGAAGACACCGAAAAGGAAGACTAGACCAAGCATAATCTAGATCTTACGGTAAAATTGCCGATCAATTGTGTACGTGAAACACAATGCGGTGAGGAATTGTATACAGCACATCATATTCACAACGCCAGTGACATGTTTTGTTTCAAGGCGTGAGCTCTCGTGGAAACGAAGGAGCTGAAACACATTCCTGTAGCCTGTAAGGTATAAATCAGCGGTCAACATAGACTATCATCACCAATTGATAGCTGTAGTCTTACAATTCAACAGTCTAGATTTATCAGGTCGCTGCGCTCAAGTGCCCGAATCAGCACCTGGTCAGGCATCGCGCGGTTTAGAGCATGCAAGAGTGAACGGTCACCAGATCCAAAGCTATCCTATGGGATCTATGATTATAGAAAAATCGTCTCGAGTTAAATCAAGGTGATCTGAACCATATCGAATGTTCCATGTCTCTATTTCCCCGATTTATTGTAGAAATTGAATTGGGATTTGAAAGATACCCTGTAAGACTTGGAAAATTGTGGTATTCTAATCCATTACATGAGCTCTCTATAGCATTTGTCTTCGAATAACCTACTCTACAAGGCCTTTTCCTCAAATTTCTTATCTTTATCGTAACTAGGCTCGATGACTGTGAACTCACGATGTTTCTAGCTCCTCACCGAGCGAAATTCAAGACAAGACAGAGCTCAACAATTGAAGCAAGGGCGTTCGTACCAGGAACGTGCTAGACCATGTGGATTGAAGCTAGATCGATGAACGACGAGAGACAATATCACGACGCTATAAGTAGGAGCCCCTTTAGTGAACTCATGAGGTAAGTCGGATGACGAGCGTTGCACGTGTACTCTCGCTAAGCCCTGGCGATCTTGGATGTAAAACGTGACGGTGGTACTGTGACACCGAGGGGGATAGGCACGGTTCGGGATTGCGCTGAGCCATTGTCGTGCAAATGTTAGGGTAAGGTACCATCAGCGGCAATTACCCTGTTGCTTGCCAAGCGCATGAACTGGATTGAGGTGATTCACAGTGTCTAAATTCGTAAACTTCCATCACATCACAACGGCAAATAATGACAGATTATATTGAACAAGTACGAGACTGGGACAATAACGGAAGCGAAGGCCGTTAAAACGAATAGCCAGATAGATTTTGTGAACAGTCATACAGGGCTTCTGATCCTGATCAATATCGGATGCTGCACGAAATCTGTGTTTGTAGGTATGTCAGTCGATATTGTTTTTGCCATCGTGGGCATTCGGGGCATATGACTGACTACGAACAGGCTAAAAAGTGACGAACCGTCCTGTTGGGAATAGAGGTGAATTTGTTCCCATAGCAAAGCAGACACGACATAAGTACCATGTACGGGGACCTCCGGTTCAAGCACGACCTAGAAATGCAGGGAGAGGTACTCGGATGCGGAGTAGATTGTACTCGTGCAGGGGGCGGAGGGGTCGATACCCGGAAAAGAAGGAGAGCTCGCAGTGTAGTTGTATATCGAGTCCAAACATGGACAGCGTCCGCTGTCCTGAACTCTTCTCGAGATAAACGTATTGACGCGTGTACTGTAAAATAGAGTAAGGTGTTTATTATTATGTTTTGGGCACTCTGAAGAAAGGTATTTGTAGAGACGAGAACTTAAGCTTTGATTGGCGGGCGCTTGTTTACTCCGATCTCCGACCTCAATCCTTCCTTGAGTTCCTCATTCTCTGCGTTTTTCTCTCGTTCATCCATCACCTTTACTGGTATCTCATGGCGATATGAAGAATTATTTAGAAAAAGAGATAAAATGAAAAGTTACCAATATACATCAGCGTCGTCTCAAAGTCGCCACATCTCCCTGTACTGTTCTTTTCCGCGCCAACAGGCCCTGGTATTGCTTGACCATTCATGCGCTTCTTCCATTCCAGGCGTACCCGGTAGCATCGGCTATGTTTATGCTTCCATATTGAGTTTAATATGACCGAAACCATGCAACCAATGAGCAGCATTACGATCGTACAGGCCAGCATACGGTTTCCGCGCATATCTTGCGGTCCTTCGCGTCGCACAAGACATGGCAGACCCTCTTCAGCACACAGCAAAGCATGCGATCGGCCACCCTTGCGCCCATGGTCTCCGCCGATCCCAGCTGACCCATGGATGAAACGGGTTTCCATCAGGCCAGCGCGGAACCGTCACCCTACATGGTCGTGCAGGGTTGCGCCTTCCCGAAACAGAGGCTTTGAGATTGTTTATCGCAATTCTTCCATGGGGTGGAAGAAGACGATGCCCCCAGATATATTTATTTCTCTCATGGCCTTCCTTCCCCGCGCTTCCCAATCGCCATCCCTTCCTATCCCTCTCTTCTCCGCCTTCAGCTCTCCCGTTTCCCTCCCCTTCTCGAACCTCTGGAACGTTGAGGCTTGAAGGTGCTGGTCTGATCACGGATCGCCAAATCCAAGCAATTGCGTCCATTCCTGCTCGACCAGCAACCGGGCACACCCGACCCGGATTCCGATCACGTAGTACACTGCACCCAACGTCGCCATGAAGTATTCGACCTTGTTCGTGGGGTTGATATCCCTTGCGGCCGTCAATTGCAGATCTACTGACGATCTTGAAATTGTCCAGGTTGAGAATCTCCACCATGTGCCTGAGGGATGGAAGGAGGTCGGCGCGCCAGCTCCAAGCCGCAAGCTTCTTTTCCGAATCGCAGTCCACCAGGTGAGCAAGTTCCCTAATGCGTGATTAATTAGAAATGTCGGCAAGTTTGCTAGGGAGGTTACCATCTGTAGTGACCTCATTGGCCCTTCACCCACTCAGTTGAAAAATACATCGAGCTATGAACCTAACATCTAAATAGCCCAATCATGACCTCTTCGATCAGACTTTAATACAGATTTCAACGCCAAGTCATCCGAGATATGGCCAACATCTCAAGCGTCATGAGGTGAAGGAGCTGATCAAGCCATTACCTGAATCCACCGATGCTGTGTTGAAGTGGCTTGCAGACTCGGGCATCCCATCAAAGGATGTGGAAGACGATGGAGATTGGATCAATTTTGTTGCTCCTCTTTCGAAGGCTGAAGACATGATGCACACGACTTTCAAGACGTATCAAAACACCGTACGCGAAGATATCAAAAGGATCCGTGCCACTCACTACTCAGTTCCAAAAGTAGTGCGTCAGCACATTGACATGATCCAGCCTACAACTCGGTTTGGCCAGATCCGTGCCCAGAATAATCACATTATCGACAAAGAATTCATAGGCACTGTCGCCCGTCTCAAGGCCACAGCCGTGAACGAAACGTGTAATACAGCGATTACACCCCAGTGTTTAAAGGATCTGTACAACTTTGCCGATTACAAAGCGGATGCCAACGCATCCGTCACTCTTGGTGTCACTGGGTATCTGGAACAATACGCACGATTCAAAGATCTGGCTTCGTTCTCGTCCATCTACGCACCATGGGCTGTCGGTAGCAACTTCACCTGGACTTCGGTCAATGGTAGGTGTTTTTGAAATCATTGAAGTCGAAACGCTAACAAAGTCCAGGTGGAATTCTCGACCAACGCGCCACGAATGACAGTGTGGAGGCCAATTTAGATATTCAATACACCACTGGCCTTGTCGCACCAGAAGTTAAGACCAATTATTACAGCACTCCTGGCCGCGGTCCACTTGTTCCTGATCTAGACCAGCCATCACTCGACGATAATCAGAACGAGCCATACTTGGAGTTCTTCACCTATCTGAATAGCTTGGCAGACACCGAACTCCCGTCGGTACTCACTACCTCGTATGGGGAGGACGAGCAGAGTGTTCCAGCCGAGTATGCAAAGAAAGTTTGCGATCTCATCGGACAGCTCGGCACTAGGGGCGTATCCGTTCTCTTTTCCAGCGGTGACACAGGCGTTGGATCAGCATGTCAGACGAACGACGGGAAAAACACCACTCGCTTCTTGCCAATCTTCCCTGCATCATGCCCCTATGTTACGGCGGTTGGAGGAACCACAAAGATAAATCCAGAGGAGGCCATCTACTTCTCTTCTGGTGGATTCTCTGATCTTTGGGATCGTCCATCCTACCAGGACGTTGCTGTGACTGATTATCTTACGAAGTTGGGCAGCCAATGGGAGGGGCTCTACAACCCCAACGGCCGTGGTTTCCCAGACGTTGCTGCACAAGGCGCCCGCTTCCGTGTGATTGACAAGGGCACACAAATTTCCGTTGGTGGTACAAGTGCGTCTGCACCCGCATTTGCGTCGATAATTGCACTGCTTAACAACGCTCGTATATCTGCCGGAAAGCCGGCACTCGGATTCCTCAATCCATGGATCTATGAACAGGGCTACAAGGGCCTGAACGACATTGTGAAAGGTGGGTCAACTGGCTGCACAGGTCGCAGTGTCTATTCCGGCTTAAAGGCACCTTTTGTACCTTTTGCATCGTGGAACGCGACAGAAGGTTGGGATCCCGTAACAGGATATGGAACTCCCGATTTCGGAAAACTGCTCCAGATCTCAGAGGGTGGCATATATGGCGGTCGCCGTGGTCTCAATGGAGGACGATACTAGATTCTTTGTGATATGGTTTTCTTCCCACTGCTGCACATATATACAGTCGAGCCGACTAGAGCCCGATTCTCACGAAACGACAGAGATCTATCGAATTATTTACACTGATGTGTGTAAGAAAGAATGACATCACTTTATGAACATTAATTGGCATCGACTATTTTATTTTTGGAAATCATTCGATTTTCCAAGGGCATAACACTTACAGATAAGAACTTCAGCATTGAGAGTTCATGCCAACGTCCACATCCTCATCACACTAGACTTTACTCATCAAATCCTTCCTCAAGGCAGTGTATTGAAAAATGCATGAAAGTGCGGTACCGTACCGCACGAGGACATGTTTAGCGTAGGTACTGATTCCACTATCTGCAGATCTCACCCGTCGCGTGCAGCGTGCCTGGCCCTGGCCGCGCACATCCGACCGACCTGCCTGATGTGGTCTAAACCTGCCCTTGCAGCTTATCTTCCTCGAGCCTTTGCCAGACGCAACCAACGCCACAAATTGATTATCTAGTTTTCAAAGCCGGCCTCGCCACAACGTAGTAATTAGCAAGGCTTGCATCTAATTCCTCTCTCCTGCCACACTGGGACGTCGGGGCCGAGGTACACGGCGTAGGCTGCGCTATTTCTAAATATTGTTCCGTACCAGCAAGCTCACAGTAGTAAGTGGAGAGCGATAACTACTGGGTGGAGCATCAATTGCTTGAGGGAAGCTTGTTTGTGGGGTGGCGCATTCTGGGCAGAGCTTCTTTTCTTGCTTGGTATCGCTTCAAGGAGCTTGATTTGCATGGGGAAGCTGCCTTACTGTGGAGACAATTGATACGCGTCTGGACCAAAAGTCCTCCAATGTGGCGATAGGCACACCTGGATTACGAGATATTATGATAGGCGTTCGCGAGATTGAGGTAATAATGCATCCCGTACCACTTGGGCAAGCTTGTTGGCTGAAATCATTGGGAGCGTTGGCTTTAAGCCTGATCACTTTTACCCCAATTCTAATCGTTCCAGGGTATACACGAGCGCGGAGGAGTCGGGCTTGGATACGACATGAGTTAGCCATGCTACCTCCCCTGTACGAGCTGCCTAATACGGCATTAAGCTTGGTTCTGCGTACCGGTCTTGCAGACGTCATCCAAAGGATCTATCGAAGGCAACTGCAGCGATTTTGTTAGTGGGAGCTGCAGCATGATAAATTGGGCGCGACAGCCCAGGATCTGTGGCAGGCCTTGCAGCAATTTTTGTTCGTGGTGCAAGTGACGTTTGGGTTGTTGCGCACGTTTTCGTCCCAATACACAGCTGTTGCATATAATTGCGATTGAAGAGACGGAGATTGGATACCTATCAATTAGCGGTCAAATCATCGTAAAGCAAAATGCGTTTCTCGTCATCGGTCCTACTGTGTGGCCTCCTGGGCTCTGCTGCAGCAGCTCGCAGCCCCAGGTACGCTGGAAAGAAAATTGATCTTCCGCGATCGAGGGCGGTGTATTCTCCGCCTAGAGGTATCGAAAGGCGCGAGGAGGATTTCATCATTGCTCAGAATGACAATACGAAGAGTACGTTATCTTGATAGCTTGTCCTATATCAGTGTCCGATGCTCACATCTGTGTCCAGAGTTCGCCGTCAATGGCACCGCAGGCGCCATTCCCAACGTAGACTTCGACATCGGCGAGTCCTACGCAGGTCTTCTCCCCATCAGTGACTCTGCGAATGAGACATCCGAGCTCTACTTCTGGTTCTTCCCATCCGCAAACCCCGACGCCAGCGAGGAAATCACCATCTGGCTCAACGGCGGCCCAGGATGCTCGTCGCTCGAAGGCTTCTTGCAAGAGAATGGCCCCATCTCGTGGCAGTACGGTACTTACAAGCCCATCTACAACCCGTGGAATTGGGCCAACCTGACAAACATGGTCTGGGTGGAGCAGCCAGTGGGTACTGGATTCACCCAGGGCAAGCCGACGGCGAACAGCACCGAAGAGGCGGCTCAGGAATTCCTAGGCTTCTTCAAGAACTTCGTGGATACTTTCGGTCTGCAAGACAGGAAGGTGTTCATTGCTGGAGAGTCGTATGCTGGAAAGTACATCCCGTACTTTGCGGATGCTATGTTGGAGAAGAATGATACCAAGTACTATGATGTCAAGGGCATTATGGTTTATGATCCGAGTGTTGCTTCCGATGCATTGCTCGAGGATGGTGAGTCTTCCTCCAAATATAAACTGATGGTTTCCCACCGGGAGCAAAAGGTGTACTAACATGAAGCCAGTTCCCGCTGTCGCTTACGTCGACCACTGGAAGCAGTTGTTCAACCTGAACTCGACATTCACGGAGTCGATCCACGAGCGCGCAGACAAGTGCGGTTATACCGACTACCTCGAGAAGTACCTGACATTCCCGCCTTCGGGACCTCTCCCCGAGCCCACATCCCCCAAGGACGACCCATCATGCGCGCTTTGGAACGACATCACGGACGCCGTTCTGCTCACCAACCCCTGCTTCGACATCTACCAGATCGCCACAACATGCCCATTGCTCTGGGATGTCCTCGGCTTCCCAGGCAGCATTGGATACCTGCCCGAAGGTGCTGAAATCTACTTCAACCGAACTGAGGTGCAAAAGGCCATCAATGCGCCAATCCAGGAATGGGCCGAGTGCTCCGACGGCGTCCTCGACACCGATAACTCCATTGACTCCGGCCTCGAGGTTCTTCCCCGCGTCATCGATGCGCTCGACAGGACCGTCATCGTGCATGGTGAACTAGACTGGATTCTGCTCGGCAACGGCACCCTTCTCACCATCCAGAACATGACCTGGGGTGGTCAGCAAGGATTCCAGTGCGCGCCCGAGGAGGAGTTCTACGTCCCTTACCATGAGGAAGTCAGCCTTGGCTCTATCTCGGCGAGCGGCATCATGGGACTTGTTCATACGGAGAGGAAATTGACTTTCGTCGATCAGCGCATGAGTGGACACATGGTGCCACAGTACCAGCCCAGCAGCGGGTACAGGCAGCTGGAATTCTTGCTCGGTCGGATTGATAGTTTGACGAGCAGGGTGCCGTTTACCACGAGACCCAATGAGGTGCAACCTTCCGTCAATGCGACGATGAAGAGGGATGTTGCTGTTGGTCTTGAGTCATTTAAGAAGTGGTATTGAGCTAGATAGCCATGACCTTAATGTGTTGTTCAAGTGGTACACGAAGATATGTTAGCATTCAAACTTGATTTCATCTCTTTCACAACCCCGTATAATGATATGTTCTCAAATTGTACATTGTCATTGCAGAATGGTGTCCACATTAATCATTTGAAGTGTAACTACGGAGTGTAGGCGTAGTCGGAGTAGAATGGCCGAATAGGAGCTCCGGACATTCTTCCCCACGTCTTTGGCCCCTCGCTGTCTCCCTGCCCCATTAATTATTCGTCACCATTGACGGTACCCAAACATACCTAATTCCTCCACCATGTACCGGCTTCAATACCTACAACCCGTGTTTCTCCATTTACTACCTATGCAAAAATGGCATCCATTGATCGCGCGCGATCGCTAACCCGCTCCTCCGTTGTCGAAGCCCATAAACTCGTCATACCCCACATCCACTTCACACCCGTCCAAACCAACACAACTCTCTCCGATCTCGCATCCACGCCCCAATCTCCAGCGGCACTCAAGGGAACGCAATGGGAAGGCCAGACTCCTGCCAATCCCAAAATCCGACTCTTCTTCAAATGCGAGAACTTCCAGCGCATCGGGGCGTTCAAAGTCCGCGGAGCCTTCCATGCGATCCAGCGATTGATTGAAGAGCAAGGCCTCGACGAGGTGAAGAGGAGAGGCGTCGTGACTCACAGCTCTGGTCCGTATGCCTTTTAAACCAACATCCTTCGAACCTTCTCCAGGATTTGTGCTAACGTGTGCGATTCGCTCGGGACAATAGGCAACCACGCGCAAGCCCTCGCCCTCGCCGCAAAGACATTCGACGTCCCCGCCCACATCGTCATGCCCACGATATCCACACCGTCCAAGATCGCCGGCACCCAAGCTCAAGGCGCAAACGTTCATTTCAGCGGCTCGACCTCGCAGGAGCGTGAGGCCGTCGTGGCCGAGGTCATCAAAGCGACTGGCGCGACATTGGTGCCGCCTTATGACCACCCGGATATCATCCTCGGACAGGGCACAATGGCGTTGGAGCTGGAGACACAAGTCGAGCAATTAATAAAGCAGAACGAGAGCTTATTTGTGCGCTCCAAGAAGAAGGGATTGGATGCGGTGATAACGCCATGTGGAGGAGGCGGCATGCTGAGTGGAAATGCGGTTGCGCTCCACGGTACTGGTATTAAGGTTTTCGGTGCCGAACCTAGCTTTCAAGGTGGAGATGACGCTAGGAGGGGTGTCGAAGCTGGGGAGCGCATAACCTCCGTCAAGACACTCACAATTGCGGATGGGTTGCGAACGCCGCTTGGTGATTGGACATGGAAGATCGTGTCGGATAAATCGCATGTTGCTGGGTTGTATGCCGTGACAGAGCAGAACATCCGTGATGCCATGAGGTTAGTATTAGAGAGGATGAAGTGTTTTGTTGAGCCGAGTGCAGTCGTCGGACTCGCGACGATATTGTACAACGAAGATTTCCGGAAAATGGTTGAGCGTGAGGCTGGGGATGAGGGATGGAACATCGGTGTCGTCTTCAGCGGAGGGAACACCACTATCGAGGCCATCACGAAGATCTTTGCGCCCGTTGATGAAGGCAAAGCGGAAAGGGAGGAGGGCGTAGTCGGTAGTGATGGGGCGAAGGTCGCTGAAAATGTAGCCGGATAGTCTATTTCCACCTCGAAACCCCATAGATAATTACAAGCTCTCTTTGTGCAAAGCCTCAGTGTATACACAGCAGGAGAGGTAGGTCTGCTGGCACTTCCTCGAATGTACCTTCCAACCATTCCGTGGGTTCGTGCATCATTACGCCCGTCCCTCAAACCCATCCTCCAAAATCTTTATCAGATCGTCCAAACGTTCCACAATGAGGTCCGTATGCTCATGATCAACAAGATGCCTATTGACGTCATTGACAAGCAGCACCGTTGCAGCACCGGCACGGAATCCAGCCGTCATATCATCAATAGAGTCACCGACCATGATGAGAGAATTCCCGCCGTCTTCATGCATCCATGTCTTCGCAATATGCAGTATACCTTGATCATCACAATTAGTCGCAGATCCAGTGTACAGCCAATATATGTTAAGATGCAGAACTTAACTTACCGGCAGGATCAGGTTTCGGAGGCCTAAACTCTCTCGTAATAATTGGAGCGAAAAGGCTCTTTGGTAGAAACGTCGTGAGGAGATGCTCCACCGGCGCACTATACACCACCGTTCGTTAGCTATCAATGAAATTCCGTACCCCCTACCTCCCTTCTACCCCACAGATCAATCAATGCTTACTTACTCAAAATTCCTGGTGCAAATGCCCTTCTGTATCTGCCTCGAGTCAAGATACTCCATCAACTCCACGAGGCCGGACTGCGGCTCCTGAGATGCCATGGCTTTGCGCTCGATGGCGCGGATCTTCTCCTGTGCAGCTTCTTGCTCAGAGGCGGTGGGCAGGGCGTAGATGTGGTCAAGGATGTCGACGCTCTTGGTGATGCCGAGGGCGGAGCGCATTTCTCCGAACATGTAGGTTTGGGGGAGGCCTGGGTGGTAGTTTAGTGGATGCGTTCGTTTGAGTTTGGTATGATTTGAAAATGATCAAAATTAGAAAAATGATTGGCGATGCAGAGAAGACATTCATTTGAATTTGATATTGGAAGACGAAGTGAATGAATGATACCCAGGCCACGCAAGAAAAGGATCGTAGGACATACACAGTGTACCATCGACATCAAATACAATTCCCTTCAACGTAGGCCTCTCGTCCCCTTCCCTCCTCTTCGCAGGATCAAGCGGCGCAAATCGTCGCGGTCTCGTCGGTCGACTCATCTTATCGAATGTTCTCGTCACGTTACTTCCGTCTCTTACTTCCTCCAACGTCCGCGGACGACTCGAACTAAAATTCCGCGTATGGGACCAGTGGGATTTAGTCCTTATAGAAGTTGATATGATGGCTTTGGATATGTGTATTTGTCGCGCGAGGATGATGGGCATGGTATTGAACGTCGTCAATCAGTTGGCCGGTGTGACTAGGGTTGGTGGTTGCTTCTGCGGGAAGTGGGTCCATCCGGGTTCTAGTCGAGATTCTAATATCAGCGTCTTTGGTTCATGTGCTGCGCCGTACTCGCCAGTGCATCTTTACCGCAGATGTTTGCCATTTACAAGTCAGGAGGTTGATCTCTGCGCAATTGTAATTTTTCTAAGAGGAGTGACTGTATCATTATATGCTGTCATGAAAATAAAGGCTTCCATTTTGAAGACTTGTACGGCTAATTAATTTTAATAGATCTTCTGTATGGGAATCTGAGTGAGTGAACGTGAATTATACGAGGGAAATCAAAAAGAACTCCAAAAACTCTTACGGTCAAAATTCTTTTCGATAAAGAACTGAAATTTCGACATGTACTTTAGAAGGTAACGAAGATCTCTCAATCGCTTGCTGTCAAGAGTATGGAAACAGTGAGTGAACTTGCCAGGTCACTTTCAGGTAGTAACCTCACTACCGACGCCTACAAGTCATGAGCCGACTGAAACACTAGAAAGAGTGCTGAAAGAAACTGACTATATATATATGCCTTCGGAACAGTGTTTCAGGCATTTTCGTGAGTTACACAACGATAACATACCGATAACATATCGATATGATATCGATATGTCACCGCCAAGACCTGTATACAACAATTAGAACCCCGACTTCTGGCGATCATATGTCGTTTTGCGACATCGCATGTACTTATAAGTATAGGCTCGGCAATTATACTGACTTTCAATTGCTGATCTCGGGCTGGATCTTATTTTCCCTCTCGTTCGGTGTCACGTGGAGGGAGTTGTATAAGACACAGCTTGCTCCTACTTCTTTGACTCTCGAACGTCACTTACACCTTGTCCTCTGACTATATCAACTGAATAGCTCCCAGTCACAATGGCATGCGGCTCAGGATGTTGTGGCCCTGCGAAGGCGTCGCCCATCTCTACACCAGTGAATGTTGAAGTATCGAACGATAAAGAAGTTGAGCAACTGACTGCTCCATCCTGCGTTGAGCCCGAAAACCCCATACAAACTCTCCCAACAAGCAGGCCTTCTGAGGAGGACAAGGCTGACGATTGCAACGATGACTGCTGCAATCCAGCGGTTAAGGTATGGAATCCTACTAGCCCCACCTAACTGTTCCTCTACTTACGCTGTAAGAAGGAAGCTTGTACTGCAGACGATGCATCGTCATGCTGCGGATCAAATTCCAATTCAGGCGACAGATCAAACACACTGAAGGATGAAAATGAGCCCGGAGAACGGGGCTGCAAGGACGCTTGCTGCGATGACGATACATCTGATGACGATTCTTCAGATGATGGATGCTGTACTTCGAAGAAGAATAAGGATTCACATCCCCAACCCCCGGTATCATCGTGTACAACGAAGGCGGTCGCTGCTAAGTCTGTCGGCTGTTGCGATGGGGGCGGTAGTGTCGCGGCGAATACACAACTTGATGCCCCAAAAACAGGATGTTGTGGGGGTAAAACATCATCGAAGGATGATGGAGATAAATGCTGCTCGGATGAGAAGAAGAGTAACGCAAAAGCTCCACTTCCTGTCGGAAAGGGGGGTGGGTGTTGCACAGAGAAGAAAGTCTCAGCAGGATGTGGGGGTGGATGTTGTTCTGAGAAGAAGGCAATGAACGAAACCACTAAAGAGATCACTCAGACCTTGACAGGTCGAAGTGACCCTGAGCGCGGTCTCTCCGGAAAAGAGCATGTCATTCTAAGCATCTCAGGGATGACTTGCACTGGCTGCGAAACGAAACTATCACGAACGCTCTCAACCCTTCCCGCGATTACACGATTGAAAACCAGCCTCGTTCTATCGAGAGCTGAGTTTGACCTTGACACTAGTATGTCGTCCGCTGAAGACGTTGTCAAGCATCTTGAGAGAACCACCGAGTTCAAATGCGAACGAGTCACAAACAACGGATCCAGCATCGACTTCATAGTCGACAATCCGATAGATTATGTCAAAGGGGACTGGCCTCAAGGCGTGCTTGAGATGAAAGCCGTGGACAAGAAGATCATTCGTGTCGACTTCGATCCAAAAGTCATAGGTGCAAGAGATCTCTCTGAGAAGGGCTGGTATAATCCAATGCAGCTCGCTCCACCCCAAGCGGATCCTACTTTACATGCTGGGGCTCGTCATGTGAGAAACGTGGGATTTGCAACATTGGTCTCAATTGCGCTCACCATCCCGGTCTTGGTTCTTGCTTGGGCACCTCTCTCGGACAAAGAGGCCAAGAAGATCACTCACGGATCAATATCGCTGGCTTTTGCAACCATCATCCAGATTGCAATCGCCGGTCCCTTCTACCCCAAAGCACTCAAAGCTTTAGTTTTCTCTCGCGTGATTGAGATGGACCTCTTAATCGTTCTGAGCACAAGCGCTGCATACATATTCTCCGTCATCGCATTTGGATATATGGTCACTTCAAATCCACTCTCGACAGGCGAATTCTTTGAAACCAGCACCCTACTTGTCACCCTGATCATGGTTGGCCGGTACATTGCCGCCTTATCACGTCAGAAAGCTGTCGAATCCATTTCCATCCGTTCATTGCAAGCCACTTCAGCTACTATCATCGACACTACTGGTGTTGAGAAGGATATCGATGCCAGGTTGCTACAGTTTGGTGACGTCTTCAAGGTGTCACCAGAACACAAAGTTCCTACCGATGGTACAGTAATAGGAGGAACATCCGAGGTAGATGAGTCAATGTTGACTGGAGAGTCAAGGCCTGTTGAGAAAAAGAAGGGCAGCGCTGTGATTGCTGGTTCTATCAATGGGTCTGGCGCCCTCACAGTTCGGTTGGGTCGAGTTCCGGGCGACAACACGATTAGTACCATTGCTGGCATGGTTGACGAAGCCAAGTTGTCGAAACCCAAGGTACAAGAGATCGCAGATCGGGTTGCCTCCTACTTTGTGCCCGTTGTCATCTCTATCACCATTGTTGTGTTCTGCATCTGGATCGCTGTTGGCATTGCCGTGCAGGGCAAATCCGGGAGCGAAGCTACGGTTCAAGCCGTCACCTATGCAATTACGGTCTTGATCGTGTCATGCCCTTGCGCGATAGGTCTAGCTGTGCCGATGGTCGTCGTAGTTGCAACCGGAGTCGCCGCCGAGCGTGGGATCATCTTCAAATCTTCTAATGCAATTGAGGTGGCGTACAAGACTGCACATGTCGCATTTGACAAGACGGGAACTCTCACCCAAGGAAAGTTATCAGTTGTCAGAGAAGAATATCTGAACCCTGCTGTTAGCACAAAATCTATGCTGCTTGGTCTCATCGGCAGTAGTAAACATCCGGTCTCAGTTGCGGTAGCAAACCATCTAAAGGGCATGGACATTTCACCGACAACGATCTCGAATGCCAAATCAGTTATTGGAAAGGGAGTCGAAGGCTCTTTCGCAGGCCGCAAACTGCAGGCGGGTAATTCAAGGTGGCTTCAACTCGGGGAGCATTCCTTGGTCCAGTCTTTGGCTGCAGAAGGGTACACTGTGTTCTGCTTCACCGTGAACGGCGAGGTTGCGGCAGTGTTTGGTCTGGAAGACTCGCTGCGGGAGGATGCACATGAGACCATCACCAAACTCCAAGCCAAAGGCATCTCCGTCCATTTGGTATCTGGCGATGATGGGGGCGCCGTCCAAAAAGTGGCCTCGCAGCTTCAAATCCCCTCAGCGAATGTACAGTCACATTGTACACCATCTGACAAGCAAGAATACATCAAAGATTTACTTTCTCGCCGTGTTGGAAAGGGAAACAAGCAGCCGGTTGTCATATTTGTCGGCGACGGTACCAACGATGCTGTGGCTTTGGCACAAGCTACCATCGGCGTTCACATGAACGAGGGCACTGATGTTGCACAGTCTGCAGCTGATATCGTGCTGATGCGACCTAATCTTGCCGGGGTTATTACTGCCATTGCCGTGAGTAGAAAAGCAATGCATCGAGTGGCATTCAACTTCGGCTGGAGTTTCGTATACAATGTGTTTGCAATCCTTCTGGCAGCGGGCGCGTTCGTCCACGCTCGAATTCCTCCTGAATTTGCTGGACTCGGTGAGCTTGTGAGCGTTCTTCCGGTCGTTGCTGCAGGTGTTCTTTTGAAATGGGCGCGGTTTTGAGGTTTCCTACGTAGGTAGTCACAATCCCTTTTCGTCGGGAATTTAAAATAAAACCAACAGTGCTAAAGTTGAGTAACAAATTTGAAGGGCTCTAATCTCAAGTCAAAATCACATTCAGCATCATCACTCGCACCCACCATCTGGCGCCAACACAATGTAATCAATGATCATGTGACAATATCTGCGCCTCATATTCCTTTCCTACAAATAGCAGCATTCCCTTTCACCCACAATTCTTTGTTTCGATAAGGCGTACACCAATCACGGCAGTACGGCACGTGGCTGGGCAGTTGGTCGGACCCGCCAAGGTTACCCCAGATCTTGGATGCGAGGGGCAGAACAAGTACCAGCGTTCCAAATAGGCAGGAAACAAGACCCAGGATCGTTCCGCTGATTGTCTTACATTTCGATAGGGAAGGGTGTGTTTGTGTATGGTCGGTTGTATGAGTCGTTGGTGTGGATTGTTTGGTTGATAGGTTCGGGGGTTCCGATCTTTCCAGGGAGTTATTTTGGCGCCGAGGATGAGAGTGGGAGGAATACGACTGCTTTTGGGGTGGGTAAGATGAATCCTTATGTTCTGGCAATAGAATTGTACTCTGTTATCTTAGATAATCTACACCAATTTTCACCAATAGTTTTCAATCTGGTGTTGCGACAACTAGACCAGTATCTGCACAATACTCGAAAGAGTTAAGGACGAATTGTGGTTATTACCCTCAAGATAACCATAACTCATAACTAGGATTTTAATTCACATACAAAGTAGTCTCCAAAATCCTCCAGATCTAACTGCATAAAACCACCTTCTGAATGCCGATAGAAAGCGAAACAATTACTCCTTCCTGCTCAAGCCACTTACCCTGCCAACAATGTGGCTGATAACGGGGTCAGTTATCGCTTCGGACGACGCCCTCGACTCGACTTTAGACATGTTGGCGCGTGGTATCTGAGAATCTTGGAGGCTCTTGGCCCTCTGTACTGGAATACGATATTATGTCGAGCATCCCCGCTGATCTCTGTTCTTTCGACATCAATTGCTTCGAGCTGTGAGCCCAATCTCACCCACAATACCGACTTTAACGGAGCTCAAGATACCCATTCATAAAGGTCACATCTACGCCTAGTATGAACGCGTTAAGAAAGGTCGTACGTTTCGTCGCGCCAAAAGCTGAGAAATCAGAAGACGGTCGCGACCAATGGGGCTCGCGAACATCCTTCGTTCTTGCTGCGATGGGTGGTGCAGTCGGTCTCGGTAACATCCTTCGATTCCCAGGGCAAGTATTCCACAACAACGGACTGCAATGGTTCGTGCCGTACCTGATGGCTTTGTTCCTACTCGGTCTCCCCGTCCTGATACTCGAGATCTGCATTGGACAGGCGTATCGTGGTGGCTGTTTGATCGCGTACGACCACATCAGCAAGCGGACGAAGGGTGTCGGTATGGCGGTCGTGTTCAATGGATACGCGATCGTTCTGTATTACGTCCCGATCTTGACCTGGGTATTGCAATTCTTCCGACACTCGTTTCGGAACCCTTTGCCGTGGACTGGCCGAGGGACTGAGTTCTACTATGACCAGGTGATCCGCAACCCGAGTCCCGAAGACAATGGTGGGGCGTACTTGTCGTATCCTTCCTACAGCTTGCTGGGAGAGACGACCGGGTGGTGTGCGTTTACTTGGTTCATTGTGTGGCTCTGCATGTTCAAGGGCGTCGGTATGCTCGGACGTGTGGTGTACATTACGATGGGCTTGCCTATCGTTATGGCTGTTATTCTCATTGGTCGAGGATGTTCGCTGGACAATGCTGGACGGGGTGTTAAGCTGTACTTCGGCGAGTGGAACGGGGATCAATTGGGTCGTGGGGATATCTGGCAGGCTGCGTGTGGTCATATTTTCTTTTCAATCGGCGGTAAGTTCTTGGATTAGTGTTGCTCGTCGGTAGGAACGCATCTGACAGTACCAGTGGGAATGGGGTATTTCACTTCGTACGCATCATACAATTCGAAATACGCCAATGCCGTCCAGGACTCCTTCATTGTCGCCATCTCCAACTCGATGTACGAAATCCTCATCGCATTTTCCGTCTTTGGCGTCATTGGCTTCCTAGACATCCACCCAGACGATGGCGTCTCATTGGGAACATTTTCGATCGGATTCCTCACGTACCCTGAAGCCCTTGCACAGATGCCCGGATCTCAATTCTGGTCCATTGTGTTCTTCTTCACGGTGTTCCTCCTGGGCGTCAGCTCAGCTTTCGCCCTGATGGAATCCATCGTAACTATGATCTGCGACACAGACTGGGGCAAGAAGATCCCCCGCACGATCATCGCCTCGGTCGCATGCTTCGTCTCGTTCCTCCTCTCCCTAATGTACTGCACCGAATTCGGCTTCTATCTCCTCGACGCAGCGGACACTTACATCAACTTCATGTGCCTCTTCTTCGTCGTTTGGGCCGAAATCATCGCCTGCACGACCGTATACCGCTACCGGGACGTCGTCGGACAGATCGGCTGGCCCGCACTGTTCACCTTCAACTTTGGATACTTCGGCGGCACTATCTTTGGCCTCGCACTCGCCCAAGCTGTGGGCGCCTCTGCGGGCGCAGGCCTCGCGTTCGGACTGTTCATCGTTGGCTCCATCGTAGCTGTCTTCATCGCTAAGACTCCCGACTCGCCTGCGCCCGGATTCTGGAACAAGAACGTGTTTCTGAGCCGATTTTGGTGGGCTGCATTCTACCAGGTATGTCCAAATTCGAAAGAAACCAGTTGATCGTTACCTCCTAGAATGCAAGTCCGAAATGATGCAACGAAACTAACGCATTGAACAGGGTGTCCAACTCCGCCGCGACCTCAACCTCAGCGTCGCGAAGGGCAAGAACTGGAAGATTCCCGTCTTCTGGGGCGCTCTGCTCCGCTACATTTCGGCGCCCATTCTCGCCATAATTTTCTCCTTCGCGTACCCGCTCTTCCTGACCAATAGACGTGACCCTTTGCACATCTTCGCGTTCTCCTTTGCGCACTTCGTCATGGTGATCATTGCTGTTGGGTTTGTGCTACCGAGGTGGTTTGATGTGTTCATTCCCGTTGCTAGGAGGGGCGAGGGCAAGATCGATTATGCACCAAATGTGTCAGTCGGTCAGGATGTCGTTGGGAGGGAGGTGGAGGATGGGAGAACACATGATCTCGATGGGAAGACTAGTGACGAGACGCAGAAGATAGTGGAAACTGAGAATCAGGGTAGGAAGATTGAGATATGAGAATAAGTATGGGAAATTCCCTGTTGTGGTTAGCAAATCTGAAGAATCACTATATTTCATGTACGTTTCCATGAACGGCTTATTCCAGTTGGTGAGCGATATTCCTTGGGAGTTTTCGCGATAAAAATAATCATCAAATGTACCTAGGTAGGTAGGTATGGCAATTTCAGAAGTCGTATGTTGTGTCGTGTGATGCGCACTTCGTATTCAATTCTATATTCAAATAAACCATGTGCGTCAGACCATCCGCGCTGGATTCTTGTGCACTCCAAAATACGCCCAAGAGAAAAGCATTACTTAAAATATGATACACGAAACTCTCGGTATGGACTCGAGCGGTTTCATTTGAAGATCTTGAAATTTGCGTTTCGGAAATGGGCCGTCGTCAGAAGAAGAGGGTGGGCAGTCTCATTCCAATCCGATTCCTGAACTCCTAGCAATGCAATGCAAAACGGATGATTCTACAACAGAACGCCGGACAGCGGAAGATCGCGGTTTTGACTGCATGAGAAAGAGACAAAAGCAAGCTGGGCGCTCGGTATAAAAAGGCGCATTGTTGGGGAATGACTAGCTTGGTAGTCAAAGTGGGTCAAGCGGGTATCTCGGGGTATCGTCAAACTGGTTGCTTCGTTTACCATCCTTCGTCTTTTTGGTTCTTGCCCTTCTTTGCTGTTGCCTTCTCCTCTTCGGTCAGGGGAATCAACTCTGCGTTGCTGATTCTATAGTCCTTCATATTTTCGATATGCTCGTTGGCCGACTGGAGATATAGTTGATGAAGCCTGGGTACAAAGTACTGCATGACGGAGTCGGCCATGCTCTTGGCAAGGAGGCCCTTGTTGATCCAATAGTGGCGCACGAAGATACCTTTGCAACCGCCACGGTGCTCGGCTTCTGGCGCGCCGTTGGCCTCCACACAAGGCAAAACTTTGATATCCTCGGGACGGTCATAATCGTATCGGAGATAGTTTCCAAAGGCAGCCTGTTCGTGTGCCCAATCAAGCTTCCACCTGCTGCAGCCCTTGTACTTGTTCTCGGTGGGGCACTCGGCCCATGCCTTGTACATCTCCTGCGTGCGCTGGCTCTTCTGGGCGATGACGAATCCAGTGTTGAGGTAGCGGTTGCCCTTCGCATCGTAATTTTGGGGCTCGTCGGGATCAATCGACATCATGGCAAGCGTGTCCTTGGTCATATTCCAGTAATTCAAAAGCCATTCGAGTGGGAGATGAGGATAATGGAACATAACATCTGAGTCCATGAAAACGATGTAATCGTGGGTTTTGAGAGCCTCCTTCATCATGGGCACCTTGACCCAGGTTCCCCAGCGATCTTCGTAATCGGGAGCGCGGATGAATTTGTAGTCATACCCATGGATCATGGCAAACATGTAGTGACTCAGCATACCAGCAGACAACGCTCGCATGCCCTTCCATTTGAGATCTTTGTTCATCAACTGTCCCTCACCCGTCAACGGCCGACTATCAATATCCAAAATCAACACCTTCTTCCCCAACTTCTGTTTGAAGCGTGGCTCTCCAGCCGGAAGGTGGTATGTGTCGCCGTCTTCATCGGTGAAGGTGGGTGCATCGACAGGGTGGAGGATCGGGGTATACAGGGCTTTGATGACAGTAGCCATGGACATGTTGGTGTCGTCGATAGAAACATTGCTGCTCTGAACGGGGTATTGCGAAGACGCTCCGAATTTGCTCTCCGGGACGTAACTTGAGCCGAAAGCAAGGATGAGAATAATGAAGGATATTGGCACAGCAGCCATGATGACAACACGCCGCCAGCGGCCCTGTGGACCCAGACTTGCAAAGGATTGTTGCATATTTGCGAGTGACTGGTACGCGGGATTGGACGCAGTCATGCTGTTTGGGTGAGTCTGAAAGGACTCTTAAGGATTATGGGGAGTAAGAAGGGGGATCGGAAAGCAACGCTGCAACGAGCGCACTTCGTGGTGAATAGGAGGGTAACTCAAATCAGGCCAGCCAGGGTGGGGGAGGGTGTGGCAGTCAGGAAGGCGCCGGAAGTGGCAGAACAAAGCACAGTCGTGGTTGAGGAACGAGGAGTCGAGGAGCGCAGGAAAATGTTCGTTATAGGTCCCGGATCGAGGCGGTTCGAATTGTGTGGTATTTGTAGGGGAGCGACGAGCTCAAACCCAGAGAAACGAGTGACGAGAGCAGCTCGATGGTATGAGCGGTAGATGATCTGAAGGGTTGGCAGACGTCTATCTGGGCGCTGGAGGGTGGGGGGCCTTGGACTAGGACGCGGGCGTTGGTTGGTTGGTTGAGACCCTATTCTGTAAAGCAAACAGAAGATGCTACAAAGTAGAATCTGTCTGACAGAGTGGCAGTCGGACGAGAAGGATCTGATGGGAAGGGGCCGATAGAAGAGAGAGAAATCCGGAGAGTTTTAGATTCTCGAGTGAGGCAGATTAGGGGAGAGAAAGGAAAAGGAAAAGGAAAGAAGAGTGAAAGTGAGAGGAAGACGAGAGTGAATGAACGAATACGGGAGTTGGTGGCAGCGCTGGAAGGCTAAGCTTTGACTAGTGACGGATAGGGACTAGCGCCGGCAAGTCGTCATCATTATTTTCCTTCATCCCCTACGCGTCTCTACCTACTAACCTTAGTTACCCTCCTACTCTACCCATATTACCCTCACCTACAGTCACTTATTACTCGTATTCATCTATTACGAGGTAAATGTTTTATCTACTACTTTACGGTTCACACCTCCTATAACGTGTCTCAGACCTATCTACAAGAGCCATAGCCCCAGGTATGGATACAATATCCATCAGCCCATGTCTTTGGATCTACACAATAGGACTCACTCCATAGTCCACCTGAAACATCATATCGCATTGTCCTCCATCCCAACCAATTCCATCCCATCACCGTACAAAGACTTTCCCGGTGTCTTTCCAGTCTATTTGTTATACGGGTTACACGCACTCCCACCGTGCACCCAGCGCCGAAGCCTCCAGCCAACAAGACCATGGGGACTGCAAATCCAAAACCTGAGCACAATGACAAACCCTCACCTCGTACTCCACTGTGTTCTCCACCCTAACTGTGGCTGACTGAATTGAGTATATCCCCTGGACGATCCTAAAGGGGCTGTCTCCAGCACTAGTTACTGTAAATCACCGAGTGCTCAGCCCGAAGTTGACAAAACAAGCACATGCCCAGGGCAAATGCTTCGCAGTATCCAATCTGCCTCCCAGTCGCATTAAGATTTTCTAGCAATAAATGCGCCGCATTCAGATACCCAACATTTGCAAAAATCCACACACTAGAGCACCAACACGAAACCGCCTTTTATCAAGTCACGCCTCTCGAGTGCAACTCCTTTTCTGGGAATCCATATCGCCACACCTCTACAAGTATTCCTCTGACTTTGGCCGCTAATCTACTAGTTACTGCACATCGCATACGAGCTGTTCGGGGCACAGTGATACGTAAGCCTCCTATAGCCAATCACCATGAGCAAACCTGCTGCACAATGCTAAATATAAAACAAGTTTCGAAAAATCAACGATTCGCTTTGCCTGCTTTTGGACAAGTGCCATCCCCATCCCGCTGTAATTGAAAATATCAGGGGTAGTCTAGATCTGTCCCAATTTCCTCGCCTTTATCTTGATTTCCGAATGATAAGGAATACAAGTATTTGTGTTCGGCTTCGAACTTCTAAAAGTTAAAAAACCCTAATATCTCCCAAGCAGAAAAGAAACAACTCTAATATTGAAAAACGTAATCAATGTCGACTCGGACTGGTATATCTCGTGATCATCAGAATGCCCGCGCCGATAAAACCCTGTGAGAATACTTCAGGACACATACTCAAGCGCGCAACGCAGGCATGCATATGAAGAGTGCACCCAAACTTCCATCGCTCTACTCGGCTTTCTCGTTTCCCACGGTAGCCCCCCGCATTGCATTGCGAGGAGTAATAAGGAATTTTGCCTCAACGTGGGACTGCCAGGTCGACCCAATCTCTATCCGCCCGATAGAAGAGCGACGAGGACCACATTACCTCTGGTTTCAATGGTCACCTGAAAGTACTTTGTTGGGGATTCTGAACCATAAATGGGCCGAGTCCCATTACGGAATCGTCACCAGAGCGCGAGGGGGGCGACCCCTCTATCTCGTAGATCTCATTATTACAATGACTGCGAGGGGATAGTTCAACGTATCATTTCGTCTCCCTCTGCCTAGATCAAGCGCAACAATGCCGCATCTTGCGCGAGCCCTGGGCTGTATTTCCCACAATCTTCGATCAGCTGCACCATGATTTTCACCCAATCCTCCCATCCGGCCGGCAAACTCTCCCTCAGTCTCGCATCGGGGGAACGCGCCACGGCATGGATGATCAACACTTGCCCGAAACATTGCGAGCACCAGCCGAATTTCAATGGCAGCGCTGCTTTCATCTGTGTACATAGGCCCATTGTTGTCGGCCAATACATGCCCCCTTTCAAGCCATCGGCGATTTCGCGGTACTCGTTGTCGCTAATTTGGCCAGGCGAGTAGTGCAATGCCTTGTACAGGAATGGTCGGCCAAGGTGAAATTTGGCCACTAAATAGCGACTTCGGAGCATCGCCTTTGCGAAAACATGTGCTGGGCTGGGCGAGAGCTCAAGATTTTCGTCGTCTGTAAATTGTAACGAAGGTGGTAGGTTCGTCCGCCATTGTTCCAATTGATGCCGCATTTCGGCAGTCATGCTCGCTGTTGGAGCGCCCTCCTTATCAGAAAATTGATACATGTTGTACCGCAACCGCGTGAGGATGATGCGATGCGCTGCTTGAGCTAGGAAGTGAAAGTTGAAAAAGGAGTCGTCCTCATCTATCACAAGGCCAGATATCGAAGTCTTAGGTCGTGGACTTGGTGTGAATTTGGGTATCGGCATATCAGTCTCCCATTCCAGCAGTCGGCTCAATGGTAAAAGGAGTTCCTGAGTGATGATGACCTCGTACATGAGCGTATTCCAGAATAGCCGTACAAACATGTCGCCTTCCCACTCATCGAAGTTGATACTGTCAACCCGCTTGAGTATAGTCACACAGCAGAGAGCAGCGCGATTGACAGTGACCCACGAGTCGAATGGTCGCAGAATCTGAGCATAATACAAAGTCGACAACATGTAGAACTGCCCCGTCTGAAGATCGCTCTGACACATGAGGAATCCAAACCTCTTTCGTGCCTCGTTGAAGAATTTCAGGCCTGGGGGCTCGTCTAAGACGTATTCGTACCAGTCTGGGCGGACGAAGCCTTCCCCAACCATCGCATATCTCGACGGTAGAGGGAAGTTCCCTTCTTCGTGCGCCCTCACGGCCAAACAACCAAGTGCGAGCACAACGAGCACTAAGCTTGTCTCAATGTCGTAGCCAAAGTCGTTCTCCATGGCCTGGGTCAGAGTGTGGGAGAAGAAATAGAATTTGTCGAGGACGGGGTTACTCCTATGGAAAACGGCGAAATAGGCATTCGCCAGGCCCCTGATCACAGAGATCGGTAAACGGGTGAGCCACTGCTCGGAAAAGGCGTCCATAGGCACGTCGATGATCATGGGCAAAGGGGGCCTTTGGCTTTCAATGTCCACGACATAATCCTTTGAAAGAGCATCGCGAGCCGCCGAAAAGGCTGGTGGAAGGAGTTGTCTGATGGCCGGCCACATTGCCACACCATGCTGGCTAAAAGACAGTTGGACCCTGCCATTGCCCGTTCCTAATGTTGGATAGTCTCCAGGAGTTCCTTCGGTAGTCCGTGGTGAAGTTCCATTGTCGTACTCACTGGCACGCCGAGGTGCTGACAATGTTGTTCCTGAGGTCGTTATTCCAGGACTTGGTTGGGACATGACGGAAGCTGGAGAACGGTGATCAATAGACGGCGGAGGGGCCATCTGGGAACTCTTCTGTGTGTTGATGGCCGTGGTGAGATCCTCGACTTTGGCTTCCAATCGTCTGATGGCATTAATGGCGACTGCCATTGACTGGTCCTTCTTCGTCGGTCTGGGCGTTTGATATGCGCAATCCAACTTCATCGCCTTGCAGTATCCGCATTTTGGGCGATCCTCGTCACAGCGTGACTTTCTGGCTCTGCAGTTATCGCATGCAAGCGTTGCCATGAAGGCGCGAGGCTTCTTGAGAGAAGTACCATCTTCGCCGTCATTGACGTTGTGAGCGCCGTCAGTGCCAGCGAAAAATTCCAACCCTTCCGGCTTTGATTGCAGAGCCCCGACGTGATCGTACGCTCGTTTTGTCATAGCATATTAGTGGAGCGATCACGAAAGCAAAGGTGATGGGAAGTAAGGAAAGAAAAAGAGCTTGGTGTTGTGGAGTCAAGGTGGGTTGGGGGATGCGGACACCCACCCGTGTTTTGGGGGTTTTGACAGCGATTCCCGGATGCGGGGACCACTAAACCCAAAATGACCAAATCTGTCTGGTTTACTCGACCATGCAACGGATCCCTCGAACTGCGCAGCATCCACCACGGCGTATAAAGGATATTGAAGAGCCTCTTAACAAGTCCAAAGAATCAACGTGCGCACCGACTGCATTTTTGGTGGAATCCATCTCCAGTTGGACACCATGTCACATACTATCTCACAGAATCACGGAGAATTGGATACATCACATGCATCACATCTTCAGATTTACTCGAATCTTCCAGTCTGGATCGCAATTGTCTAGATCATCTGATATTATCAACCGTGCAGTGGACACTCGCTACTTCCACGGTATATCATAAGTAGCCTCACTCAACATCTCAATTTCTACATATAGAAGGTCGAAACATGCGCCTCCGGATGTCTCGACTTCCAGACCTGGATGGCGGCCTTTCGCACCAGCCAATCTCTAAACAATCCCGTGGCAGAGCGTTGTTAGAACAATAAGGTTGGTGGGCTTTCTGCGCACAAGGCTTTGAGCATTCGTCTCACATGGACTATCATGGACCGAACCGTCACGCTCCTATACTGTTACTGGACACGCTACGTTTTAGCGGATGTCGAATACGGGCGCAGGGCAAGAATGTAAATCTGAGAAAGACCCTGTTCAGGGATTCGTTTTCGTGAATTGGCATGGTTGAACCGGGACGTGATTCCGTGGCAGGGTGATAGGGTGCAAGAGTCGAGTATACGAAGCTATGAGCGGATTTACCTCCACCGGTGTCCGTAGGACGAACAATGCCAATGCAACTGAGCTCTGAAGGACGTTAATGAATGGTGATCATTGCTACGCGGCAGATTGAATAATGCTCGACTATGTCAGGTAAGCGAAATCGCTCCTGGGATAGTAACGCTTCATAAGCATGCTAGCGCAGGATGAAGTATGAAGCGAAGGGAGAATTTACCGCGCCTCAAGGTTACTTACTATCAGACGCGAAGAGATTTTGATATCGACACCTCATACCAACAGAGAAAAGTATGTGGCTGCAATATTATCGAGCGTTAGCTGAGTTGGACTCCAACGCAGGGTCGTAAAAAGTCTTGGGAAACCTGGGACCGTGGTACACAGATGGCTGTTTGGTGGAACGGGAGCGAGTAACGGTCGAGTTAGGCCAGGCGGAGGGCTTTCCTTAGCTCCCAATGGGAGGCCTCGCTCGCTTCAATTTCCGCATACTGAAATCTTAAAATCAACTTCTAGCCCAGGGTGCAATACGAGCAGGTGGGGCGATAATGCAATGCAACAACGTTTCTCTGTTGGGAGGTTGGAACAACTCATTACAATAATCTACATGACAAATAATGCTACACACAAACGCCGTTTGAAGTTATCCAATTGGGTATTCTGGTGGGATATCATCAAGTCCTGGCCTTGAAGGGACTCCTCCGGAACAGGAAGAAGGCGCTCACGTAGACGACAGCTCCGAATGCTAACAAGCCAGAATATGTTCCGAAGCCCTTGAGATACTTGGGTGCGTCTTCGGCTGGGAACAGGTAGCTGCCATAGATTTGCGCAAGATTAGCCATGCCATTGAGAATCGCAAGACTGACGGCACGGGTTTCTGGGTGCAAGGGACCCATCGAAACGGATGCGAAGGATAGTGAGAGTGGATTCGCCGTCCAGATGGCGCTATTGATGAAGCAGAGGAAGACGTATCGAGGGATGTAAGCGTAGATCCCGGCAGACAAGGCGCAGAAAAGTGAGCCACCAACAAGGACTGCGCAAACCATGATGGGTCGGAAACGAGGGATACGGTCGGCAACAATGCAGCTGGGGACGGCGATGGCGAAGGCCACAACGTAGAGGGGCACCGTCATGTACTGTGCTTCTGAGCCCTTGTATCCCAGTCCAGAGACGAGCACTGGGTTGAAGTATGAGAGGGAATAGCATCCGATGATGGTCATGTAACCTGCGCAGAGAAGCCAAAGGCGCCAGTTGGAAACTGCGTGGACGAAAGCGAGCCAGTGCGATATTTCAGCCACTTCGCCGTTCGCCCCACCCGAGGTGATGCCATCGGCTTTGAGACGTGCAACGGCAAGATCTCGTTCACTTTGGGTCAACTGCTTCGAGGTAGCGGGATAGTCGAGCAGACAGAAGGGGGCGATGAATGCAATGCCAACAGTAGCGACACCCTCAACGATGAAGAGCCTGCAATTCAATTAGCTCCAAACAGGGTCAGTGGGGGTTATGTGACGAACCATCGCCATCCTGCAATTCCATGTGCTCCCTCCATTGTTTTCGTAATTGCACCAGCGATGATTCCACCGAATGCGCCAGATAGAATACCAGCAGAAAGAAAGCACATGAAGCGCTTCGATTGCTCATGCCTTCGATACCACGAGGAAATGATAAACAAGACAGCTGGGGAGAACCCGGCTTCCATGACGCCAAGCAAGAACCTCATTCCCAGTAGCTGTGCTGGAGTCTTGACAAGGGACATCAACGCGGCCACTGAACCCCACAGTAACATGAGGAAGGGAACATATCGTGACGGTCTCGTTCGTGACAAAATCATGCTGAAGGGTTACTTTTAGCATTGTCCCACGCATGGCTTTAGGGATAGACGAACTTTGATGGGACTTCAGCAATCACATATCCAACCTGGAAAACGACGATTGCGAGGAAGTATTGTGTCGACGTGAGGCCCAGATCCTTATCCATTCCCGCAACTTTGGCATTGCCAATGTTGGTTCGGTCCTGCATTCAATGTGAGTCTTTCTACGGTGGTTGTTTGAGGGCAGGATCACCTACCATAAACGAGAAACAATACAGTACCCAGATGGTGGGCATTAGGAACATGTCGATCTTTCGTACAAGTTTCTTCTCCTCGTCCGAGTCCTCGACGAAGGAGGTCGACTCAGTGGGTGTCTTCTCGTCGGCCATACTGACGTTCTCGATGTTCTCGGGCCAAACCTTCAAGTCGTTGTGTTGTTCAGCCATAAGGGGATATTCGAAAGACGACTTCACAAGAAGACGATCCAATACGAGAAGTAAAGATATTAGGAATAGAAGGACGGGAAGGTTGAATAAATAGAAAACAGCCCGGCGATCAGGAGGGCCCGTCCCAAGGGCACCCAGCATCCTAGCGTTTTCGCTTGCCTGCTTGCTTGCACACCCCAAAGAAGAGGTAAGCTCCCTAAGCGACGCCACCGACCCATCCTCGACGTCTTCAAACGTTCAGAATCCCCATGGGGTTTTGTGATCGCATCGCCTGAATCGTCATTAGACGATGGTTTTCCCCGCAAAAGTGCGGATCAAGTTATCCACAGCCATTTAATGTGGGTTATACTGCATCGGCCTTTTTTCTCGTAAGGCGATCCGTTTCGTGTCGCAGGTGGGCTGTTTAAAGGATGCGTTCGGAGATGCGTTAGAGTCCCCGTGGCTGTGAACGCACTCTTCTCTCTAGCGCTTCCACCAATCGCAATTGGGTATACCTTGACTCAGGAACGATGATGGCAAGAAATTTGGGCCCATGTTGGTGGCATGGCCCTGGGAATGATTGGGGATGTATATGCAAGTACAAAGAGGGCCTGGTCGCCTGCTATCCTCAATGGTTCATCTGGTTCCAGAATCGGCTACTCAGGTAACGTTTGTCTGAAGTTAATCGGTAAACCGCTTCTCAACTTGCCTTCATTTCGCTGTTCTAGCTATCGGCAACTGCTAATTAAGACAGTCCGAGGTATGTATTTAGATTGTGGAGATGCGATCGTGGGGAACGGAGAAGGCCACGCTATCGTAGTTCTGAAGACACGATCGAGAAGTTTGTCACTAGCTTAAGGCTCTTCGAACAATTGCAATGCTAACAAGGCCGTGCATCTAAAGCCGCACTCCCTTCCGGGAACCGGAATCTATCTATCCCCACATAGTTGAACAACCTTTCTAGCCATCGAGATGGCGGCATCGGATGCACACACTAAACATAAACTTTACATTCTCAGACTTCGTGCTCGATATCAGCAACCCGGGGAACTTTGTGGAGTGGAACAGAACAGAAGTCTCCCACTAGCTCAATCTATCGCATTCAATTAGCAGGTTGGCCAAGAGAAGAAGAGGGGAAAGATCACGCAACATACACATTGCTGGATTGTCTCCACATCTTCTTTGCTCACGCCGATTCTCCGGGTACCTCGCAAATGCCAACCTGTTTCGCGCGGCAGATTCTGAATCATGATGCCTCCTAACACCACCAACTCTGTGTCCACGTCATCGAGAATCGAGTGGTCTGACAAGTACAGGCCGTAGGTGATGTTCTTGCTAACCCAGTCTGCCATTTCCGTTAATCGGCTAATAAGATGCTTAATCGTTGAGCACTTACCAAAATCTCGTTGTGAGGAAAGTACGTTGTCGATTGATGCTTGGTTGTGTTTGTAGAGGCGGTCTTGCCAGACTGCGCCCCGTTTGAAGTTTGCCTCATCGGCTTGCCATCCTTCTCTGGGGCAATTTTCAGTATTATTCTTGCGCGCTTTGATACTTGGGGACAGGTAATGGTACCTTGAGAACGAATAATCCTTGTCCTCGGGTGCTGTAGCGGCATCGATGTCAAATATTGCCTCGAGGGGTTTGCAAACGCCCGCAATGGAGACAAGCTTCAATAGACTTTCTCGAATTCGTCGCATGAGGAGTTTTCTCTGTTCCGATGTTTGATACTCGGGCCGTTTGATCAAATACTTGTAGAGAGTAGGTGCAAATCCTGGTTGGCCCCCGCCCACCATCGTAGAGAACTATTCGAATATCAGACCTCCGATCCGATCGTGAAATCATCCAACAATGAACATACCAGTAAAATATACCACTTGTCATTTGCAACTGTTTTTGAGGGGAATTTCTCCTCGATCGCTTTGAAAAGTTCCAGTGCCTCTTCCTCAGTTGGGTCTTTCGGGACGTAGGCCGGCATGTTGTGTTTCTTGACTTTTTGTCAATTCGGAAACAGATTGATAATTGAAGCGGAAATTTTGCACTGGAGGGGTTGAAAGAAGAATTGCCATCGTGTTGTATGGACCTATCGGTTGAGAGCTGCTTTCGGAAGCAAGTCAGGGCGTCGGAACCCTTCCGGGAATTTTATGCCGGGAATGCACTAGATTGGGAAGAGGGGTCCAACCTAAGGCTTGTATCCACCAGAACGCTGGGGCTTTCCACTCTTTACTCCACGGGACTCGTTCGGAGAGGATGGTATCCTCCCCGAGATCTTCAACTTTTGGACTCCACCTCAAGGCGTGCTAATAGACAATTAGCTGTTCACTATCTAGGCCCGCCATCGGATGCAGTCTTAGAATACCGGGCCTCTTGCAGCCGTCAATAGACATAACAGTGTCGAATACACATCAGTCGTACCCCTCACCCCTCATCCATAACACCCCTTTCGTCCGGAACCTCTTTCAATCGACCCTGAAGACTCTCGTGAAGCTTATTCCCTCCTTGGTACCTCAATCACGACCGAACGTAATGTCAACCTCACTAAGAGCAGATGGCTCTCGCAAAACTGCCATCGTCACCGGCGGTGCAGGAGGCATCGGAGCACAAACGATCAGAGAGTTCTACCACAACGGCTTCAATGTGGTAATCGCAGACCTGAGTTTTGCCCAGAGGGCAGCCGAAGAAATCATTAAATCATTTCCCGATCCAAGCCGGGCAATCTTCCATTCCACGAACATCGTCAACTGGGAGGACATGAAATCCCTCTTCCGGACAACCAAGCAGAAGTTCGGCCAGGTCGATGTCGTCGTGGCGAATGCGGGTATCATGGAGAGCAGGGAGTTTTACGAGTTCGAAGAGGATGAGAATGGGGAGCTTAAAGAGCTGGTCGATGCGTCTCGCGTCATCGACATCAATCTTAAAGGAACAATGAATAGTGAGTATCTGGTTGATCGAGGACATTCGAAGCTAACTGTTGTCAAGCTCTGCGGTTAGCGTTGCACTCGATGAAGTCCAATCCCGTTGATTCTGACGGAGCTCGTGGTTCGGTCATTCTGATAGCATCGACCTCTGGATACTTTGGCGGCACAGGCGTCGTCGCCTACGTCTCATCCAAACACGGTGTCGTCGGTCTTGCTCGTTCGTCCCAGCGTGTGGCTGCTCAGTCGAGTATTCGCCTGAATGTTGTTGCACCGTTCTTTACACCAACTCACATTACCGGTAGTTACTCAGCACAGTGGAAAGAGAGGGGATTACCAGCTAATACTGTCGAAGACGTGGCGACAGCGATCGTACAGACTAGTACCGATCCTCAGCGTAAGGGTCATAGCGTTATGGTAAGTAATAGTTCTATCCACAGAATAGATGTAGCTGACAGTGTTTAGGTTGCCGGCAAGATGGTTCGGGAAATTGAAACTACCAGAACTGGCCTAACAACCCAATGGCTGGGCGAGGAGATCGCACATGTCATGGCCGAGGGAGGCAAATTCTTCGATGACATTGGCGGATATCCTCTGCCAAAAGCACGAGCTTGATTGTCCTTTTTTTTATTTTCTTCTGTGGTCTTGTCCTAACATTTGATTGATTTCATATCTTCAATCGCTTTTCGATCTACTGTCGCTTGTTCATTCCGTCATTCGCCAGATATCCCATCTTTAGATACGCTGAATACACATATATTTATCTACTTACCACAATATTTATTTTCCATGTTCATCGTAGTTCCTTCCCATCTGGGGGAACAAACCGAAGCGACTGTAGTCTTTCAAGGTTATTTCCATATATGAAGTCAGATGATGGTGTACTAGCACGCCACGTCAGAAATACACAGGGCGACACATTAGAAATTGTAATGCAATGTGGTTGTGTTGGATTTGCTACAGTCATAGCATTGCGGAATATATGCTGCTTGAAAGGATTGGTTGCTTTGGAAATACATACGAGTCATCTGTCTTGTGTAACATCGCTGTTTTGTACTCTGATCAATGAGTCGTCCTTGTCTGAACGTCTGTAGCGAACGACAATTAGATCTCCTGTCGTTATAGGGAGGCAGCGGAGACCTGTTCAAGAGATTCAGATAAATGCAGAAATGCATTGTCATGTTGCATGGGTCACGGGATAGCAAAATAGGCTGCCTGGAAAGCGTACCATGGTTATCGGGGGAACATATCAAGTATCCATGTCTACTATTTCCACATTTATTGGGTTCTGCAATACTTCTCCATTGGCACATCGTTCTCGTACTAGACATGCCGCGACGCAATATCTGTGGAAATCTTAGGATAATAAGACAAAATGAGTGACTAGTGCGCAATACAACCTGAGTGTTCTATTTCCTTCGTACCAATAGATAACGCTTTAGTATTCTTTAGACAGTTGTAATGAGACAAACTCCCTTCACTGCTAACATTTTCGTATTTCAACCGCACCCATTTTATGGCGCTATCAGTGAGAAGAGGTGGCAATATTGAAGGCAAGACAGAAAGAGACACACACACGAAGTGTAGACTGTCTCAAATTGGATTACGCTGCCCTTGGCTTTGGTTAATGGCTTGATAGTTCTACGGATAGGGCAGTGTTATGGAAGTCATTGGACGTGGAGTGCGAATAATGTTGCTTGCGCTGCACCAGTACCATGGACAGTGTTTGGCCACCTCAACCAATTTTGACCGCCCCAAAGGTCGTTGACTCAAATTGATAGTGTCGAACTTTTGTGCAGCTGGTATTTAATGGTTAAAGAGCTGCGCTCATCTCGCCCTTCATCCATCCATAATAATACTGTCCAACACTGTCCAACTATTCCCTCGAGTCCCAAGTCATAGATTTCACGGTGAGTTATTACTTTTCCATTCCCTTTGAATAAACAATTTCGCCATCACCAAGCTTCAATTATATTCTACATCTATATACGAATAATAGACTCATCGAGGATCTTTGAACCTTACTGACTTACTCTGCTATTAGTCAATCTCAAATACCATGATAATACACCCACCAAAACGGTCAGGTACTAAGTTACTGTCGCCAGGAAAACGTCCATGTGCCACTTTACGATTACCACCGCGCATGCCAGTCAATCTGGATGGCGAGACACTCGCCAAAATTGCCGATATTCTGGACGCTAAGTCAGATCTGGACGCCCTTTCATACGTCCTTAAGAACCCTCAGTTGAATTTTCGAATTATCAGCATCGATTCCGAGCATGTCCAGTCCGATACTCTTAAACTCACTGAGATCGGAGTCACTGTATTGGATGTAGCCACCCTCCAGCCTCACCAGGACGGATCGAGACAGACAACCATAGAATCTTTCGTCGAACATATGTATCCGATGAATTTCTTAATCTGCGAAAACGGTCATCTATTTAATAATGTTGTTATCGAGAGCGATCCTCAAGGTTTCAGATTCGGTTGGAGTCGGTGGATTGCTAGGAATGAAGTTTCGACTGTCCTCACAGAACTGATCAATAAGACGGATCATCCAGACGCCCCTGAGGTCTGCCCTGTTGTTCTCCTTAGCCATGATGCCGACAAACTACACGATCTCCTGGTCGATGCGGAGATTGATATTTCCAATATATCGCATGTGGTTCGGACCTTGCATACTGAAGAGATGGCGAAATCGCCTCAGCACTACCCCTGGCGTGGATCTCGCGATATTGATCTGACGAGCCTTATACTGGAGAACGATATGAAGCCGCTGGGCAAGGAGAAACCAATGGGCGAAGACTATCTTCATAATTCTGGAAACAATGCCGCCCTCACGATGTTATGCGCCGCTTCTATGATCGACGACTGCAAAGACCGCTTCGGAAGCGATTTAACGCGTACTGAAGAGAGAGAACTAAACCACGGCCTTGTCGATAGTCTCATTTTGTCCACATTCAACAACAAGGCGATGACTAAGATTGGCCATGATGTATATTGCATCCGTTGCAATGCTGCTGGCGACCACTTCGAGCACGAGTGCATCCCGGAACAGAACCCGGTTAGCTGCGAGCACTGTAAAAAAAGGGGCGAGAGACCAGAAACTATCGGGAACCACGATACGCACCGTTGCTTACGGCTGTATCAAGATATCTCTCCCTTCGAAGAAGATGATTGTGATGATCGATGATCATCAATTTTGATAGTAACCATCATTCTCGACACTTCCGAGTATCAACTCATAGCCCTTGAACTAGCACCTTCACATTGCAGCTTACGAGCACTGGAGTCGTTTATTGGGTCATGAATCAATTGAACTCTTTTCTTTGGCCACGTATCCTCTCTCTTTTGGTTAGGTTGTTGTTATTACTCTGTTGAATTTCCTTCCTCTAAATTGGATTGACTTTTCCTGTTTGAAATACTCTTGTCCTAAGTTGATATCTCTTTCCCTGAATTCAAGTTTCTTCTCGGAATTTGAATTTTCTGGTCTAAAATTCATATTTTCTTTAGGAAAATAACGTGTTTCATAAGCGAGCTGGCACCCCAAGCGAGCTGGCACCTTTTCCTAAGCTTATGAACATCGCAACCTTATTACAGTCTATTATCACAGTAAAATCAAAATCCTAATAAGCTAATCTATTCTTCAGAAGCCTCGCTATCAGTCTCTAACTCAATATCGGCCGTGCAGGTGCGTGTATTATGCCCAGTCTCCTTACATCGCCCGCAGCGCCTTTCACCGCGCACCCTCTTCGCAGGCATCTTACTATCCTCACACTCGTCCCTCGCAAGTAGATCACTTATCTCACCCACAGTTTGAGACTCTGCTATGTCCTCGCGTGGGATATACCGCCGTTTTCGGCTCTTACGTTTATTCTGCTCATCAATTGTACTTTGAAGGCGATTAACTGTCTCCTGTAATAACGCCATATTATGGGCTATCTGCTGAGCACCTTTACTCAGCTGGTGGATCTTCTCATCTAAAGAGCTTGCTGAGGACCTAGGGCGATCTTGAAGCCTCTTTTGAATGAGAGTACTCTGCGCCTCTACTTCTTTTGCGTTGCGCGGCGTTTGCGCCTCCCATGCGATTGTATTGCGAGGTGGTGGTGTAGGCGTCCGTACTCGCACATCAAGCTTTAATAACACAGCTTCTAGATTATGTGGGACTAATCCAGCACCTCTGAACCCTGATCGGATATTATCCTGAGTAAATGCCTGCTCAAACGCCTTCTTAAACGCAGGTAGGAAGGCTTCTTTACTGATATGATTGATACGGTTGCGCGCCAAGCCTGAGATCACATCGCCATACCTGCGCTTCAACGGCGAGAAACATGCGACATCCAAGGGTTGTAGCAGGTGAGACGAATGCGGTGGCATAAAGAGAAGCTTAATATTCTTCTCCTTACAGCGGTCTCGAAATTCCTGTGAGTTATGGCTCTCATGGCCGTCGATTATGAGCAGCCTACACGCTCCGATAGTCTTCTGCTTTGTATGCTTATCAAAGTGCTCTAGCCACGCAAGAGCAAGCTGATTACTTGTCCAGCCATTAGGGCTTACTTCAATTACCCAATCGCGAGGTAGATCTTCAAACCAGGTATTGATGAGCACCTTACCCGCAAAGATGACGAAGGGTGGTAGCAGGTGCCCCGCAGCTCCTACGCCTTGAATCACAGTAACCCACTCACGGTTACCAGGCTGTATCTTCTTTCTCCTGCCTGAATACTCCGAGCCTGTGATAATCATCTGTGATAAAATTTTGCCCATCATAAACCCAGTCTCGTCGAAATTATAGATGTCGTCGTCAACGACCCCCTACTTCTGTTTCCACTCCTTTACTACGTCGAACCAGCGCTTGATAATCGCTGGATCCTCGCACTTAGCTCGCTGATAGTCGTATGGACGGCTCCAACGTTGTTTAACCTCCGGAGTCCGCTTTACAAAGTTATCAACCCAGTTCTTGCCAACTGGCTCTGCGCCGCGTGCTCGCAGGAGAGTATCAGCCATTTCGCGCACGCTCTGCTTCGTAGGCGCAAATCCTTGATCTGACTCCTCAATTATATGCCGAACTATCGCCTCCTCTTCTAGTTTATTCATCTTTTTCGAATTTGGCTCGCAATCGGCTCGTAGAGGGATTCCAGCGTGTCGACTTTGAAGGGTTGATCGGGGAACGTTATAGATCTCTGCTGCGCGTTTCACGCTTTTTACGCGTCGGGAACTAATATCAGAGATAGCAAGTAATATATCAGCTTCAGTATAGGGCTTTTGTATATTGTGTTGTTGAGACATTACGCGCAATCGACGCGCTGGTGGGGCGCTCATGAAAAGGTGCCAGCTCGCTTGGGGTGCCAGCTCGCTTATGAAACACGTTATATGTAATCTGAATATCATTATGTTATCTTGCTACTTAATTACATCTTGTTTTGTTCGTTATCATGAAATCTGATGCAGGCTGGGCAAGTATGATGGGATTCGACATACAGTAAGTCCTAATTGATTTGTAAATTTAAGTTCCATCTGGATCATTTAGAGTTTCCTCCCAGGAACTTAGAGCCTCCGTTGAAGTGAGTGTGTCGCAATGCGTGTGACCTAACCGACGGGTCGTTAGTTGCACACATTTCCGCATGAGAGCTATAGCTTCTGTAATGCGTCCCTGATCCTTCCACGCGTATGCGAGGGTATTGATGCTGTTCAGAGTGTCTGGATGGTCTTCCCCTAGCTTCCTCTTCTGAATGTCCACTACTCGAACCAACAGCTTCTCTGCAACATCGCACCGTCCTCGAACCATATTTGTTGATGCGAGGCCATGGATGCTGCTCAGGGTGTCCGGGTGGTCTTCTCCTAGCATCCTCTTCTGAACGTCCACTACTCGTACCAACAGCTTCTCTGCAACATCCCACCGTCCTTGATCCATGTATGTTCCTGCGAGATTTCCCATAAAAGTCAGCGTGTCTCGATGGTCTTCTCCTACCTTTCTCTTACTAATTTCTACTACTTGCTCCAATAATTCCTCTGCAGCCTTCAACCGCCCTTGCATGCGATATGTTAACGAAAGACCATTCATAGCCATTTGCGTGAATGAGTCGTCTTCTCCGAGCCGCTTCTTGCAGGTGTTCACTACTAGCAGCTTCAATCTTTCCGCAGCATCCCATTGCCCCATTGCGTGCTTCGTACCTCCTAATAAGGCCATACTTTGTAGTGTTTCAAAGCTGTCAGGGCTTCGAAACTTGCTAGTGACTCCCATCGACTTTGTTATCAAGGGCTCTACCTCGACAAAATTTCCTTTACTGCTAGCATACCATGCTGCATGGTACAGTAGTCTCGCCCACTTCTTGCAGCTTTCCAGACTTTGTGGCTTCTTGTGTGAGGCTGCTACTGCATGCGGATAGAGCCGCTGGCACTTTTCCCAATTTTCGTATTCCCCTGGTGGGAACGCATCAAACAGATTGCTGATGAATCGGTCCTTCCAACTTTCGGCTTCATTCCTGCCTTCGAGCCATTCTTGCGTCGCCAACTGCACCAAGCGATGCATCTCCAATGACCCTGGATCATTTGTCTCGGAGACGAAGGAGTAGTCTCTTAGCGTCTGTACATCGTCCGTGAATGCGTCGTCGTCACTGTTTTCAGAGCCGCTGTCTTCACTAGCACAATGTCTACTGAAAGTGTCTTGCTTATCATGGGCTTGTGTGATCACGTTTCCATCTACACTGCCGCATATGGTGGGCGTAATGCTGCGATAGCTTAGCAAGGCCTTGGGGATACCTTGCCGGTCGAAGAAGCTCATGAGCGACAGAAGATCCGCTGCAGACCGTCTTGTACTTCGAATCGTTTCGAACGAGATCTGCCACGTTGTAATAATGGAGTTCTTGGCCTCATTATCTCTCCGAAGATGTCCAGCTTCTCGATTCAGCAAGCTCGTTTTCCGCCTGTCGCTTTTGTGAAATGCTGCGAGGTACTTTCGTATTGAATAGTGAGGCCCTTGTTTCTGAATGTACGCTGCTGCCTGAACAAGCGCAAGTGGCATGAGTTCTAACGCTGCTGCTAGCTCAACAACGTCCTCTAACTCGACTGCGTCTCCTAACTTTCTCCGTAGAAGAACTTGTGCATCGGTGTCTCGCATTGGCTTGATGTGAAGTGTGTCCCGATCCTCGACCAGACGCGATGCTGCATGACTAGAGCGACTTGTCACAATGACGGTCCCGTATTTGCTTGGAGGTAGGTATCTGGAAAGGTGTTGTTGACCGTGCGAACCTGATACAGAGGCAATGACATCAGAATCGTCGGCATTGTCGAGAACAAGCAACCACTTCCCGTGACTTTCGTCGAGCAACCAGTCGCGCACGAGCTCAAACACATTCGCCTGTGGGTCTGTACGGCCTGCAAGTTGGACCTGGTTTGCAATGTCTCGGTAACCTTGCTCAAGCCGCGATGCGTTGCCAGCATGCACCCAAAATATCCAGGTTCCTGGAGAGCGGTCGACGGTGCGATAACAGAATTCAATTGCAAGTTGTGATTTGCTATTTACTTGTCAGAATCAAATTATGGTTACCAAATCACAAACCCCAAATCCTATTGCAAGCTGAACTTACCCCACACCTCCGAGACCTACCAGCGCTACCCGGGATGCTGGAGTAGAACATTTCTCCTGTATATCATCTAGTAGCGTGCCTCGATCAACAAATTCAGGGTCGCGACGAAAAGGAATCACGCAGGAAGGGCGTATCACGCCTGGTCGGACTGTAGTGAAAGGAATGTTAGATACACTTTGCCATTTGACACATCAGCAGGCTGTCACATACCAGCATTTGGATCCGTACTGTTAACTTGTTTTGTATGGCGACCTCGTCGCCTCTCAACCTCGTCTATTAATCTTTTTGTCGCGTATTCTTCTCCTTCTCCATATATGAGCGGTAGGAACACCCCGCAAATTCCTAGCAAGCAATATACTTTATCCTCCTTGAGTGTAGTTGCCCGCGAAGCTCCCCAGCTCATTCGATCTTCAATGCTAAAGTCATCGAGGACCTGTCCTCGTAAGGCACTAACGGGTATCTTAGTGATTTCGTGTATCTCCCCTTCTAAGGACGACTTCGTGCCAAGAATCTTGCCCTCTTTCGAAAAGAATTCCACGACAGCAGGAGCCACGAGCTCTTGCAAGGTAAAACCTCGCGTAAACCACCGACAGTTTCGGAAAGCATCTGCCCATACCGCTTGACAGGACACGGCGTCAGTGAAGTCGGTCGGGACAGAGACATCCGACAGGTAGACATAGCACTTGGAGGCGCCTTTATACCACTTGAACATGGAATTGATTGCCGTGTCTAGTTCTCTGACGTTAGATTTGTCGATGCAGCAGGTGTCGACCCAGAGGAACTGCAGGCCATCCTTCGCTGTCTGTTGGCTACAAAAGCGAAGCTTCTCAAATCCGGACTTGTCTTTGCCTGCATCGGTGAGGATGTCTTGGTACATGACTTCCTGACCTTCTACCCAGGTATGCGAGAGGATAGCATACGGCGGCGGGTCGTCATCGTCGAACCAGGTCAGCTTGAAGTCTCCATCCGTCAGATTCTCTAAGAGACGCATCGGATTGTGTGTATACTCCTCGCTCGTAGAAGTTGCTTGTGCGAGTAGATGGAATGGAGATGGAGTGGGGGATAGATAGAAATCGATCAGGCTGAGCGCTTATGGCTGTGCAGTTTCCGCCATCCAACCAGATGTGCCCGGCTGCAGTCTACAGGGTAAGGCTTCTAGGTTATCACGTGGGACACCGTGCATTGGATGTTCCAAGCCTACCTCGAAAACACGAATATCTCCCGACTTTGACAACAGTGATCGTAGTTACAGCTGTTCCTATTCACTCCCAACCGATGGGCCTATTCGAAGGATTACGGGCTAACCCGTTTTCGGATTCCCACCAGCCAATGGCACTTTAGCTACGGTCTTGCTCTATTGAATACTATGTTGGTAGCATGATAGTTATCTCAAGTCGCAGGTGGCTCAAAAAGAAGCTCGGTAGATTTCGATACTGATGCGTGAGATTTTCGCAGACATCAGGGAATCTCATGGGAAAGCAACGATAACGAGCGCACTGGAAGTGAAATAAGATGTCTGAAATTGGTCAGAACAATTAAAATAAGGAAAGAAAAATGGGCCAGGAGAAGAGAGAGCATGATTTTAAGTCTCCACAAGAACTGCCAGCAGTCCCAAAGAATCTTACAAGTTGGGACCAATTTTCTCCAAGAACTAGCTTCAGCACCGTTCCGGCACGTTTGGTAGCATACTTCGTCGGCAGTGAGTATGCGATGCTGAAATTCTTGGAGACGATAGACATAACAGCTCCAAAGGTATTTGGCTTTAGTATGTGACCCCTCCAATTGTGGTGGTGTCAACTACTTGCTCCTGGAAGCACTTCACGGCAAAGTCGTACTATTCATTCATGGCTAGTGCAGATCGTAAAATTCACACATTCTTGTTGAACCACTACGGAAATCCGTGCGTAGGCACTGAAGCTTCACTCCGTCCAATTAGGAGCAGTAGCGAATCATGCAATATATGGACCAATGATATCATATGTCGTATCCCATACCTTGTTCTGTGCCATAGACCGCAGCTTCACCAGCTCTTTTTCATTCTTAACTGTATCGCACTTGTGGTTGGCCAGGAATAAGCCTCCCTTCAGCTGTCCCCTGGTCGTTGTTCCAGCAATATCTGGAATCTTGGGCCCATTTCCTCCGAATCGACCACTGGTAACAAGATAAAGATGTCTCTCAGCCGACTCTTTGAATGTATATGCGATGAGCATGAGTAGCGGGTCGATGAACCAAGTGGCGAACCATAACCCCCATGACCCTGGATTCCAACTACGATACAAATTGCCAGTTCTCACGATGTGAGGATGGCTATGTATGAAGACAATATCGTGATTCTCGTTCTTTTCCGCAAGACGCTCGAGAGTGAGAGTACACATTACACCATTATGGATCTTAGTGTATGCTACCCAAAGCAGACCAGCATTCTTCAGTTGCAAATCGTCGACATTGAATCCGTGATGCGTTTCCATGCCACCTGAATTAACGCTGATGACTCGAGCGCTTCCAGAAGCACGGAGTTGGGGTAGTAGGTTTTCTACAAAACAGATGCGGGAATAGTACTCCAATGCGTGACTGATGTCCACTCCTTCGGATGTAGCTTATCTATGTTAGCGCTTGATGTACTGTGACACACTCGAGCTCCGAGCATACCCGCTCTGCCCATGAAAGGCGCATATCCAGTCGTCATGAATAACAGATCGATCGTCGATTCAAGTGTCTTGATATGGTCGCATACCCTCTTCACTTCGGAGAGGAGCGACACTTCACCCTCAACCCAGACGATATTGGCTTTCGCATTATCATGCCGGAGCTCTTCCGCAAAATTGTTGAAACTTTCTTCACTGACTTTGCGACCAACAACGTACGCGGTGAAGCCGAATCCGAAACCAGATATCTCGGCGAGAGTTATCTTTCCAATGCCTGAAGTGCCGCCAACGAACACTGCGACTCTAGGCGCAGAAAACTCGTCGACTTGAGCGTTGCTTTGCTGAATCAAAGAGATATGGACCATCTCGAGGGAGTGTTTCGTCGTGTTGAACACGATCGCAGTGTTGGAAATTGTGCGTATTTGAAGGCATTTAGGCGGCCGGGCTGCGGACGAATCCCGGACTATATATCTCGCCCGAATTTGTCAAAGGAAGCAGTGTTCGATCCTTCAAAAAGGAACTTTTGCAAAGAAAGACGCTGATCCTGCGGGTTAAAATGTTGATTATATACACCTCCCGCATTGAGACAGTTTTACGGTTAGGACTTAGCCTTGTAGATTGGTTGTGCTCAACTTCAATGAGCTGATGGCGTTTTATGTTTCTACCCAAGATAGATAGATATAAGATCTTGAACTTGGTATTCAAGTCCCAATAGAAAAAAATGAAAAAGGCAAAAGATCTGATGATTCTGGTTCCGTGACATAAAATGTTGTGTTGTGTACTTGGCCTTGATAGTAAAAAGTGAAATGCGAAGTCTTTGACATCACTGCCTAGTGAACAACAAATCATCGATGTTTTTGCTATGATGTAACAGCACTTTTCACTACAAGAGAGTATTCACCAGCTCAAAGTAGATTGCTAACTGCTGCCCCTTGTCGAGAGATCCGTTCCCACAAGCACGGGCAGTGAATATGAAGGATATGATTCACTGGGGACACACGGACTATTTGTTTGTTAGCTGGATCAACAACCACATTTAAACTCCCTAAATTTTCCAAATACTCCAATACCCCAACATCACAACATCTCGAAATACAAATAACTCAACAACCAAATAACAACCTCATCGAACTGTTGCCAATATGCCAGCAGCTACTCAGCATCAGAGGAAAGTCCTGAAAGACGTGTCCGCGGGCACGGATTTCACTCTCGATCCTACAGCATCTTTCGTATCCGAGGTCAATCGCCTGGCGTTGACACTTGGTTGGTTTCCGGGTGACGGAGCGTTCCATCTGTTGTGGATGGCCTGTTTCGGCACGCCCCCATCATCACGTAAGTCTTCACTGACCCCCTATCGTTGTGTCAACATCTAATCAAGTTATAGGACAAGTCCGGGCATGCAAGCCAAATTCTGAGGGCAGTGTCCCTGGAGCTCCCGTCGACAATGAGTCTACAGAGAATGAATCAGATTCGGACGAGACTGTCAGGGCCGGGGACAATCGTTCGAATCGTGTTCCATCTTTGGCAACTGAATTCAAGGAACGTGCCGAGTATTTCGGTTGGAGCAAACGCAGTCAGAGGTATCGCTCTGAAAGGATCATGTTCTTGGTCAACAAATTCGAAGAATTCTTCGACCCGGATGAAAGTAACTTGACGACGTGGCAGAACCTCTGCCATGAGGTCGGAGTTTCGCCAGTCCCCTCATCGATCACCCAGTGCAAGAAGGTAAGACATTCTTTGAACTGATGTGATAATGTACTTTGACTAACTGATAGAAGGCTTTGGGTCGCGTTCACGTGAACCTCGTCAATCTCCTCGAGCACCTCCGTGATCGAACTGTCGTTCTACGCACCTTCAGTTCAAATGCAAAGCTGACGGAATACGTCAGGCAAGACCGAAGCCGGGTGTTCCCCAAGGAGGCCGCGAAAATGAATGTATACATCAAGGCTCTTCTCGAGCGACTCTTCCCGGCATGGTAGTCAGGTAACAGGCATTGTTCATTCGTAAATGATGCAATCCGAACCCACTCCTACCTAGACGAGTTATTGAAGGAGTGTTCGAACAAGAGATTCGCTCTTAGGGGCAGAATTCAGGAAAAATTTGCTTGATCAATGGAACACGGCCACGACGGATGGATAACATAGTTTCCATAGTCATCATATGAAAATTATAAACACTTCACTCTCCATTATTGCTTCGCCTTATCTAGAGATCGCTTGTGTCCAGAACAGCAATTTCCAGAAAGCTACGTGAGGCTCGAATCACCCTACACGACTGTCATAGTGCAGCTTCGCTCGGTTTGCCATGGCCACATCAAGGGAGCCTGATATCTTTTGTACCAAGCCAGCATCAAAGAATGCTACACCCAGCTCTTGACTTGTGAACCAGCTCGCTCGATCTAGGTTGCCCGACCCCAGTACCACGACCTCCTCATCAACGATCATCAGTTTAAGATGACTCTGTTGTGGCTCTCCCTGTTCCTGCCCTCTTGATTTTGGACCTTGCGGCGGGGAGAAATAAGATATCTTGAGACTTCCCCTCGGGCGAGTGGCTATTGCAGCTTCTTCATCCACGATTGACTGAGACGTTGGTGTAGGTAGTTTGTGATACCGCTTGATTAATTTCTTAACACACCTTGTGGTGGTTGTACCAGCTGTGACAAGTTGCTCCAGGATCATGAGTCGTTCAGAGGTCAATATTGTGACATCAACACCACGCGAGAGTGCATTTAGAAGGGCAGAAAGTACAGGCGGTGATGTAACATTTGGTGATTGAATACGGATGGATCGGTTGGCTTTCTTGAGAAGGGTCAGAATGAAGAGGTTCAGTGGCGTCGAAGGAGCGATAATACTGTCGGTAGCTGCGAAGGGATTCAATCTCGGGTTTCGGCGATGTGGGCTCGGTAGAAACACGGTGGGTATTGTTGTCTCGTTCCCAGCTTTTAGATTATTGGTAAATGGAGTGACAATGTGGCCATGATCGTGGTTTAGCGTTCCGGTATGATCTTCCACCATAACACCATTTGTTGGGAGTAAACGAGAAGACGATAGAGGAGGTAACTTGTGCCGAACCCAGAAAGATGAATAGAAGTGAAGGAACTGTTCAATGATCGGTCCTGAAAGAGTGACTGCGCCCTCAAACCATTCTTCCCAACTGATATTGCAAGATGGTAAAACGGCTCGTTCCCGGTCGATGATGATGAATTTTGGGTGCATTACACTGAATGGAAGGATGAAGACAGATTTGATCTGAAGATCAAGTCCTCCTAAGGAGTCGGGAGAAGGCAGCCCTAGTTTTTTCGCCCATGTAGATTGATCGTATGTTTGTCCAGCCACGGATTGCTTATGGAACAGCTTCTGGAAGAGGGAGAGGGAGGAGAAGCAGAGTCGGACCCTGATCTTTTCTGTACCGCGATGTATGGCTTTTTCTGATAAAGTTCTCAATACTTTGTTCAATGTCTGGAGAGATTCAGACTGGGCCCAGAAGCACGTCACGAGAATGAGCTCATGATTGGTGGATTCCAAGAGCGGAATAAGAGATCGGAAGATGGCGCTACCAGTGCCTGTTGTGAACGAATGAACTTTTGACGAGGTTATAAGTGTCTTTGGATCCTGGGCGTAGTAATTGGGGTCATCAGTGGAATTCTCCCGGGTTGCTGAGGAGAGTTCTGATAGAAAGGGTTCAGTGATGTGCTTTTGAGGTGACGTAACAGGGGCTGCAGGCATGCTGATGCGAAGTGAACACGATGAGTACAACAATCACGAAAGCTACGTGCTAGATGTTGGAATTTTTGTTAAGAATCGACCACAACCTCGAAAGAATAAACAGAAAAGGGAAAGCACTATTACAATTAGATGACTAGAGATGGGATGACGAGGACGAGATGCTTAGGATGCATCGGCGCGTTGGAGATAAGCTAGTCCCAATGAGATCTAGCCAGAGGCCGACCTCCGACCAAAAAATACCCATAGCTCGAATCTATAACTTCCACCATCAAGCAGTCATTTTCCCCCGTTATTCAGCCAAAGAACACCGTAGAGAGAACAGGACAGGGCTTCAACGCTGCTGTCGCCAATTCAAGACGATCAATTACTTTGACCTGATATCGATACGACACTCGCAAGGCAGCCGATTTCACCATGCCCATTACCATTCTCCCGCCCTCAGCGGCACCTCTACCACCAGTTCTCCAGCACGATGATTCTTCCGATGTCGATATGTCCGATGATGACATTCCAGAGACTTCGTCCAAGAACGCCATCATAACGCCTGGACAGGCCATAACCGACGACCCACAATGGATGCGCGGCCATGGAACATACATCCCTCCATCTTCCACGACGATCACCTCGACCGTTGCGGGCACTTTGCACAAAACCAACAAACTCCTTTCTGTCCAGCCCCTTCGCGCGCGGTACCAGCCCGAAATCGGAGACCTCGTTATCGGTCGAATCGTCAGCGTACAGACAAAGAAGTGGAGCGTAGACATCGCCGCGCCCATGCTTGCAAGTCTCCCTCTGAGTGCCATAAACTTGCCTGGTGGCATACTGCGAAGAAGAACGGCAGTCGACGAACTCAATATCCGGACTTTCTTTTCGGAGGGCGATCTCCTGGTCGCGGAAGTGCAGGCACTGCATCAGGATAACACAGCGAGTTTACACACGCGCAGTCTGAAGTATGGAAAACTGAGGAACGGACTATTCACATCCCTCTCGGGTGCAGGAGGCGGAATTCTTTCTCGGAAAGGAGGTGTCGTGCGGTCACGACGCCAGGTTTTCACCTTGAACACAGCTGCGGGAGAAATCGATGTCATTCTCGGTGTTAATGGATACATATGGGTCTCGAAGCACAATGAGGCGAATAAGGAGTCGAAGGATGTTAGCATCACAAGGTTAGAGGAAGGTGTTTCCGAGACATTGTATTCCAGCCAAAACGACGAGCTCGAGCCTGGTGTTTTGCGGGAGATCACGAGGGTCAGCACATTGATCAAGGGCCTCGTCGCATGCGGTACGAGAGTGGACGAAGATATGATTGTGAGAGTATACGAGGGTGCTATTGAATTGGAGGCCGAGGAGAAGAGCCTGGGACTCTTGGAAGAGAAAGGTAGTGGGCCCAAGGGTGTAGTTGAAGCTGTGCTCTCGAGGCTCAGCGGATAAAAGACGAAAGCAGATGTTGCTTAGGAAGTAGAATTAAATGATACCCGCATCATAGCCATGCATACGAGCTCTCTGCCAGATCTGCGTCAAAACATTGCATTGACATTGGACATATCCTGCTCATCACCGAGTCGAACAATTCAGGAACCACATTCGAGACAATATCCCCCTCATACATGCATCGAGATTCGCACGTGGATATATTTTCTTAACAAGCTAAACCTAGGCATCTTGGCCGTCCTCAACTGTACAGTTTCGAGAATCCCTGAGTAGGTGGTTGCAACCAATTCCTCTCATCATACTTCTCCGCCCCATCAATGACATGGAACGTATAAATGAACCTACTCTTCCCACTAACATTCTTCTCGCTCTTGTGCAGAATATTTCCATGAATCAACACCAACGTACCTGCCTTGACCTCACCCATCGTATACACCTCGTCCTCCTCCTTCGTATCCCCGTTAGATCCCGGATGCGATTGAGGGAACTGCGGTCCCTCATTGTCAATGAAACCAGTGCCCTCCTCTCCCTTCTTGCCCGTTCGCACGAATCGCTTGCGGATAGGCGCACGCCTCTGACTACCAGCCGCAAAGCTGAGACATCCGTTCTCAGCCGTGGCGTCCTCGAGCGCGTACCAGTACCCGACTGCGGTGGGAGGGTCAGTGTAGAGGAAGGTGGAGTCCTGGTGAGGGGGCACAGCGCCACCGATCTCAGGCTGCTTGCAGATGACCATGGATTGCAGGACGCGAGGGTCCTGGAAGCCGAGGGAGCGGGCGATGGCGGCGTTGCGGTCGGAGAGGGAGATGGAGCGGAAGGAGGGGGAGAGCTCGTGCAGGTAGTGGCCGATCTTGTTGATGGCGCGGTTCTTGGGCTTGGTGAGTTTGCCGCTGGTGTCGAAGGCGTCTGAGTGTTTGTGTGAGCTTTGTGGTGTTTAAGGGATGGTGAATAGGTCTGGGGATTACTTACCTTCTTCGAAGAAGTAGCGCACTTTGTCGCCGCTCTCGAGGAAGTATGCGTCGCCAACGTGGTCCTTGCCGTCATCGCCTCCGGTAGAGAACTTGGTCATGGGGTGATCGTCCAGCGAGAAGTTGTCTAGCATGGAATCTGTGTCCTTTAGGAGTTGCTTGACGGTATCCTGGGAAAGCGCATCGGGAATGAGAAGGTATCCATTCTCGTTGAAGAAGGCGAGCTGCTCAGGGGTGAGACCCTCTACTTGTGACGTTGCCATGTTGGATGATTTATCTAGGCCAGGATCGAAATGTGTAAGTTTTGGACGAAATGCGACGGGACAGACGAGCAGGTCAGTTCGTATATAATTATTTATTTGTGTACGGCGGAACTGGACAAAACGGGACAGGTCTGGAGGGTGGGGTCCGGAATACGAGAAATAGGCAGGTTTGTGTTTGGATTGTAGGCAATCAGAGCAATCAAGAGAATGATATTAGCAGAGTGGAGTATCGGAGATGGCCGTAGTGTCTCGCCCAAGACTTTCTTCTTCGAAATCCTCCTGATCTTACGATAGCTGTTAGTGAGGTGAGGTCTAAGTCTTGAGGTCTGAGCTACCCCGCTTTGATTGGCCCCTCACTTCTTCAAACTCTCAGTTTCATTCCGCATTTCATTCCGTAGGTTCCGAGCCGTGCCAGCTTATCTCTTAGTACCTCGGAAAAGACCACGGCACTTTTAGATGGTCACTATCATATACACTTTTTGCACAATAGGTTATTCAAATTAAGAAATGTTTCCTTTTTCTAGACCCATGGCGTGAAGTCTTGTCCCTCAGTACACGAAGACAGCGATTCGAGCTTGAACTCCCATACGACCTCAACACTCATCAGATGAAATGAACTAACGATCACAGTATTGCTGTTTCTGGTAGCGTCATCTGACGCCCTGTACACCGTTCGGATACATAATCTCCCACACGAAGCTAGATTCATACCCGTATTTACAAGATTTGAACCACATACTAGATCAGTAGCATATCTAGCGGTCCCAGTCCAGGTCCTGCCTGATTTATGCAGTGGTACACCATAATATACAGAGAAATATTGGGAACACATCTGGTTTTTTTAAATGATCTGAACTTCCTTTCTCTAGGCGTGGGGAGCCTACCGGTACTGTACAAAAGTTGCTGCAATGCTTTATCTAAGATTTCCGAGCTCTTCCATAAGCCCGCACAATGCCCTACAAATAACGTGTTAGCTTCCGGTTATAGTCACTATACGACCTGCTGAATTTTACAGGGCGGGAGCGTCCAATATCCTACGACACCAAGGACCACAGTTACGTACCTTAGCAATGGCGGCCCCTTCGCACGCTCAACATCCGGATGAGTATTCTCCAGTAACGAAACTCCAGCACGCATGATCTGGGACGGACTTCTGAGATCGCAGATACCTTGTATACCTGCTGTTGCTTGGTCTGCCTCTTTGTTGGTACTTCGTCGAGCCGGGGAAGTGATATGTAAACAAGGCCGTCCCTTGTCCTGAAGTATAAAGGCATCTACGACTCCTTTGTTGACATCAAGACCATCCAAGAACAGAGGTTCAAGCATTGCCGGCGTCGGTGCCCTTGCACTGTCAACATCTCCGCGAAGAGGTGTCGTACTCCCCGTCCTCCTTGCACGCGCTCTCATCATCATGCTATATGTCCACAAAACCATTACAGCATGATACACCATGAACGAGTCAGGACCCCTGATTTGGTATGAAGGTATCGATCTCGCAGCACAGAGTACTTGCCCAGCATGCCAAATGGCAGTCCGCGCTTCCGCTGTTTGACTCCAGGGCTGCAGCCGTGCGTATGCATGACGTGCTTCGACTTCGCCACATTTCCCTGCAAATCGTGCGATTGTATCTAGGTTCACGTGTAGGAACATGGAGAGGAATTGGTGGAGGACGCATGTTATGGCAGGGGCGGTACCTAAGCTGCATGGCGCATTTCGGAGAGATTGGTCGCTGTGAGAATTAGTCGATTGCATCTCAAGTGCAAACATGATATAGGGAAACTCACAGCTGTTGCTGTCGCGATTGGAGCCAAAGCTGACACGAAGCATTGTTTGGGGGAAGAATGGCGGCTTGTTGAACGTGGTCCCAGATCTGGGCAGCTAGGCCATACAAGTATGCTGATCGTGCGACCTGTACATCAATGTTGTCTGAGAGGAACCTTATAGAGATCTCGTCCTGCAACAGTCCGGCCAGTGACATCGAGGAATCTTCGTGCTTCTCCGACAACCAGCGCATCTTCCACTCTTCTGCAGACGGCGCGAGCCACAAGTTGCGTGTTGCAGGCAATGGCAATCTGAGCTCAGAATAGGATATTAATGGGTTCCGGTGTTTCACCAGAGTCATAGACATGTCGTGTTCATAGAGATGATACACAAGCCTAATCACCATTAGTCGTGATCTCTCCTCACATCTGCATCACAAACCGCTTGTAAGATTCTTGTTCCACCCATTGACGCCATTTACGATCCGTAACCTCTTCACTATCACTTGCGTTTGGCTCGACGACAACGTAGGAAACATGGTCAAGCTTTCCTGCTCGCCGTAGCGCCTGTTTCTGTTAGATGCATCCAAAGTCAGAGAGGCATTCATACAGTAACGAGTGGTTGCAAATTGCTCTCGGCGATTTCCATCTTTCTTCTGTAACCACAGAATGCTCCGATATCCAACCAGATCATCGATGCTTGCAAATATTGCAAATCCCGAATGGTACTAATGTCGAGTTCACTCTTTCAAATAAATTAGCAAGGGGCTTGAGTGATTATTGACCATACATACCATTCTATGCAATGCTACCCTGGTTATCTCCTGCAAAACAAGACCAGTCTTATTCACAGTTGGAATGCCAAAGCATACACAACCTGCCGCAACGAGTGCGGTCAAGAACTCAAGCAGGGCCGTCTCACTGCAGAACGTGAAGGGATGGATCCAGGCATCAGTCTCGGCCCTCTTAGCTATACCCACTTTGATAAGTCTATCTAAGCTTTTATTGGAAGGAAACGAGGGGATAAAGATTTGACTTTGTGCTGTCTTAGAGACGAGCTGGAAGATCTGGTCTCGCCGTCGCGGGGTGAGCTGGTCGGAAATGGGGATGTTCAAAGCCACTGGATCATGGGGCGAGGCGGCGATGTCGGCGGTTTGTTCATCAAGAAGTGGGCCGTCGTGTTCACTGAATGCATTCTGATTCTGACCAGGTACCCACAACCTTCCCCATCGTTAGCGGAAAACTGTGAAATAAGAGTGAACAATATATACCAAGGCGAACGCTGAAAGATGGCATGCCTCTTCCTAGCTTCTTCATCCTGATTGTTCGCTTGTAAACCAGCTTCGTCGCTTCTCAAACGAGTAGTGGGAGGATTTCGTAAGAAGAAATCATCGAGGACCTGTTGTGTCTCAAATGTTTGGTCTATTGTAGGAGCAAACTCTGTAGCAAATAGATCTGCTGCCCCGAGCCAATCTGCCTCTGGTATCCATGTTGTCAGTGTCGGTGGTAACTGGGTCGAGTCTGGTCCTATCACATCCATATCTGGGATCATGATTTGCTCGAAAAATGAAGGTATTCCTTCGCTGGAGCTAATGTCATGACTGTAGATATCTAGTAGCGGATGATGTTCCGTTGCTACTGATTCAACGTAGGCGGCTTCACCCCCATTGTATGTTACCAATTGGGGTTGATCGAGTACATTTTGAACCGGGCTGGGTTGACCTGGTGGAGTAAGTATATTGGGATTGGCCCCTTCATCATATGGCGATGATGGAGATGTTGGCCGGGGTTTGGTTGATTTGGTTGTACAGACTTCGTTCCTTTTCAAACATCTCTGTTCCTCAAATGATTAGCATGATTTGCAACATTCTAATCTATGTGTGTAAAGGTTACCTTGCACGGCCGAGCGTTATCGCATTTCACTTTAGAAATGACGCAAAGATCGCATGCTTTGACAGCTCTGCCACCCGCTCTGTTTGGCCCTATTTGACCCTCTGAGGCATTCTTTACATGGGTTGCTTGGTGACGAAGTAACAGGTCCCTTTCCAACAATGAATGTTAGATCACATGCATACTCGAAACGTTGGGAATGAAGTGACTGACCGCCGGTTGAATGCAGCTGGGCACTGGTCGCATCGGAACGGGCGTTCATTTCGGTCTACAATGATTAGATCTATTTGCCGGGTCCGATTGTATAACTTACGAGAATCTAAATGTCGATTTAGATGGTCGGCTCTGTCATAGGACCGGAGGCAGACTTGACATTGAAAACTTTCCGCATCGGCTGTCCGCTGTCGCTTCCGAGAGCGATGTAAGGACGGCGGCGACTGAGTTGTCTCAGATGGATCAGGAGACATTTCTTGAAAGCGCATCGGATTTCGTGGGATTGGAAATGTCACCGTAATTTGAGGTATCGCAAGTGGGCAATCAAGGGGTCGGAAAGTGGGGGAGGAGGTAGCCGATCGAGGGGTTCGCACTATTTTCAGCCGAGTGTGGAGTATGGGGTGTGGGGAACGGAAAACGACACGCGTCATCTAGAATCATTCTAATGTTACTGGCTCGTGGTCAATAGCTTCATTGATGCGATGATTTGATAACTTGAGATTGAATATTGATACCGTTGTGTAAGCTTGTTGTATAACATCATTCGTGATGGCTGGCGGAAATCAAGCCGTTATTTAATTCACCACAGACAGGGACCGAATTCTCGTATTTTCAAATACCATCACATTAGCTAGTTTGGTCCACTGGGTGACAATTGTAGTGACGGTGTAGTGTGTGTAAAACGTAGATGTCATGAGTACAAGCCCGTAATTCATAAGATTGCCACTAGGTATGGAATGAAATCTCCGACCAAGTTGTGTAAACTATGGGACACCCTCCTATCTTGATACAAAAAGAGTGGACAAGAATGAATCCCTAATGACGAGGTTACATCTAGCCATCTGGAACAAATCCTTTGAGGCAATCATCACCAAGGCCGATTTCTTCTCAATAATCACGCCCAACCAACCAGTCAACTAACCATAAACTGCATCTGGTCCCTTGTGATACACGACTTGTCAGGCTCTCAATGGGACATTGAAGGATGACCTGTCTTTTCTTTAGTTGCATACCGGCCTGTAAAAGTCCTGATCCTCTTTCCGTAAATGAAAATGGGAATTCCCAGTAAACCCAGAAGAGCCGTCAATCCTGCGTAAGTGCCGAATGAACCGTCGTATCCAGCATTGTCGATGAACTTCGACACACCATAGCTAACACCAAAGCTGACAAAGCCTCTGAATGCGGTAATGACAACAAGGACTGGCCCAGATCGTGTAGGGTACGAGTCAAGAAGGTACGTGATGGCTGCAATGTTCGCTCCCACGAATGCAAAATAGTACCCAGCATTCGCGAACACAAAGACAAACCAGTGATAATCACCTGGATGCGAACCAGCCTGGCCGTACAAGTTGGATGCAAGGACGCCGACGATGAGTGGGATCCAGAGCAACAAAAGCCTGTTCTCGGGTTCATGAACACCGCCATTACGTCTCGCTCGCCATTTAATGATAAAGTCCGACCCATTGCCTAAAAGAGGCAGGGCAACGAAAGCTACGACAATTTGTCCAGCATTGACGTATGATGCAGAGGAGTCGGGCCAGTTGTAAGGAGGCGCCGCAACTAGCCCGGCATATGTCGTTCCAATTGCAATGTTCACTCCACTTGCTTTGGCGTTAGATGGCCCTACCAGAACTATCATGAGGTTAATGACTTACATTGTCAGGCCGTTGAGACAAAACGCCCAGAAGACATTGGGGAAAAGCAAAATCTGAAAAGTATTCTGATCTGTCGTCAGTATGCGTTCCACCGCCAGCAGCAAGCAATTGGCTTACGATAAAGCCATAGTAACCCTCACGCCAATCGGCCTTGCCAACCATCAATTGCATATCCGACCACACTGTTCTTGGCTTATAACGAGTGGTGTCCAGCGCAGGACGATCAGTCAATTTCACAGGTGCCGCGGCAGTCTCTCGAGATTCGTTCCCTTCGCCACCCTCTTCTCTAGAAAACTGGCCATAGGCTGCAAGAGAACGGTCGTATCGAGATTCAGGGACGAATGGAATAGACACGAGAAATGTTACTGCACAAAGACCTGCCCCGAGGATGTACCAATTTCCTGGTCCAATTGCTTGCGCAATCGGGGACGCAAAAATGGTGTATACTGCAGCGAGGGTTGTTTGAACAGCGGACTGCCACATGAGGAATGTGCTGCGTTCGTGAACGAAGTGGATTTCCTAGTGTCATTAGACAAACCTTACTCACCACGGTAGAAATACTCACTTGAATCATCATTGGGACCAATGCTTCACTCTGACCTGCTGCTAGACCTAGCAACATACGCATGCCGAGGTGAGTGTTGTAATCCTTAGCATATGCTGCTGCAACTGCTCCAGCAATAAGCAACAACAAGGAGCCGAGAAAGACAGGTCGTCGCCCAATAGCCAAGGCCAAAGGCATACAGATCAAATTACCAATTCCCATAAACATGGATGGATATGTCATAAGGGCCGTTATATCTGCATATGTTGCGCCTTTCTCGGCATACTGGGGAATATAGAACCCAAGGAGACCGCCGAATCCAGACACTAGGGATAGTGACAAGCTTGAGACTATAAGTTCGTTAGCTGCGAACTTGCTAAGAATTGAATGTACCCACAGATGGATGTCAAAATGATAAAGAGAATTTTTCTCCATTTCGGTAGATTCAACGGATCTTTGATCAATTCAGCGTTGTAATCACGTAATCGCATCGAAGCAGCATACCCCTGGGATCTGCGCTTGGAGAAGGAACGAGAAAGATATCTTTCATATCAGTGATCGTTACTGTTCCAATAGCTTTTGGCTGTTGGATCTTCTTCATCCCCGTCTCTCCGCCGTCTGAGACATTCTCATAGTGCTCAGCTGAGATTGTTTCCGACTCGGCGTGTTTCGCTTCTTTCGCCATGCTGTCTTGTTATCGGGTATAGATATCTTCCAGGTGTTGTTGACTGGTATAGAAAGAGAAAAGAAGTAAGGAAACCCGCTCGTCTGACCGCCAGAAGAGCAAATTGAAAGGATGGTTTCAGTTGAGCTCTGTGACTGTGGGCTCAAGCTGCCTTAATATGTATCTTATTCGAAGATGTAAAGATCAGTCATATCGAAAACCCATACTCAGTGTTCATACTCTCCCACAGAAGCCGATGGGTTTTTAATTGGTCATGTCCACCTGTGCCGCGAACCAAGCCAGCTCCAGTGAATGGGAGCCACGAAGTGTTGACGATAATCGGCATTTTGCCAGGTAGTGCTTCTTCAAATCTAGGCCAGGAACTAGTCAACGAATTATATCGGCGCGAACTCCGGATTTCAAGACTTAGCAACCTTTGATCGTATTTTTGCGGGGTACATAGTCGGCTCAAGTCGTGGGGAAGACTAGGGATGTCGATAGCGCACGGAAAGTGGACGAGGTCAGCACCAATGAACACCAAGCCGAGGTAATCAATGTTCGGAGTGCAAATGTCCCCACGAAGTCGCAATTTCCATCGATAGGTACAATGAAAAATAGTGGATCAACATCCAGAAATCGAATCATGTCAGTCTCCAAATTCTTCTGAATGTATTCGATGCACCCCAAATCCCAATTATGCAGTAGGTAACCTCGACATTAAAGTCTCAGAAAATATCACGCGTCCGCAGATTAATTGGCAACACTGATTCAGATTCTGACTATCTATTGCATATCTTCTACAATGGAACAAAAGGTAAAATAACTCTACTAGGAGTTTGAGGTCCACAATGAATTCGATGCTCGCCCTTATTCTTCTCTTCCTCCGGCCGTGGCTTGGAAAAGGCAGTAAACTCTGCAATAGAAGGGTAGGACCCAGAGATCTAGGATTCTGTTAGACGGAGCCAGATTTGCTACAACGCGGATACTTACCTGGACACTCAATGTTTCCCCTTCGTCAAAGTCGACACCCATGGACCATATACCAATTTCTAGCTTCACGATCTCGCCTGCGGGAATCTTTTCCTCGACATCGTGTGGATGGAATGGAAATTGTGGGTGAATTGACCTCTCAGGATCGAATTTCCGATGGCTTGCTCTGAGCACACCCACACTTCCGAGGTGCAAGTTCAGGCTAGCTTGTTCCTTTTCAGGGATGTCATCTATACGCTTAATGTGTTCCGGTATAGCAGAGAATGGGAAGCAAAGGTGCATCAAAAGCTTCCCTTCTTTACTGCGCTTTCGAAGAATAACGAAAACATTCATGTCGTCATGAGACGGGCATGACATGTACAAAACAGCCTTGGGCAAGCCAATGAGCCTACCCTTCTGAGGAAATGTCCAATTAAACTCAGCGATAGACTTCGCGTCTTCGGAATTGTACGCTATCACGGTATCCTCGGATATGGGATTTTCTTGTAGGCCAGAGTTCGACAGGTGAAATTCTTTGAAGTCGGTGCCTGGGATAGGGTAGTCTGTGTATTCGATATCGTCGATGGCTTCCCGATCTCCGAATTGTAGCGCCGACCACCGCACCTTTGGTGTCTTCTCCCAATCATTCTCAATGCCCTTCAAGAACCGTTCGAAGTACTTGTGAAGCTCTTGGTCAGAATGTTTGACGCAGTATAACTCATACCATTCTTGGTACGAGCTCCAACGGATCCACTTCTTATCATGGGGTACTTCTAGCCATCCTCTTACAGAGCCCATTGTGTGGATACTGCTGAAGTCACTACCACTGATGAAGACTGGTACATCAATCTTTGTCATATCGACACGCTTGTCGCTCCAGTATGCGTTGGCCACAGGTGATCTTCGATACATCTCTGCAAAGTCCTCGATTCCGCCGCCGACTGTGTTCGACTTAATGATGAAGTGCGTAATGAGGTCGAAATTTGACATGCTAAAGACGCCTCCACGACAAAATTGCTCTCGGTATATGTCGCCAGATCCTTCCCAGGGTGCGATGGCCGCGAGGTGAGGTGGACGAAGTGAAGCAACATGCCATTGGATGATGGCCAGCGCTGAGTTTCCAGCCATGCCGACCTTTCCGTTTGACCAAGGCATTGCCGCGATCGCTTCGATTACATCGTAGCAATCTTCGGCATCTTGGGAGCCCATGATTGGAATCGATCCATCAGAGTTGCCAGTTCCACGTGAGTCGACCGAGACGATTGCGTATCCACGGGGACACCAAGTGACTGGGTCGAGGCCTACGGAGAAAATACATTTTAGCTCATGTCAAAGGGATAGAGCATTAAGGTTGCGCTACGACATAATCGCAGTAGCATTGATGAAGAAATTTTAGTTCGCAACGGGGGAGACATACCTTCGAACTTCTCCAATCCACTCAATGACTCCTTGGGTACACAGCAATTCCAAACACATATCGGTAGCATGTGTAAGGCTGAATACTTCTTGCCATAGCAAGACCAGCTTATGACCGCAGGCAATTTCTCGTCCTCTTTTGCATCTGCAGGCCGGTAGATATCCACATAAAGTCTGCAACCATCTCGAACTTTGATTTCGACATCATGGTCTAATCGAATGTCGGACTCTAATGGTCGAGCGTCATAGGGATTGGAGCCTTTCTTGATAACTTCAGATTTCCCACGCATGAAACCCTGGTAGTTATTCACGCCAATCTCGGGCTTCGAGATGGGTTTGTAGGCGACTTGCAAAGGGACCGGCATTGTGTTGGGTAGCTTATCGCTGGTGTATTGAAGGATGGAGAAGAAAAAATGGAATGACGATTGAAGAATTTCTGAATGGAACAACCTTCTACTTCAACCTGAACCGGAACGCGACGCATTCCGAACGCATTCCGATATTTTGGTGCTAGAGTTATACTGGTGGCTAAAGATCTACCACCACTTTGGCCGAGGTGCATTCTGCATGGGGCGCCCACATCTTCCGAAATGCTTCGGAAAGTGGGAAAGTGGGTTCTCACCTTCACAGCCATGGAACGGAGGTGTTCAGTCACAACTAGAAAGCGTTACATCCAACATACATAAACCATCAAAGTATTTCAGAGTTGAACTTTTTATCTTCCAGTTGTCTATTAAACCTCTGTTATACATACATTGTTCTCATACTCAACATGGCACCACACGCTCAAGAACCACTCCCAGACACTGGTGTCGACCTGATTCGACATGACGGCACTGTTTACGGAGATTGGCGCGATGATTTCCACCGCGACGGATGCGCCATTGTCAAAAACGTTATTACCCCAGAGCGTGCGGAGTACTATAAAAAGAAGCAGATCGAGTGGCTTCAATCATTTGGCCGTGGCTTCGACCCAAATGACGAATCGACCTGGACCCAAGAACATCTACCTGTCAGCTTCAAGGGTGGAATGTACTTCGCATACTCTAGCACACACGAAAAGTTCGTTTGGGAAGCAAGAACCGAGCCAAAAGTTCTTGAAACATTCTCTAAACTTTGGGAAACCGATGAACTGCTGTGCTCCTTTGATGGAATGAACATCACATTGCCACGACAGAAAGACCTTACATGGAGCCCATGGCCGCATTGTGATCAAAGCCCAGAACGTAAGGGCATGCAATGTGTTCAAGGGCTTTTGAATTACCAGCCAAACGGAGACAATGACGGCGGGTTGATTTTGATGAAAGGTAGTTCCAAGCTTTTTGATGCTTTCTTCCGCGAGCAGCAGGAGCAGGACGACCACGAGGATAAGCCGCCGGAGAGCGAGAATTTCAAAGATCTCTTCATTTTCAAAGAGAAAGACGTGAAGTGGTTTGAAGACAGGGGCTGCAAGCTTGAGAAGGTCAACTTGGAACCCGGTGACTTGGTATGTGCCTCTTATAGATAAACTTGAAATGGATGTAATACTGACTTAGCGCGCAGGTTCTTTGGGACTCGCGTACTATGCATTACGCATGCTTTCCCCAGGGCGAGCGAATTCGACATGTCCAGTACATCTGCATGACCCCGGCCAAATTCGCCAACAAGAAAGATCTTGAACTGAAAGCGGAAATGTTCAAAACGTGGCAAGGAACCACCCATTGGCCACACTGCAATATCAGGAAGCAGGGCCCACCAATGAGAGATGGTGAAATTGATCCTCAGAATCGCACAGAGCCATTGGAGAAGCCCGAAGTTACAGACAGAATTCTGCAATTGGCGGCAGTCAAGGCCTATTAGTTATGCATCTCAGCTCGTATTTTATAGATCAAAGTAACGATGATTCAATGAGACTTTTTCATGCTACGTGATTGATTTGTGTACCCTCCATAATAGCACGCGACCAGATGTTCAATTAATTAAATATTGTTTATGCAATCATGGCACTCAAAAGTGTATTGCATTTTCTCATCATGCAGAATTTGGTGCTAAAACCTAGGTGTGCGGATCATCGCGCATTACGATCCCCAATAACTACTCTGAGTTACGCACAGAGACCAGTTACTGTATTATGGTGGTGAATGTATGTGAATGTAGGCGAATGCACCAGCCAATCAAAATCGCAGAACCGGAGGCTAAACATTCCCCACAAATCTCTCTCGGCTCGCCTTACTTATGACCAAGAAACCAACCCGGGGTATGGAGCTATGCGCAATGTAAGACATCTATCGGCTCGCCCATCAATGACATCCCGCAAGAAACCATGAAAACGCGACGGTACACCCGCATAACACTTGCGTTACTCCTATCATTCACCTTGTTCTATCTCTTTGCGCCATACATCTCCGGGCAGCAGTCGGACTCTCATGGCTCGCGCTATCCCCCTGCCTCGCCAGCAGGTGACGAGACTAGCGATGCGGGCAAGGCAGCGCCTCCCGCGAGACCAAGAGAAAAAGAGTTAGTAGTGGCTAGCATGGAAGGCGATGATACGGGTTGGCTGGATGAATTCTTCGATGACTGGGCAAAAAATGTTTACGTTGTCGACAGCACTTCGGCGCACCTGACTGTGCCGAAGAATAAGGGACGAGAAGCAATGCCCTTTTTGACGTGAGCGCCCCCGGGCAGATGACGTATGCACTGATCAAATTGCTAATACATGCGCAGATACATTATTGACCGCTACGACACTCTGCCAAAAGTATCTATCTTTATTCACAGTTTGCGCTACCAATGGCACAATGAAGATCCCATGTACGACGGCGTCCCTGTTCTGAAACGTCTACGTTTGAAGCATGTGGCGGAGCGAGGATTCGTTGCCCTCCGCTGCTCTTGGACGATGGGTTGTCCTGCAGAGATATCGCCTCTGAATCCTAGCGATGGTAAAGACGACCGATCGCAGAATGAGGCTGCATACGCGGGCGTCTTTAGGCATCTGTTTCCTGGAGAACCAGTACCTGAAAAAGTTGGCGCACATTGCTCCAGCCAGTTCGCCGTCTCGGCCGCTCGCATCCAAGCTCGTCCGAGGAGGCAATACGAAAACATCAGAAATTGGCTGCTTGAGACGAATCTAGATGATCAGATCAGCGGGAGGGTGATTGAGTACATGTGGCATATTATATTTGGCATGGATGCAATTGACTGTCAAGATGCGGGCGAGTGCTTCTGTCAGACTTTTGGGTTATGCAACCTCACATGCACGAAAGAGGCATGCGAGAAGAGGTACATATTGCCTCAGTACGCAAAAATGCCAAAAGGATGGCCCGATGTAGGTCCAGGAACAAGCGGGTGGCCTGAAAAAGGATGGGCAGACTGAAGCTAGAATAATGAGTTAAACCACTACTGCTAAGGAATGACAAATTTAATGACCTGCAAAATATGTCTTGCTATATTGGAGTATATCTAGGCAAAATCCTGGGTATCTGGGCGAAGTAAATCAAAGTCCAACATCCTATCGGGACGAGGTCTTGCTCTGCACACAGAGTGCAATTCCGGCAAGCACGAAACCCATACCAATCCAAGTATCTATGTTCCATCAGTCATCACGAAGAGAATACCATTGATCTTCGTATGAAACTCACCTCTACTGATAACCTTTTTTTCTGCCCACCATTCACCCAAGACAGTGAATAGAAAGGCCAATGAGTTGGTGATTGGCACCGTCAAACTCAATTCTGCGGCCTACTCAGCATATGCTTGATCGATATGATATTGCCGCACTCACCAGCTTTGCCAATCAATATAAAGAACCAGACGCTGCCCGTCACATTCAACAGCAACGGTACAGCATACGCCGGTCTACTCAGAACACCAATGACAGCATAGAATATCCCCAATACCTTCTTCTTCAGCCACGAGTTTCGGGGATCCGTAAGCGCGGGCCGTTCTGGTGGTGTGTAGTTGATCGCGGCCCGCCGCATAAAAGGTGTAGTGAGCCCCCAGCAAGCGCCGACGATGAGGAAACCAAGGATCCAGCGGAAGATCGAGGGGGACTCGGGGGTGGCAGTCGGAGGCGGATCGGGATCCATTGGTAGGTTACGAGGCACTGAGGATACACTTGGATGTATGCGAACACGAAAGGATGAGACGAAACGGCAGGACGAGCGATGTAATGTCGGATACAGATGCGAGATGGCGCACGTCGAAGTGTAGTTGATACAGGGGATCAACAGTGTCGAGATGGATAACGTCCACTCGGCAATGATTCGGAGCAGCAGCCACGTGCGGTATGCCGGCGTATGCCAGGGTCCAACCGCCATAACCACGGATCCGGGGCAGGCAAATAGTGTCTTGGTCTATGCGTCGAGCTTATGTTATCATTCATCGTCTTCCAAGGTTCCTCAGTATTAATGCTACTAAATATACTCCAGAACGTCAACAAGATGCTACGACTCACGCTTAGTTCGATAACATTGGGCACTACTTCGTTTCAACGGCAGTGTAGAAGACCACAATACTCGTACTCCCGCACCTTGACAACCATCCAACGAAGTGTCCCATAGCTATTCACTATTGTTTGTGTGTCAATCCCCACATGTTAGAATGAAAAGGTTACTGGCGTCGGTGGTGTGAATTTGGGATAGTAGCCAGATCATGTTTTAGTTTGTACAGTCACCATCACACATTCACCTTAACACAGTAGTTCATAAGGGTAGAAAGCTCAACAGGTCTTATTGTATTCAATCTTGTTATTTACTGGAAGATTGCAATCCTAATAAACTTTGCGCTTCACACATATATATACATCAAGGACTAAGACAGCTTGATCAAGTACTGACTTTGGCTATCGAAGTCGATGAGCACTCCGCATTGCCACACCACTTGATACGCTCCCTGAAAGAAGCACCTATGCAAGATGGGCAAGTGCACCATGTTGGCTGCCAGTATCTAAAGCTGATACCTGAACGTCGCATTGGCTAGTATCGCATTCTGGGCTGCAACGTTTTCCTTTGGAGAACCAGCAGCTTTCTCGTCACTGGTATCGTTCGCTAAAGCCTCTTCTGCTGCATCAAGCTCCTTGTTCAACGTCACCAGCATGTGTCTGAACAGCCACATTCCACAGAAAGCAACTCCAAACATGGACAGAACAATGCCGTAACTCTTCCGGTATCCGTTTTCCTTCAAGTGCCACACGTAGGACCCGGCGACATTGCCTAGTTGTGAGAACGCGTTGATCAGAGCGATCGCAACAGCTCTTTTAGCTGGCGGCCTAGGGAAAGAGGAACTAATCCACGAATAGACCACGATAAATCCGGCGTAGGCGCTGGCCTGTAGAAACAATGCCACGTACCTAGCTGCTACGTTTGTCGTTGACATGCTGATCACGCAGCCTAGGACGCCAACACAGATAGGTCCACCTATATGCCAGAATTTCTCTTGCGTACGGTCGGCGTGCCATGCATTTACAAGAGATACGATGCAGGCAAAGATCCACGGAGGAGCGCTCATGAGAAGAGTTGGGATCCTAGCAAAGCCCAGTGTGCCAGTAAGAGTCGGGAAAAAGGCGTTGTATGATACACCGACGACATAGGCTGTAAAGCTGAGCATCATAACATAGACCTTGATATCCTTCAGGCACATGAACAGGCCTTCAAACGGCCCTTGTTCGTCGGAATCGGTGTCAGCTTCGCCGATATCTTCGATCAATCGCAATTGAGCAACTTGTCGTTCTTCTTCCGTGAAACCGCGAGTGTTGTGTGGCAGATCAGGCAGTATGAGTACAGCTATGATCGCGATAGCCATTGTAATCGCACCTTCGACTAAGTCTCGAGTTAGTTATACAGCATTGCAGAAATAAACGGAGGGCAGCATACTCCAGAACAACCATCGCCAAGCAGCATGACCCATTGTTCCTTCCATATTGGACAGCACACCAGCACCGACCAGTGCAGAGAACGCGTTCGATCCAAGGTTACCACAGTACAAGATTCCGTTTCTCAGACTGAGCTCTTTGCGGGTGTACCATTTAGATAAGATGAGCAGTACACCTGGTAAGAAGGCGGCCTCGACAAACCCCAAGAAGAAACGAGTGGCCACCATTCCGCCGAAGTTCGTAACAATGCCGGTCAATGTAGATATCGCTCCCCATGTAAGCATGGCACCAGATATGTACCATGATGGGCGGTCAATTCGATTGATCAACATGTTCGACGGCACTTGCATGAGAATGTAGCCGACATAGAGAATGCTAAGGCAAGTGGCATACTGGTTATAGTTGAGATTGAGATCTTTTTCAAGCGTTCCAAGCCGTGCGGATGCGATGTTGTTGCGGTCCAGATAGTTCATGATATACATGATAACGAACAAAGAACAGCGTGCGTCCAGCTTGCGTTTCATGGATCGTTCGACTTGCACCCGACGTTCTGGGCTCAAGTTACGAGCTAGCTGAAGACCATCCATGGAGCTGGCAGAGTTGTTGTCCTCGATGTACTGCGAGTTGGACGCCCCCTTTTCGATACCGGTAGCAGTTGCGGTAATGTCGTTGGGCATCATAACAATGCTGCACGACTTCTTGTGGCCTTTCAAATCAGAAGCAGTTGTTGGTGATCAATGAGATGAGAGAAGATGTGCCTGCGAGATTGAACAGACCCAGGCTGTCTCTTATATATTCTTCAGCAAGGAAACCAGTCCCAAAGAAGATTCTTGCAACGTGCGTACTCTGTGGGGTAACCGGGGTAAATCTTTGGCACCGGGGTAGAGATGCATTGCTCGGAACTTTCCATACTGCATCCAAAATGGGCGTAAAAGCCAAAACACGAAGTTTAGCGGGCTAGACTGGGCTACGAGAGGAGAATCGGAACTTCTAGCATCCAAGGTCCGGCCGGTGTCCACCATTTTAACAACACCGGAGCCGGAGCCGCTCCTTGGGCCACAGGAACCCCCGATTGGTCGAACATACATTATATCCTATAAAAGTAACAAACTACTCATTAGATAGGCGATGTAAGTATGCTTGCGACCAACAAGTAAAGAACATGAATATTGAGATTGAAACCCGGTTCCGGTGTGTAACATGAAATCAATCATGATATTTACCGACATCGGGTTAGCCAGGAGGCACAAAACCCCAATCAATTGCCCCTTTCATTATGATGATCATTTCAATTGTCAGAGCAACCTAGTTTCTCGCTTTGCAAGATGGCCGCAGCTTTGAGAACGCACCGCATTGCATGCATCCCAGGAGATGGGATTGGTCCTGAAGTCATTGGTGCAACTCTCAAAGTTCTGGAAACCTTAGAGAGGAGTTTGAAGACTTTCAAACTCGATTTCACGCAGTTGCCTTGGGGAAGTGATTATTATCGGTCGCAGGGTCGTTACATGCCCACAGATGGAATCCAGCTCCTCAAACAACATGATGCAATTCTTTTTGGAGCTGTTGGAGACAAAGGTCAGTTCATCTCATTTCTATCTCATGTATCCTATAATTGCACTGCTAAGATGTTGCATAGACGTTCCTGACCATATCTCATTATGGGAGCTTCTTCTTGCAATACGAGGGCAAATGCAACTCTACGTCAATGTACGACCCGTCCGAACCTTGCCCGGTATTCAACCCTTGATCGCTACTCCCGTCAAACCTATCGATTGGGTCATTATTCGTGAAAATTCCGAGGGCGAATATGCAGGCCAAGGCGGGCGTACACATGTAGGCCAACCTTGGGAATGTGCTACTGAAGTAGCCATCTACACCCGGCATGGAGTTGGGCGAATCATGAGATTTGCCTTTGAGACAGCTCTATCAAGGCCGCAGAAAAGCCTCATCGTTGTTACAAAGTCAAACGCAATGCGGAATGGGATGGTATTGTGGGATGAGATAGCTACCGAGATATCGAAGGATTATCCTAGCGTTACGATGGAGAAGATGTTAGTCGACGCAATGACGGTGCGAATGGTAAAGAACCCTCATACCATTGATACTATTGTTGGGACCAATCTTCAAATGGATATTCTTTCCGACCTTGCAGCTGCACTGGCAGGCTCTATTGGAATTGCTTCATCAAGCAACATCGACCCTTCGAGACAAAGCCCCAGCTTCTTCGAACCAGTCCATGGATCAGCATTCGACATTACAGGGAAAGGTGTTGCAAATCCCCTCGGAGCTATATGGTCAGCTACAGAGATGCTTAGATGGCTGAAGGAAGATGATGCAGCAGACCGATTGATGTCAGCTATTGAGAAGGTTTGCGAGGGCAACATCCTGACACGGGACTTGGGGGGACATGCAGGAACACTAGACGTTGCAGATGCCATTTCGAAGGAACTTTCACAGTCAATCTGATGTCGTATCAGCCATCTGATCACAACCTCTGGCCACGTTAAGTAAGGGGACGTCTTATCTCATGTTTTTAACAAAAGACCTCGCATGATAGAAGAATGCTTTTGTTTGATGAACTGCCTATATATTGGTCAATGAAATTACTTCATACGTGCAATGGAGAGCTTCCCGTAGAAAACCATGTATTAATTCATAAGGCTCATCTTACCTTTAAACTACTACTATTCCAAAGGGTGGTGGTCTGGAGTATCGTGAATGTCAACTCATGAACCTCCCGAGTCCTGACCCACCTGTCTACTCCTTGTTCCCATCCACGACATTGCTTATTCTGTCCATGCGTCTCTCTATGTATAACTTGTCGACGTAACCTTATCCATTTTCTTGTATGTTGGGTCATTATTGTTACTTTGGAGTCGAAAGTCACGTGAGGGGATCATATCCGCCTCTTCCAGGCACCAATCAGATCTTCCAATCTGTTCCCCACCGAACTCAATTGAATCTACCACATTTCGAGGCTCGCTTCGCAACCAGAGCGTGACCGCGTTGTTCTAGTCTCTTTGCTACCGGCAGCAATGTCGAGACACCACCGGCCGGCCAGCGGGTGTTGTCACGGCCGGTAAGTGCTCAGCACTCACTCTCCCGCATTCCAAACCTTCGGAGCGGGTTCACATGAACTTTCAGCGCTGAAGTAGGCCTTTGAAGCATGTACATATATTGCTGATGGCATATGCAGAAAAATATCGTTACTTGTTTGAAACCCCTACTCCATAAGCTTGCAATACCGAGTTCTCTGTCTCTTTGCTCTCGTATCGTTGACTCCGCCCACCATGGCCAACTCAAAGGCAGCAAAATTCTCAGTCCTCTTCGTTGGCGCGGTATATATTACAACTTGCCATTCAATTGATATTTTGAACTGACTAAGATAGGGAAACATTACTTTCGGCAACGACAATGTGCTGTGGAACCACTCACTGCGCGTCGAGCGCTATCTTGGATCTAGCCTGGAGGTGGTTGGAATAGTTGACCCTTCCATCGATCGTGTCAAACACGTACTCGCCCAGAAGAAGGCCTCCTCGGCTGCTGCAGCTTATGCCAAAACTGAACATTTCCTGGACGTGGCCAGCGCAGAGAAGGCCTTGAGAGCTGCCGAAAAACTTCCCAAACTCATCATTCTTGGTACGCCTCCTCACTTCAGAGGAACAATGCTTGAACAACGTGACCTGGAGTCGCAGATTATCGCGTCCTTTGGCTCAGCACCAGCTCTTTTTTGCGAGAAGCCGGTCTCAACCGCAAGACCACACGAGTCCTACCCGGTGGCTCAAATCCTCAAGGATTCCGGCAACACTGTTTCAGTAGGATACATGCTCCGATATCTGCATGTTGTCCAGAAGGCCATGTCCATTATTCGCGAAAACAACGTGCAAATTATGTCCGTGAATGCTCGTTATACGTGCGCCTACTCCAAGATCCGTAAAATCGACTGGTGGAACAAAGCAAAACAATGCGGGCCAGTCGTCGAGCAAGCCACCCACTTTTGCGATCTTTGTCGCTACATTGGCGGTGAGGTTAATCTTGAATCCGTGAAAGCTATTGCTTTGGAACATGACGAGCCAGCCGGAAAATTATCTCATATGGCCATCGACGAGTCTCAGATCGATAGCTCCGACAGGATACCAAGGGTAACGTCGGCTTTCTGGTAGGCCTATCACCTCGCTCAATATATCTCTTGTGCCGGAGAAGAGCCTCTTACTGAAATTGAAACAGGAAATATGAAAAGGGCGCAATTGGTTCTCTCACACATATCATTGCACTTCATGGAATCAAGTATTCAAATGAAATTGTTGTGTCTGGTGATGGCTATCAGCTGCGACTGGTTGACTTATACGGAACACCTACGCTTCATGTCCGGTAATTAAAGAACCGCCTTACATGCATAGTAAAATACTCACCAAAGCTCGCTATAGTACCCCTGCGTCGGAAAAAGAAGAAACTTTCACGTTTCCCAACGATGATCCATTTTATTCCGAGCTAGCAGCTCTTCTCGAATCATTGGGAGCAGACTGCCAGGACGCATCATCAGTCGATGAAAATGCAGACAATGATAGTTCTGGTGAGGGACCGGCTCCCGGATCGTCATCGTTTTACCGGCCCTCCCACCCTACTGGTTCCATACTTTCAACATTCGAGGATGCTTGCAAGACTTATGAGTTTACGTGGAGAATCCGAGATGAAAGCGAGGCTTCAAGAAGATAGAGGACTTTGGAATGATATTACCGTAGAAATAGTATCAAAAATAACAATTGGATGACCAGTATCACTCCACATTACTTATATGTTGTTGCCTGTGGCAGAGACCTCTCTATGATAGGGGTAACACAGATATCACTCAGACTCGGACAATATGTAATATAGATAGCTTAGAAGTTTATGAATTTTCTTGACAGGTTCGTAGAATATGTCTTAAAACTACTATTGTGTAATTAACGACCAAGCGTGAGTCTTTGCACACACAACCTCTGAATGGCCTCACCTTCATCCAACTATGCCACAATCCCGTGTCAATTCTTTTGATGGACACACATAATGAGGTACCAAGCTAACAATTAAATCACTCCTCTCTGAGCAAGTGCATCTGATTTCCAACTACGTATGAGATTTTCTCTGTTTCTTAGAACAGGACGTGCTACATTGAATTTGTTTTTGTCTTGTCTTACAGCCATAACACATCTCGAACAAGCTAGGGCTTCAAAACTCACAGCTTCTTCTTATCTGTCATAAGCATTTCGAAATCGCGATCATAGTATCGCAATAAACTGGCTCAACAGAGATATTGTAGGTAACGGACACGACTAGGTAGTGGAATATTCAAAGAATTGTCGTCAAGCGTGAACATGAGCAAAAAATACGCAAAGTAATCATCATTGAGTCTATATTCATGTTCTCTTGGTTAGACTGTGAAGGTGATAGACTTGACGGTCGTATATTCATCGATGCCTTGTTTGCTTCCTTCGCGTCCGTATCCACTTTGCTTCACACCGCCAAATGGAGAGGCAGGATTACTGACGATACCTATGGATGGTAAGATAGGTTGAATTGTAGGGAGTTCGAACGCCTGTACTGACCTGAGTTAACACCTACCATACCAACGTCTAACCGTTCAGCAACTCTCCAGCAACGGCTGATGTCTCTACTGTAAAAGTATGCAGCAAGACCGTATTCCGATCTATTAACTGCTGCAAGAACTTCTTCTTCAGTTTCGAAGGAAACAATACCTGCCAGTGGCCCAAAAATTTCCTCTTGCGTAAATTTCATATCAAGGGTTGCGTTCAGGATAACAGTAGGCTCGAAAAATGTTGGACCAAGTTCAGGGAGAACATTGCCTCCCACCACCACAGTTGCGCCCTTCTCTAACGCATCTTGTACGTGCTCGGAAACTTTACTCACTGCTTTCTGATGGATCAGTGGGCCATGTGTTGTGTCTGAGTGCAGCCCATTGCCAACTTTGAATGTTTTCACAACCTCTATCAAGCCCTTCGCGAACCTATCGTATACACTTCGATGCACGAACATGGTATTTGCACAAACGCATGTTTGTCCTGATGCTCGAAATTTGGAGACCACGGCGCCTGCAACAGCAGCTTCTATGTCTGCATCATCGAATACAATGAAAGGTGCCAGACCACCCAATTCCAATGACATCTTCTTGATCGTAGAAGAAGATTGCTCGCAGAGCAACCTTCCAACGGTTGTTGACCCCGTGAAAGAGATCTTGCGGACGATCGGACTGGTGGTAATTGTTCGACCAACCTCGGGTGTGTATTTCAGCGTAGTCACCACATTGAAAACACCCCCAGGTATTCCAGCTCTTTCTGCCAGCTCTGCAAGAGCAAGTGCCGTCAGTGGTGTTTCGCCAGGGGCCTTTACGACGGTGGTGCAACCAGCAGCAATAGCTGGTCCGGCCTTTCTGGTGATCATGGCAGCAGGAAAATTCCAAGGCGTGATTAGGCCGCAGACTCCCACAGGTTCGCGTACTGTGACAACTCGATGCGAATCAACGTTTGTGCGAACCGTTTCACCTTGGATTCTAATAGCTTCTTCTGCGAACCATGTGAGGAAGGCTGCTGCGTATGCAATCTCGCCTCTCGCTTCCGCAAGAGGTTTACCATTTTCCACGGTCACGATACGTGCCAGGTCTTCCTTGTTAGCTAGCATAAGGCCTGCCCAGTCCTGCAGCATCTTACTGCGACTATAGGCACTGCTTTTGCCAAATAATACCTGAGCCCTCTTTGCAGCCTCAATTGCAAGCACTACGTCGAGATTATTCATGTCTGGACAAGCAGCAACAACAGTGCCGGTTGCAGGATCTGACATACATTTAGAACTGCCTTTACCCAAATATTCATGTCACCACGTACCGGATACCTCGAAGGTTTCCCCAGACTTGGCATCTTCCCACCTCCCATCGATGTACCCCTTGCACTTGAAGAGACTCTCATCGCTCAACTGTCGATTGAGTAAGTGAAGGGTCAAACAACAAGACGTTTGATTCGACTTACTTTCATAATAGATTCCATGATTTTCTTACGCCATTGACTGCCCATCAAATGGCATGACCCTATTATTGTATTCATGATCGCCTCTTCACAGACATCGACCGGTCTACACACCGGCCCCGGTTGGTTCTCGTCGACCATCCCGGCTCCGACATTTCCCCCGGACCCGGTTCGAGAGATTACTGGCAAAGCAATTGCTACACATTTGCGAAGTCATTTCGATAGTATAATAACTGATGGTAAGCTACAATAATGAAAGGAAATCATTGCAAAGATCTTTACTACCTCAGATTCAGATTCCATTTTATCAACATCAATCATGTCTACTCTAGAACAGCTTCGTCGTCTGACTACCATTGTTGCAGACACTGGCGATTTTCAGATTCTTGATTCGTTTAAACCACAAGATGGAACGACCAATCCTTCGCATATTTTGGGCGCAGCAAAGAACCCCAAGTACAAGCACTTAATTACAGAAGCCGTACGCTATGGAATTTCTCGATCGCAAAATGCCGAGGAGCAGCTTGAGCATGCCTTCATTCGGCTCGTCGTCGGGTTTGGAGTGGAGATTCTCAAGCACGTACCAGGACGCGTCTCGACGGAAGTTGACGCAATACATTCTTTCCACAAGGACAAGACTGTTACCATGGCAAGAGAAATCATAGAGCTCTACGAAAAGCTCGGTGTCTCTCGTGAGCGAGTCCTCATCAAGATCGCCTCCACGTGGGAAGGCTTTCACGCCTGCAAGATCTTGGAGCAAGAGAACATCCATTGCAACATGACATTGCTCTTCTCGACTGTTCAGGCAAAGCTCGCGGCAGAAGCTGGTGCCACTTTGATATCTCCATTCGTCGGCAGAACCATGGACTGGTGGCAGAAACAGGTACCGGGCAAAGATTACTCCGGACTGAAAGATCCTGGTGTGAAATTGGTGTCCGACATCTACAAATACTACAAGTCCGAGGGAATCAGCACCGAGATCATGGCTGCCAGTCTTCGCAACATTGACGAGTGTGTACACCTGGCTGGTGTTGATCTCATGACCATCAATGTCGTTCTTCTCGAGGAGCTGAAGAACGCAGACTATGCGGTCAAACCACGACTAGAAAATCATTCAAACGGTTAGTTCATGCCCAAATTAAACTGCAAGTCTCATATCGTACTAAACCTCTTCTGCAGGACACACCCCGAAAACAAAGTCGCTCCCTCATTACATCAATGACGAGGCTAAATTCCGGTTGGACTTGTTTGAAGATGCTGCAGCGACTGACAAAATCGCGGAAAGTCTTCGGATATTCTTCAAAGATGGAGAGGAGTTGAAACGTATGCTAGCGCAGGAAAGAGAAGCGCAGATTAATTGAGAAAAGTCAGTTTTCTCCTGGTAGCTAGCAAGAAATAAATCATTGCATCAAGTTACTCATTTAGTGATCCGCGTGAAAGTATTCAGATTTTGAAACTTTTAGGCACCATTTACCACTACGCCACCCTTGCTACATTGGGTTCACGAAAGGCATGATTTCTTGTTCAAGAAATGACCAGTCGTCGATCAAAGCCGGACCGCTGAAAAAGTTGAACGCCTCAGGCTCCGTCATGTACAACGATTGATCATCCATTGTAGCCTGGACACCTGCACCAAGTGCATTAGGCTCAAAGGCACTCCTGCTAGTGAGAGTGTCTATATTGATAGCCTCGCCGTTAGGCAATGTAAGGTTGGAGTTAGGCAGCGGCTTTAGTGCTCGAAGCACACTATCAACAAGTGCCTGATAGGGATGGGTCTGAAGCAGAAATAGAGAAGAGCTGATGTGGCGAATGAGAGGATCTTTCTTATCAGTTTGAGGATACCTCTGTAGTAGTTGGAGTGAAAGGAATTCTTTCTGTTGTTAGTGATCAAGACATCGTGATTCAAGGAGAAACTGGTTAACTTACGGATAAATGCCAGCATCATAGCTGAATATGTAGGGGCCCATCTGAAGTGCCACTTATATGCCGGAGACTCCTGTATAACTTCAAACTGTTCGATAATGTGGTCCAGTATGCAGCCTACCACATTCCCGATGGCAGAAGCTATGGATTCCTTCGCCGACGATGACCGTTTCACGTCATGTTCTAATCTTTTCAGAACACAGCATATGCCATTGATAGCTGCAAAATTTCTTTGTACTTTCAAGCTACTTCGCTGGAAGGATTGTGCGTCTTCGCCATATGCTATTCTATGTTAGCCCGCTCGGTCTATGTTCTGACATAGGGTAAAGTACACTGAAGGACTCTATCCCAGCATTGGTACCAATTCTCAGTTGTCTCTCCAATTTCGGTCATGATCTGGACATGGGTAGAATAGAATGATGCTGCACCATCAATCCGTGATCGCAGCTGCCCTGTCGCAAAATCAATACTAACGACCGCTTTGTGTTCAGATCAGCGTATACTCACCCCTCAAAAGCACTAGATCAATGATGGATACAAATCGTATATCTGAAGCTTGCGAAGTGGGAAGCTTAAGAAATTTTCGCAACAGCCCCACGTTCAAGGCTGGGGTGACAGGTGCACGGCCGGTACCATAGGCAAGTTCTCGCTCTAGGTAGTGCAAGATGGCCCAGGTACGTACTTTACGACTTAGCTCGCGCGCTCGGTGTACAATGGCCGGAGACGAATCCAAATTGAACTTCAGTTCCACTAACTGTTCCAGTGCGTGGTCCAAGCCCAGGTCGAGTGCCATTTGTCTAGCATGAGCGATTGCATACCATGTCTGCTCTGCGTGTGCCGCAAGCAAGATAGTTGCCTGTACATACTCGAGGGATTTAGTGTACCCGAATAGACTGTGCGCAGCAAGCCGTCGGCATTCTTCTAGGCAACGGTCTCGAAGATGGTCTTTGGGAATCTCAGCAGGCAACGGCAGACACCCTTGTGTCTGTCGAAGAACAACATATAAAATGGACAATAAGCAGAATAGTGAACGGCGCCTGAGGGCGTCAAAGGTGTCCTCCGTAGGGTCGAACAATGGGATAAACGGACTCCCGTTATGGACATACCTGCGAAGGTTAAGCAACGACGAGACGCTCGGTCCGAACATAGCTACTACTCACATTGAAAAAAGCAATCGTGGTACAGATTCATCATCGAATATGTTGTTGATCAGGTCGCCTCCCCGCTGGTGCAATGGACTGGGGGCTGCTTCATTGGGTGTCTGTTTTGTGGTAGGTGAGAAGACATCGATATTCTCCGAAGATTGCAACACCATTGTCGAGAATGCAGATCCTTCTGGGGTGAGGTGATGGATTGCGCTCACGGGAGCATCTAGATGACGAGGGTAGGCATCTTCTGGATAAGAGCCTGGGCTGCACACCTCTGACCCAACGCTCTGTGGATTAGAGGACTGATCACGGCGGCGGCAATCATTTGAAACCTCGTCGGTGGTGTAATCTTTTGTTTGTTCCGTGTGTGCCCTTTCGGCTTCATATAGAGGTTGTCCAGAATTCGTATCTCGCGATTGAAGGGGTGGCTCAATGGGTTGGTCTCCACTGCTCGCAGCAGACCTTTTCAGCCTACCCAACTGTTCCTTGAGATCCTGTACCTCATTTTGAAGAGATTCTCTCCTATCAATAAATGCATAGTTAGCATGAGCGCTATATTCCCATTCAATGGACAGAACGCACTTCCTTTTACGAATGCTTGAATGTGGCGCACCAGGGACCGCAGACTGGTGGCGTTTGCTTTCTATGATATCGAAGATGCAAGGCACTCCAGAATTGACACATCGAGGGCAAGGTTTCTCCACATTACCCTCGCATCGCATCTTTTGTCGACGGCATGTTCTGCAAGCCTTCATCCTTCGAGGAGATGGTTCGGCTGTTGGAGTAGGATCCGGCGCCGATTGGCCTCGCTGAACACCAAGCTCGAGAGCCATAGTGATGAGTAACAGGTATTAGACACTTATTGGACAACGTTTGAAAATTCCTTATCTCTTTCCGGGATCAGTATATTGCAGAGTGACTGTTTGGGATTGAAGTGGGGAGGCCGTGAAACCCGGTATTAAGGTGCGAAGAGGCAGAGCTGGTGCGAACCGGCCGGTGGTCACCGGCTCTACCGGCGGAGCTTGCAAAAGATACCTCCTCATTCCTTCTAAGCTAAAACGGGCCGAGTCCAGCCACTCAGGTCGACACCTCAACCAATTAATCGTCGGGACTTCATACATTCAGTTGTGTTCTTGTCAAGACTCAGAAGACAAGAGAGCACCAGAAAATGTGGCCGTTCAGTATGTTGTCATCGTTCTTCTCCACTGCCGAAGGTGTCTTCATTTAGTATCTAGCAGGTTGTTCGATGCTGAATTCTCCCTCATGCAACCAATGCAAATACCATCTAAAAATGCTCTGGTTCGAAAGTCTTCTTTGCATTACCGTCTACAGTAACCTATGGGGAACAGTACACAAGAGCTGTTTTTCCTCTGACACAAATGTGCATCTCTGGTGTCAGCTAATCCGTGCATGTCTTGATTGTGGGCTCCCATCACAAATCATCATCCTCGACATCATCATTATCGTCATCGTATACAGGAGGCCGGTTGGCGTCGCTTTGATTCACTTCTTCGCGATCTCCAAGTGCTCTGACATTGCGATCCAATGACTACGCAAGCAACAGCCTGCCTGAGCGCTCAAGTGAAATAACATATCCCCGACAACACCAACAAGACATTACGAACATCTCGAAAGACCATCGCCACTATGTGTGTCCTACTTGATTTGTTCCATTTTACTTCTTTGAACCACGATGATGGGTATTCTTTCCTCTCGATCATCTCTTTCCTTCTGTCATTAGTTTCTGCTGTCTCGTTTCTGCTGATGGTTGGGTGGGGAATGGATGGCTGTTTGCGGATTGCACAGCGCGTCATTCCAAAGAGCTAGAGAAAAACGAGCGGCAGGTTCCACTACCAACAGTGTACCAGCATCAGTATCACCTCGTGGTCGCCCGTCATTACAACCACTATTCCCTGACGATAGTCAAAAACACTTGCAAGTATGTATGCGTACCAGCTCGTCCTAAAAGACCTCGACACCAGAAAATGATGCCTCTAATGAAAGCACCTAAAAGGAATAACCCACCGAACGGCACCGTGGTCTTAGAGACTTCCATAGTCTGTTGCTGTCACCCACTCTCTGATTGGACTAGACTTAGGAATGTAACGTGGAGGGTTGGGGCGAGGAATGTGGGCTGTTTGCGGTATGTCCCTACGGCCCGCCTCGCCACAACCGCTACGGATTGCCCAGCCACCTCTGGACGACAAACCAACTCGAAGTTTGTCTTGTTGGCAATATTTGCAAAGCCATCAAACGTTCATAATCGATAAAGATAAGGCTTTGGTAGACCTCCATTCCTCTCTTGTCACTAAACATAGGTCACAGAATCAATGGAATGCTCGTCAAAACGTTGAGGTTGGGAAGAACTCAGAAGCACATGATGCTGCAAGTATATATCCAGTTAGGTGTTTTCAATAACAATGTTTTCTGTGTTTGTCTTCCTGCATCAGCGTGCATCGTTACATATTTGCCTCCTGCAGCCCTTCCGCAAGGTACGGTCACTGGTACCCAGTTATCTCCATCGTTACTACACCCCTACGACGAGGCATTGGCCTGCTCCCCTTTCCAGATACCTGGTCTTAGATATCACACGTGAAAGACAGTCTTGATGGGTTTCTCAGTCGAAACACAGAGTAACTACTCGATGCGGCCCTCCGGTGACAAAGAGATCGAGGTTGTCCACCCGGACGATTTGTTCAGTCAGTATCTCGAGTCGGACCTACAGCTTAACCACACCATGGCAGAGACCTCTGGACCCGATGACCTGGCACACCTTTTTAATTTTCCATCATCATTGAATGGTAGTGAACATTGGGATTCTATGCCCAATTGGGAGGCGACATCGGATGATGCTTGGCACAAGGCTCTCCAAGTCCTCGAACAAAACCCAGCCTCGCCCGTGGTTCCAGTCGCTTCTTCTTCTCCTTCCATATATCTTGAATCGAGAGAAAAAATCATTCGGAGTACTCCGGACTTGTTGAGTTTCGACGACTTGTTTGAATCGGAACCTATCGAGCGAAGACAACCGGCATCAACCCCATCAACACCCAAGGCCACCACATCTCCACGGTCAGCAAAGAAGGTGACTTCCAACCCAGAAAAGCCGCAGAAAAGCGGTATTCATAAGGCTACGAAGAAGTTGTCCACAATTTCCAAGATGATGCGAGCATCGCCATTCCGTACAAACCTCCAGGATCTCTGGACGCGAAAGCTTGATGCGCCAGCAGATACATTCAATCTACAGCTCCCTAATACACCTCCACAATCCGTGAAGCTGTTTGAGCATCAAGGAACGACGAATGAGTTCTATGCTCCTCAGCAGCAGCCGGCTTATACTACCCCGCTATCTCCATTCCCAGACTCGACACCCGAGGTTTCTCAGGCAAATTATCAACTTACTCCACTTTCATCTCCGGCCATTGATACTACCTCTCGCTGCTCAAATGGCGAGTCGTATCAATTTTCAAACGACAGCGTGAACAGCGCATTCTGCTCTCAGAACATGTCCAACGCGGCCCTCTCAGCCTTGCAGACCCCACCATCTTCTCATCGGCTGCAAATGTCCGCGTGGGGCCCAGATACTCCAGCCAGTCTGGACTTTGCATTCTCAGCCTCGCCAGATTATCGAGCCATCCCGGGCAAGAACCAAGCATGGTGGCCAAATGCCCCCGTTTCCACTTCTCAGCCTTCCTCTTCATCATATCAGACTACTCAATCGCACTCGGCACCTCAATCACGAACACAAAGCCAAAGTCTAGGGTACAATTCAACACCAGTGAACGGACTTGGAATTTCATGTGATACTTCGTCCTTCTCTGGATTCAACTCGGATTTAGGAACTGTTTCGACCAGTAACGAGAGCTCGAATGATTTCTCTACTTCAACTTCAGCCTCGTCATTTGACTTGGGCTACACTGTGATGTATCCCACCACGCCAGGCGTTCCAATTGGTCAGCCTCTAAACTCATCGACCCCATCCCGGTCTCCATCCATGTCACCACAACCACGATTCCATCGCAGACGCCATTCTTCGAATACCCATACAACTCGCGCCCATCGTCGCAAATCTTCAGGATCATCCCAGCACTCACATTCAAATGGAAAGACTCAATCAGTGGGATTTGTTAATTTTACTCCAGACGACAGCAGAAAGATTCTCACCGGCGTTGCGCCTAGTGGGAGTTCCAAGACAAAAGCAAGGAGAGAAAAGGAAGCAGCTGAGAAGAGAAGGAAGTTAAGCCAAGCAGCCGTCAAAGCTGTCATAGAGGCCGGAGGTGACTTGGCGCGACTAGAAGAAGGAGGACTACTCAATCTAGGCCACGAGTAAATCAGAGCTAGAGCTCCTTCGTACAACTTCGACTCCCTCGACGTAGTAAGGTTGAGTTGGTTGCAACGTGGTGAGCTCGCTCGTTACTACCAGGATTGGCCATAAGGTTCTAAACCTCTCAGCCTATCTAGTGACCTTGAAAATGTGGTCCTCCTGAGCAGTGCCTTGCATTGTGTCTTCTATCCCATCGTGCTATTCTCTACTTTCGGTCTTGTCGGTTGGCTGTACTACTAGGATCACACGAATTATAGGTTTTTATTTCACAGATCTGGGGGTGTAATGGGTCCATAGCACGAAGAGCACATAGAATCAATTTCCAGAGTTCCAACTCAAGTTCCAGCTTGTGTCTGCCTGAAGTTCTGTGACAATCCCCCAACACATGGCTAATGTAGGTACCATGTAGAGTTCGAGTCAATGGACAACCTCTACAAAACTCATACTCACACAATATCAATCCCAATCATCACACCCTAGCGCATCCCCACTGTCCCCAAAACCTCCTAGCTGGTACTAGCTTTCATTCCAATTCCGATCTCTTTGTTCTTTGTCGCCATGCCTTATCCTCCAGGAACCCGCTCTGCCCGACGCAATCTTTCCGTGACTGTGACCTCACTCCCGACAGCTTGGGTCCGACGTTACATTGTTCCACACAACCAAATTCAAATCTGTCAGACCATGCTGTTGACCAGTCGCTTCTGCCTATCTGCCTTTTAGCATAGGGCTATGGACCCCACCACACCATAGGATTCTTAGTCCTATTAAGATACATACTACGAAACGTGACGGCCGGACTGACCGAGCAAATTGGCCTAACTTGATTTAGTCAATGGCAATATAATGCAAAACATGGTATTGGAACAGTATGGCCACTGTCTCTTTCCTCATTTTCTCACTCGCACGGGAATAACTCTGCTCATGGTGTGTGTAGAATATTTGACTCGGACAATCCAGGCAAACAGCGGTAGGTGTGGATAGCGAGTCATTTGAGTCAAAGTCTAGGTGGTTGACTATGAGCAGCAGTTGGCGTGAATGGACGAAGTGCTGTGCTAGACTGGGCAAATTGTTCCTGAAGGCAAGTCTGGCGTTGGGTTTTCGTGTGTTGGGTGAAACAGATTTAAGATTTCTCTTGGCCGAGCACATGCCCGATTTGATATTTTACGTCTAGCCATATGAGGGTACCTTGAATCTAACCTTACTATCGTCGGGGTCGGAGTCAGGTATTGACAATTCTCTTGGGTGTCATTACGCATTCTATTGGAATCTGGCAGCGGCACCAATGTCTCCATTGAGTGCACTCATTATCAATGAACAAAGATAGCGATAGAAATATTTGAAATCAAGCATGCCAGAAACTACCATAGCACCCACAGACTCACAGGTTCTCATGCTCGTGGCGCTTCCGGAAGAGGAATTAGGTATTGTGAGAAATTAGCGACAGCCAGGCACGATGTATTTACTGAAGAGTGTGGAACAACTTGATCTCACATTGACTCTAGGTACGAATGTCCTCTTTAGGTTTAGCACCACTATCGGAACGACTCTTTCGTCTTGGGAGGAAGTGTCAACGAGCCTATCATACCCAGTCAGTCTATCCTTTGTCTGGTTTGTGGCGTCCAAGACAAAGCTTAGATTGTGACGGTGATTGATCTAGATGTGATATTGGAAGATATCATCGGACATGAAGCATGATGAAGAACAATAATGGATTGGGTTCATTTCAACATTCAACGAAGCGTTTCTGTTGATTTGCTTATTGGGTCTCGGTTTAAATCTGGTTGAAGACACTTAGGCTCCCCATATCCTTTCCGTCATCAGCAACCATCAAATTCCACCCACAGGAGCTTCCCAAGCCAGCATTATCGATCCACGCTGGCTCCCAGTAGAACAAGCCAGTACCCCTGCTGCCCACGTTGGTGACCCGTTTCGCAACCTCCTTCATCCAAGTGACCTGACCTTCCACGCTTAGCGGAATGTTCTTTGTGTCACTCGGGAAGGCATTGGAAGGGTTGGGACAATAAGTTGGCCAATTGGTTTCGACGACTTGAACTTCTTTTCCATACTTGTTGGCCATGTTCTGAAGAGTTGTACCAAGGGCAGCAAGCGTAGCGCCAGAATTGTAGAATGGGTAATAGGATACACCCTGAATGTCATAGTCCGATGCGGAGAGGCCACCACCAGACCCAAGGACGGTGTCATACCACCATTGCTGGGTGTCCCACTTCCAACCATTGTCGAGGTGAATCATAATCTTAGGTTTGGGGGAGATGGTCGATTCTTTGATGGCTTTGGAAGCAGACTTCAGAAGCGCGGCAACATTCTTCGGGCCATCGCTGTTGCTGAGCTGGCCGATGGGAAACAGAAGGCCAGGTGTGATTTCGTTGCCGATGGAGACAATCGAAAGGGGAAGTCCATTCTTTTGGAAGGTGTCCATAACGCTCTTAGTATAGTCGTAGATCTGCTTGATGAGCTGATCACGATTCAAGCTCTTCCATGCGTTGGGTACGACTTGTTTTCCAGGGTCTGCCCAGTTGTCTGAGTAGTGGAAGTCGAGGTAGACCTTAAGGCCTGCAGCTTTGGCACGCTGAGCAAGCTTGATATTGTAATCAAGGTTATAGTCGCCATTGGAAGGGTTGACCCATATGCGTTGGCGAACTGTGTTGACTCCGGAATTCTTGAGGATAGTTTCCAGGGGCTGTACTTGGCCAGAGGTTGTCTTGTACTGCTTCCCAGCTTTCTCCTCAATGAGAAGTGATGACCAATCAACACCTTTATGGGGTAGAGCAGCCAGAATCGGGCTGGCAAACAGCAGTGGGAGCAACGTGGAGAAAAGCATGATCGTTGCTGCTGGTAGATGCAGTGGTGCTTGACGCCATCATCCGTCGAATCTGAACGCAGCCTTTTATATTTTCCAGAGATTATCGATGCATTGGCTTCTAGAATCGCATGATGCACTATGAGGTTCTCAGCGAGTAACTGCAATTCCGGGGCGGTCGTTCAATACAGAAATTCGCTCCAATGGCATGTCTTCTTGTAAATGTAGCGTGGCACGAGAATTGCATCGAATAGATGAGATTGGATCGGCGTTATTATTCGTGTGGGGTAAACGGAATTGGAGGGATGAGCCTGGTTTTTGCGTTAATCTATGTCGGGATGTTGACCCGGTTCTTCTGGCGAGCGCGACGGTTGCGATACCTCTTAAAGAAATAAAGACACAACGATCAGATAATAGGGCCGCAATATTGGGCACTATTGCTAACTTGTCTGCCTCGGGATTTCGGTTTCCTCACCGCGATGAGAGTATGAACCTTGAGTTTGTTTCTTGATATCTCACCTATAATATAGAGAGGGGTTTGGCTCTTGAGTTGTATGTTTCGGTATTTTGTTCTATTAACAGATGTAGAAAAGGATAGAAATAAGCGAAAGTAATCCTTCCAGAGTCTCTACACCATCAATCTTAAGCCGAAATGTCGATTGTAATTCTCAGTGAGATGCATTTGCCGCAAAGTGCTAGGTTAGTCCGGCGTTGGGAGGCCTGCACCGAGCATTCACAGTTTGTCAACTTGGCTAGAACAGGAGTTGGGTGACTCGATAATGTTCTTATTTGTGGAATCAAAGAAGGCGAGCGATCTTGACATCGCTCGGTAGTCAAGTCAAGTCGAATATGATCATGTTGACCGTCCGGCGCAACCCAATATTGGTTAGATAGCTTAGGTAGGCATGTAATGTGACCCGAATTCTAGCTCTAGAAGGAATCAATGGTAATCATTGTGAACCACCGCGTATCCAGCACAGAGTCCTCTTGTAGTTGAAATGACGTTCCTTCGATGTTAGAATGGATAGATGTATTTGTGGTGGCTGAAAGTTACTAAGTAAATTCCTCGCCTGAATAGACGGCCTGCAAATTGGAAGATCCAATCGTACTCCAATGGCGGTGAGTTCGTTAGGGTGTACTTCTATTGTAAGAGCATTCCAATCGCTTAGATAGTACGCAGGTGTCCTATCACTGGACTTCGTGAAGCAGTAGTTGGAAACCGTGACTCTATATCTTAGGAAGTTGAGCCTACCTGCGGTTAAGCATTCAGCAGGATCAAAGGAGTTTGTACTGTGGCCGCGAACAAGATAAATATGACCTTGAAAGTCCGAACGTGAGGACGATTATGCTTTGAATCAAAGGCAGAATAGAGCAATTAAATTTGGTCTCAGGAACTAGACCGGCATGCTCAACTTCTAGTTGGATGGATGATTCGAATCCTATTTGGATGAAAGTAGAGATTGGTGATGCATGCTGTGGTGTTGAAGTGATCCCCGATCGGGTCTTACCTAGTCGGGGCTAGCTTTGTGCACGAGCCATCTCCACCAAAAAAGTTTCGAGACACCCTACGAAAGGTTTCGTTCCTGACCTACTATCCAGCACAAATTCCTTCCTAGTCGCAACAATGGCCGCCGAAGTGCAACAAATACAGCCGCTGAAGCTTCCTAGAGCTCCTGCGACCGCGACTGCTGAAGAAAAATACTGGCAGTCCTTCAGCTCTACCATTCAACTCGACCCCTCGCAACATTCATCGCCTGTCACGCATATATCTTACCCACCACCACCGCCTTCGAATCTCACTGTTTCCGCGCAGGATCTGTTCGCGGTGACCACCGGGTCTCGAGTGCAAATCTTCTCTTCCAAGACTCGAAAGGCTGTGAAGACCATCAATCGTTTCGGTGTAGACGACATTGCACATTCGGGCAACATCAGAAGAGATGGACGGGTCATAGTAGCTGGTGGAGACAGCGGAGCGATTCAGGCATTCGACTTGAATAGTCGTGCGATCCTGAAGACATGGCGCGAACATAAGCAGCCCGTTTGGCGGACCGAGTGGAACCCTTCGGCCTTGACCGAATTGATGAGTTGCTCGGACGACAGGACGGTGCGAACCTGGGATCTTCCAAGTGACAAGAGCATCACTACTTTCAACGGCCATCAGGATTATGTGCGCACTGGTACATACATGCCTGGACAGAGCGGATTGATAGTCACCGGAAGTTACGATCAAACAGTTCGACTATGGGACGCAAGAGCAGGAGGAAACGCAGTAATGGTGTTTAAGCACGCAGCTGTAGTGGAATCTGTGCTTCCAATGCCATCCGGAACAACAGTTTTGGCGGCAGCGGACAACACTGTTAGCGTTCTGGATATCGTCGCTGCGAAGCCGGTGCACCTTCTCCGAAACCACCAAAAGACGGTCACAAGTCTATCGCTTGCTGGTAATGGCGAGCGGCTCCTTACTGGAGCTCTTGACGGCCACGTGAAGGTGTTTGAAACCACAGGATGGAACGTGGTCGCCGGCATGAAGTATCCTTCGCCCATTCTGTCGCTCAGCGTGATCAGCTCTCGCAACGAAGACAAGCATATTGCCGTTGGTATGCAATCCGGTCTCCTCTCCATTAAGACACGGTTGTCTGGCGAACAAAAGGTCAAGGCTCGCGAACGTGAGAAGGAAATGAAGGCTTTGCTCGAAGGTCGTATTGAAGAGTACGACAGGGTCAAGAAGAGGAAGCGCGGAAAGGGTTGGGAAGCGCGGATAAGAGGAAAAGACTTCAGGGGCGAAGGTGCAGATATTATAATTGACGGAAATGCAAGAGGCAAGATCAACGAGCTGGCTCCTTGGGGAAAGGCACTGCGAACGGGACAATACGCGCGAGCGCTTGACTTGGTTCTTGAGACTCCTGTAAGTTTCACAAAAGTGAATCTATTCAGAGTGGTGTCACGTACTAACAGACATGATAGGAGGGCAATGCACGTACTCAAATAACTACAGTTCTTACCGCGCTAATCCACCGCTCCGCTCTACGCACAGCGCTGCAGAACCGCGATGAAGTCACGCTCCAGCCGATCCTTCGCTACCTGATCAAGAGCATTTCCGACTACCGAATCACTCGACTCGTCACAGACGTCGCACTACAGGTCCTCGATCTCTATGCCGAGCATCTAGGACGGAGTCCGGAGGTGGACATGTTGATTGAAAACCTGATGCAGAGAGTCAAGGTCGTGGTGGAAGCGAGCCAGGTGGCATGGAGTGTGCTAGGGATGATCGATATGCTCGTCGCGGGTCGAGAGGCAAATGGGGCAGAAACCGCTATCACAGCGGCGGAATCGTAGATGTCTCTCTTGCTCGCACGGCTTCTTCATACATTGCATAGCGTTGGCGTAATTTGCGTATTGGATCTTCCTAGGTTAAAAGTGTATCTTGCAGATGGTCTGAATAGATTTGTATAGCACAATTGAGCAAGCTGGATCAAGAATGAGGGTGGTAGTGGTTGGCTTCGAATGGTGGTATATTGTGCAAACAAGCCTTTCTCGGAGCCCGCAGTTCATGTGTCTTTCGTAGACCCAATGCACTTGTATATCACAAAACGCAAATACATATGTTACAATTGTCCGTTATATCCTCGTGTCTCTTCACCACAAGCAGTACTGTCGCTGCGAGGGGATGGGTCGGTCGGGTAGAGCTACCCAGAGCTTGCGGTTGTCCCGCTTCTTTGCGATCTCCTCCGAAATACGCACGCGTGTCTTTTCTTCCTTCAATAGAACGGAAAAGCCTGTTCGGGTTAGTCACTACTCTGGATTTGATAATCTGGGTAATGATGACATACTCGTTGTTCGGTGTGTGAGAAGGTTAACCCTTCCGCGGGCACGGTACTCTGGAGTCTTCCATTGCTGGCCTTTACCTACCCATGCCTGGTCGACATAGATCTCTGTTGGGTCATTCACTTCCTTCTTCTTTCCATCCTTTAACTCAATGGTAACACTCTTCCCCTTCTTCTCCTTTATGCGAGAGCCGTCGGCCAGAGTCTTTGCGTCCTGTGCAGTCTCCGCCTTCTGTGCCGCACCAAGACCCATACCACGAGCGATGACCGCCTGATCTCTCGCGATGATAAGACCCTTGGCAACGTCCTTCGCAACTCTCTTCTTGCTGAACCGCAGCTGCACGAGCGCCTCCTCCACCGTCTTTCCTTGCACCAAATTCATAACCTTCGTCAACTTCTTGACACTCGTGGGCAAATCACGGCTCCTGAACAGCGATTGCCTCTCCGACCTCGCGAGCTTCAATTCCTTCGTCAGCCTACCCCTCTTCTGGATGCTCTTGATGACTAGTTTCCGTTCCAAAAGCTTCGTGCTCCGGGGAATGGGATCCAATTTGGGGGCGGACAGCTCCGCATCCCTCTTGCGGGCTACGAGGGCCCTACGTTCCTTCTCCTCCCGCTTGACGGCGCGTTTCTCGAAATCGGGGAGAGAGTCCTGGAAGGAAGGGATTTCGTACTCGGGTTTGAAGATTGTGGCAGAAGGGAGGTTGCCCTGCTCGGGTTGGGGTGCGCGGGCGGTGGTTTTTCCGTGGGCGGCGGCGTGCTGTTCGGCCTGGCGCTTGCGGAGGACATCGAGGAGGAGGTCATTGCGAAGGGAGTCCTTAGAGGCTGAAAGGGGGACGGTGGTAGAGAGGGGTCGTGAGGTCGTGATCCAATATGTGTTTGGGCGGGAGAGGGCGAGGGCTAAGGTGGTGGTGTAAGTATCAGATCATGATAGATAATGGATACATTGAAATTGAGCAATTGACATACCTGATTGCCCTATCCGCCGTGTGGGTATCCGAACGCTCATAATGGTTGTGTGCGTCCGCAATGGCGCGCGATGGGGGGTTCGAGATGGGGATCTGCCGTATGCCGTGAGGTTAAAGTTGAGGCATCTCGAAATTCTTCAAGAGCCGGCAAGTGATTCCGGATCCGGTTAGCTCCATGTGGCTCAGGCACGATGGGACCAGGATGTTTAGGCAGGTCAGGTGACCCCGAACTGCGGATCATCACCAACTTTACTCTCTCTCCATCAAACCACCTCCACAATCAATCAACCAACCGGCCAGCCAGCTTTCAAGCCAGCCATCCTTATTTTCGTCTCAGAAAGACTCGTTGCATCAAGAGTCGTCTGTTACTACTACCGAAAAAGAGAAGATTGGCCTCTTTCATATCACAAAACACACGCGCACCGCGCTCTGCAGAAAGTTCTCCACTACCTACAACCTACACTACACCACTCACTGCTTCTATTACGAGATATTGCGTCGCGCGTCTTCTCGTTGCGCGCTATTCTGGGGGCCCTCTCTCTCCCAACGAGTACGAGCAGCTCTCTCTTCCTCTCTGTGGGTACGTATCTTCAAAACAAAGATGTCTTTGATCTTTTCATTCCTTCTGTCAACAGCCCTTTGCATCCTTCTTTGATTTCGTCCAATCCATACCTTGCTCTGCCTCCAGCCCCAGTGCGCGTCATAGGGTCACACACACACACATACCCATATCCATAAGTACCCCCCAAGCAACTCTAGGCCAGGGTAACTACTACTGGACTCGTCTGGTCTGGTGCAGGTCGCCGTTCTCTTGTGGCACAGATACTTTAACCCCAGAACGGTTTGGTTTTAATGTCCTCCTAACTGAACTCGCTCCTAGTAAACGGGTCCTTTTCGTCTCTTGGCTCTGCTATTATTTGCATCGCTGTTCGTGTTGCTTTGCTGCTACTACTGCTCAGTGCTGGTACTGCTACCACTGGGTGTGCTACGCTACTACTCACTACTCTCAAAATCTCCCTTCTCTCGTTCTCTCTCTCCTCTCTCCAGGCTTCACGCCGTCAATACGTCTTCCTCTTCCTTCACATCCACTCGTCTCAACCCTATTCATCCCTCTCGCGCACTCCCTGCCATCGAACTCGCCCTCTCGTTCTTTACGCGATAAGCTCAAATGACGTCCGCCATCGTTGTTGCATCTGTTCGCTTCACTCTCTAGTTGTGACGGCCGCGCCTTCTCACAAAGAGCATTGCCAACCCTATCCTGTCGCACTAGGTCGTAATACCTTTAATCGCTTCACATTGTCATCATGGACATCAATTCTCTGCTCTCGCCGCAGGACTCTCCGGCTGCGGAGACTCCTCCGCCTCCATCGCTCGCCTCGCCCACGATGCAATCCCCCTCCAAGATACGGCCAGGCATGCGTCAAATGCCTTCGCGCACTCCCTCAGGCCTTCGAGAGCAGATTACATCGTCGCCGCAGCTCTACCACAACGATCGCATCCCGACACCGACTCACGCGCAACCCGCCTATCACCAGCATCAACATCAGTCCCAGCACCAGCCTCAGCCTGGGCCAGCTCTACACTCACCTTCAATAGCAGCTTACACCAATGGTCGCGCTTCCCACAGCGCAACTAGTACTCCGCCTCTTGATGCGCGACCGCAGCTGAACTCGCCGCACGTTATGACTCCACCGCCCTCACATACCCTACACAGACAAGCATCAACTCCAGGCATGGACGCTTTGGCAGATCTCGCGTCGATGCAGCACATACAGCAAACAGCTAGGCAGCAGGGTGTTGCCCAGCGACCTTCCATCAGGTATGCTATGAATGTTTCTTTTGTTTGCGTTTCCCTGCGAGGAAATCCACCCCATTTGCCATGCTCTAACAGTAATTGATATCCTCAGTCTCCAAAACATCCCGCGCAGCATATCTGGAACCTCGGCGACAGACGTTACCATGGTAGACTCGCCAAAAGTAGCTCGCAGCCTTTACACCAAATTCCTTGACGCACAGAACGTAGAGATGCTCGGTCATTTAGAGAAGGCTCTGACTGAGAACCCCTTTGACTACTACAGCCATGTGTCTTTCATCACCATCCTCCACCAGGGGCTTCAAAACACCATTAACGAGAGCAGTGGCTCGTCTGCCGATCCTTCGTCCTACGAATTGCTCCACGTCCTTCGCGAGGCATACAAGACAATGGATAGCAAGTACACTCAGGGAGAACAGCTGTGGGAATACCGGATTAACGACGAGAAAATTCTTGCACGAACCATCGAGGACCGTATGGCTGTTCTGGAGCTTTGTCAACGCGCCACGCAGGAAGAGCCGCACAGTCCGAAGTTGTGGATCATGTACGGCGATTACATTAGTCACTTACTGGTCTGCATCTGGGAGCCTAACCCACCGGAGGCATGGTCAGAAGAAGATAGACTTGTGGGGAAAGAGATATTTACTGCTGATCTATTGATGAGCACGTTGCAGAGCGGGGCTGAACATGTCAAATTAAACATCGCGGATAGCAATTTGGTCTGGGACCGGTACCTGCAACTACTGCAAGATGACCTGGAGCGTCATTTCAGTCCGGACAAGGCCAGGAGGGTATCGGCGATCTTCAATGAACGACTCAGTCAACCGCATGCGACTTGGGACAACACCCTCTCCTTATTTTCCACCTTCAACTCAAAATACAACCAGAGCAACTATGAGGCAATCATGGAGCGCGCCGTTCAGCACAATTCTCACATCAAGAAAACGTACGATCATCGCGCCGAATTCGAATTCCAGCTGCTCCAGGCCATCCAAAGCAAGGACCAAACAGCCGAACATTGGGCGATGACGCGATACCTAAAGTGGGAGAAGAAAACAATGGGTGTTTCCAGCTTTCCATTGGTGAACGCCCTGTACGAGCGCGCAACCTTGCGATTCCCTGTGGATCCATCTTTGTGGGAAGATTATGTGGAGTTTCTTATCTGGCAAAACAACCGAACTGTCTCTCTCTTGGATGTTCTGCAGCGTGCTACTCGGCATTGCCCCTGGTCTGGATCCCTGTGGTCTCATAGAATACTGACGTTAGAGGCGGAGAACAAGGATTTCAATGAGATCGAGAGCATCAAACACAGTGCCACCGAGACTGGTATGCTTGAGCATACTGATTTGGAAGAGCTTATCAAGGTGCAGATGTCTTGGTGTGGATACCTCCGCCGTAAAGCTTTCGACAGTCCGAACGCATCTGAGGATGACGCGGACATTGCAGAGGTCGGAATTCGATCCGCCCTCGAACTTGTACAAGAGATGGGCATCAAAAGATACGGAAAAGATTGGACCGGTGACCCACAATATCGCCTCGAACGCCTTCATATCAAATTCTGGACGCAGCGCGGAAGTGTCGACGAGGCCAGGCAGGTGTTCGATACGATCGCAAAACAACGTTTCGACTCGTATGAGTTTTGGTACAGGTGGTACATTTGGGAGATGGTTGTATGGTCCAACCATGCAACTCGAGGCAAAGACCATGCTGGACAGCAACTACAAACGCCTTCTTTAGCTACAGCCGTCCTGGAGCAAGGCATCAAACGTCTCAGCACCATCGATCAACCCGAGCCACTTCTCGAGATGTATTTGAATCATTGCGAGCAACACGAGTCTGTTCTGAACGTTCGACGCGCCATGGTCGAAGGCCGGCGGTCGCGGCGTACAATCTCGATCCGACGAGAGAAGGAAAGAGCTGCTGCGGAAGAGGCACAGCAGCAAAACCTTTCTGCAGATAGCAATGGAAAGAGGAAACGCGAAGAGGCGGCCGAGGCCGATGCTGTATCAATCAAGAAGAGCAAGCAAAGCGACTCTGAAGAAGCTCTCACTGTTGCACCATCGGTGGAGACGGCAGCCCAGGTCATTGGCGAGGCATCATCAGCACAGCCTACGGTCCAGAAACGCGACCGTGAACACTCTTCCATCATCGTTCGGAAGCTACCGAAGAGTGCGACGCAAGCGAGTATTCGAAAATTCTTCAGAGACGCGGGCAACGTTCGAGACATTCATATCAAAGAAGAGAGTGATAGCATAACGGCAACTGTGGAATTCGAGACACCAGAAGAAGCGGAATACTCTCTCTCTAAGGAGGCTAAAGGTTACGAGGGAACAGAAATATCCATCACACGAGGTGAGAACTCGACATTATATGTCGCAAACTATCCTTCTCAAGCCGACGAGGCGTTCATGCGAAAGCTGTTTGAGCCATTCGGCACAATTATCGATCTGAGGTTCCCCTCGCTACGCTACAATACCAACCGTCGCTTCTGTTACATACAGTTTATCAATGCTAGACAGGCACAAGCGGCTACTTCCTTACATGATAAAGAAATCGAAGGACTACCCCTAGTAGCACAAATCTCTGACCCCAACGCAAAGAAAAAACGCGACAACCCCACTCAAGAAGGTCGCGAAATTTTCGTGCGAGGTATAAATTACAAGACTAAGCAGTCGGAGATTCGAGAAGCGCTCAACAAGTTCGGAAAGGTCGAGAAATTGAACATGCCAATTGTCAAACAGGGTGCCAACAAAGGACAGAACAAGGGATCCTGCTGGGTCGTATTTGACAAAAAAGAGGCCGCAGATGCAGCCGTTGCAGAGATGCATGGCAAGCATATGTGGGACATGGATTTGCAGGTTGAAATCGCTAAGACTAAGGAAGAGCTCAAAGCTCCCCCGAAAATCCGATCTCAGCTCGTCAACGATACGGCAAGCCCCGAACCCCGTGCGGGAACCCCTGGGAAGGCAGACGAAAACTCTACCATTGCGCCTGTAGCAGAACGAACCATCGCCCTTCTCGGTATCCCTGACACCGTCAACGATGTTCGCATCAAAACACTTGTCGACCCTTATGGTGTCAAACGAGTGACTTACATGCCCAAACATCAAGGTGCGATCATCGAGTTCGAAGAGGTTGCAAGTGTCGGCAAAGCTAGCCTCGTGCTCGAAGGTCACGAGATCATTCCTGGTAAACCGATCAAGATTGGCACCCCGGCAGAGCTGAAGCAAATGAAAGCGGAGTACAAGCCCAGCACAAGCCTTGCCCAACCTAAGCCAAAGGGCGAAGCTTCCAGCAACAAGTTCATGCAGCCATCACGCGTGAGTCGACCTGTTGCCCGAGGAGGAACTTTTCGTGGCCGGGGACGACCTGGCTTGGGTCATGCATCTGCACGTCCCAGAGCTGAGGCGGCTGGCGAGGCAAAAAGCAACGAGGATTTTCGGAGCATGCTATTAGGAGGCAAGAAAGACAACACCAAAGACACCGAGATGAAGGACGGTGCATGAGAAAGTACACACCATCGCGTAGAAGCGACAATGCATAGCAAACGGAGTACGCAAAGAAACTAATGGAGGGAGGCATATGCATCTTTCCGGTCGATCCCCACGGCCCGGCGTTTTTTAGGACGACTTTTTTTCACCAATCTCAATAACTCTTTCCCTTCAGGCCGTTTTCCGGGACGGGGAAAAGTAATGGCAGGGTTCGCGGGAGAGCCGAGGCCACTTCAAAAAGGAACTAATCTCATTGATTTCTTCCTTCATTCCCCTTTCTTCTCTCAGTCTTCCAAGGCGTTTTCTGCGGCACGGGTGGGCATTGAACGGCATCTAATGAGCACTTTTTTTTCAACACTTGTCACCCATACAAAATGATGCAGATGCTATCATTTTTGTACGTTTCCTGGACCGGATAACCGAGATATAGCTCATGTTTTCACTACTTCCCTCCTGATAACCGACTACCGCTCCCTCACTTTTCTTCCCATTAGGTCAACAGGTTTGTTTCTTGTCATGAAGGTACAGTCTTCGCTGACATCGAGAAACACGCGGGCTTGCTTGGCTTTTTGGTTGGAAAGGTGGAGCAGGTGGTGGATAATTGGGCTCAAGGATTTCGGGGATTTCTGGCCCCGGCAAAAAAGATTCTGTTAATGTACGTATTGTAGTATAGTAATAGGAGCGTTTCCATGACCTCTGCATTAATCTTCACACACCTCTTCCATTTGTATCTGTGCATCTGTCCCCCCTCACGCCTTCTTCCTTGCTCTGGACGGTCTACCTACATTTAGTGGCTACACAAAAAGGTTGAGGTCTCATTGATATTTTATATCATGCCTGAAGGGTTCACCGTCCATACTGTGATTCATTGATTAGTATAATCTGTGTTTCAAGTAGAGAAATGATTATCGATGTTTTTAAACATTTCTTATTTGAACACACGCAAGTAGGTAGCTTCCAATTCCAAAGTTCTATATTCGCGCACCAACAACCGGGAGTTACAACTGACTACTTTAATCTCCAAAAGCACGCATGATTCTGAATATTAACTCAACTGTCAATGAAATCAGATATCACGTACAATCATTAATGATGGATAGGCTTGGCGATGGGCTTGACGATTCATAGACTGTCCGGATCGCGTTAGTCCTTGAATGTGGACGAACCATGATGTCAATATTGATCATCCTCGGCAAATATATTTGACTACATCATTTCTCGTCTCATAATCAACAGACGACAATTCTTACCCGACAACGACAATTCAAAACCTGTCACAGGCCATTTCATAAAGCACAATGGCTGCCTCTAGGCAATTGTTACGCTCCTCAAGAGCTTTGCTCGCCGTTTCACGTCCCGGCCTCCCGATCGCCCGATCCTTCACCATCCACACGGCACGCCGCAACGACAACAAGAACGACTTCGAGAAACTGAACAAGCGAGCCAATGACACCACAGAGACATACCGCGAGAAGCAGAAAGAGAAGCCGTTGAACCCTCATCTCACGAACACGACCTCTACGATCCACAATGCGATGCCCTCCGTTGGCAAGGATGCCGCGCCTCCAGAGCTCCTCAGTGCAGTCGACAAGAATTTCACGCCCAAGGACTCAGTCCCTGAGAACACCGAGCGCATGACTGGAGGAACGCAAGGTAGCCAGGCACAGGACGTGAGCGATCTCAACAAGGAACTCGGTGTGGGAGAGCTTGAGGGTGCGAAGTTCCGCGTGGAGCCGCTGAGGAGGACGGGAGAGGATGCAAACACTATGCGTGCGAGGTTATTATGTCCGTTCCTATGCCCTGCTCCCCCAGAGCGATTACCTTTGGGGCAGCATCTTTTGCAATTGGATACCAGGCCCGGCTAACAGATTAACAACAGATCAGAGCCGCAAGAGGGGAACACTAGAAAGTGAATTACTCATGTCTACATTCGCCGATGCGAACCTTGGGACGATGACGAAGGGACAATTGGAGCAGTACGATCTCTTTTTGGACGAGAACGATTGGGATATCTACTATTGGGCCACACAGTCGCCGGACGATGCGCCGACAAGCCATGAGACTGCAGAGGGCTCCTCGCCTTCTGCAGCTGGAGGCGCGCAGGCCACACCTGCCGCTGCCGGACAGGATTCGGATTCAAAATTGAAGGATCAATGGACGCGTGCACCAGCGAAAGGGGAATGGGCGCAAACTGTTGGGACGTTCAAGCCGGCGTATAGGCCTGTGCCTAGTCGATGGAAGGACAGCGAGATCTTGGAGATGTTGAGGAACCATGTCAAGTCGCGAAGCGCGGGCGGTGCGAATGAGAGCGACAGTGCGTCCCAGACTGGCACTGGAGGGCTTGGGATGATGCCTGACATCCGAAGTTTCGACAAATAATGATTTGGGGTGGTGTGATATTTGCATCAAATCGCTGTACATTGGCTGTAGCACTCACATTCAATTCCAATTGCGCATGCGGGATACTACTTATTCTGTCTTCGAGTGCATTTACATTGCTCACATGCGCACATCGGATTTCGCATCCTACAGCTTGTAGTACCTTACACAAGCGCAGGCAAATGAGGTTTAGCGCCCCTTGCGCGGGGAATACGAGTTCAGCCACGGAGTGGATGCCTGTCGATCTCCACACCCTCTTCATCATCATAAATCCAACCCGTCACCCACTCTCCATCCACCGTTCAATCTTCCATGATCATTATTAGAGCTCGTCTCTTCTAACATGCGACACCTTCTATCGCGTTCCAATCGCCTGAAAACGGAATCAGTCTCAGCGGCCGTCTGCTGTCTCGTCAGGCCTGGCTAGGCGAGCCACTTCCGGCTTCGAACTAGCATCGTCTAGGCAACTTGCAAGGCGACACGTCCAGCCTGAGAGGAAGAAGAAATTCAAGCACGATGTCATCTGAACCACTAGGCAGCCTCGATGAGTTCTTCGACTTCGCACGCCTGGATGATGAATGTAATGCGGTAGCGTTTGTTGGTGATGAGCAAGAGCTAGGGCACGGGCTATTACCCCAGGATACCCCGGATTTCAACGTCGATGGAATGGACTGGCAGCCCGCCGGACTTCATCAATCAGCGACCCTCGAAACATCTATTCCTATTCCCCTGGACCCGGGACCGTTCGATGGAAACGGTTGGGAGGTTCCAATATTCTCACCAAACCCGACCCCGGGGATCCCGTACCAGGCTGATAGCCATTTCGACAATGCCATAGATCACATGGACATGAATGTACAGACCGAGACTACGTCAATACCCCCAACAACGGATGTGTCTGATTCGTCATTTCCAATACAGAATGACATTTATGACACGACTGTCACCCCTGCTGCTCACGACCAACAGCAGAACGTCGCCAAACCGGACCCCCCTCGCGAAGGACTCAGTCGGCAAGCATCGACCAGCAGCCGCACGACCAGCGTGAGATTTGGGTCTGCCGCGAGTGCGCGCACACCCGCATCTGCTAAGCGGAAAGGTCCAAATACCCGAATCCCTCTGGAGGCTAGACAGCTATTGGAGGATGAGTTCGCCACTAATGCTTACCCATGTTCGTGGGAGATAGACATCATCGCGCATCAAGCTGGGCTGGAAGCCAAGAAGGTCCGGAATTGGTTCAACAATGCGAGGGCGAGGAAGAAGGGAACTGGTATTCTAACCTGTCTAAATTCAACATTAGCAGTACTAATGTTGTTCATCAGTTACCGAGGAGACGGCGGCGGATTTGCCAGATGAGAGTGTACACTCCTTGGCGACAAAGCTTTCCGTGGAGAGCCTAGAGACACTGGAGTTGGAGGTCGAAAGGGGTGTTATCTCCCCGCAGCCGCCACTGGCTGTTTATCTCGCTTCATCTTACCGAGAAGAAGCCGCTGATCTGGCTGCTATCCAGGCCGCCATCAACAGTGGTCCCCCCAGCAGTCGGGGTGACACTTTTATGGATTCATCGTCTGGGTCGAGAGTAGCTCGATCGGGCTCTGTTATCACCTCGGTTTCATCGGATGGATCTGCACCGACGACGACATACACCTTGTCATCCAAGGGAAGCAATGTCTCCTCCTTCGGGCGTGATCGCCGACGCGGTCGCCGACGAATGACATGGCGCAATTCGCCCTACAGCAGGGCGAAAGTGAACGGCGTCGATGACTCCGGAACACCTATGCAAGGCTTACCTTTCTTCTGTACCTTCTGCCCACGTGCTTTCAAAACGAAGTATGAGTGGATTCGTCACGAAGACTCTGTCCACGCCTTGCGGACAACATGGATCTGCTGTAACACTCGCGAAGATTCGTTCCAGTATTGCCCCTTCTGCGGCCAGAAGCATCCTGACGAGGTACACATGGCCTCACACAAGTACCAGCAATGCAGGAATAAGCCGGAGACTCAACGTACCTTTTACCGGAGAGACCACTTCGTCCAGCATCTGCATCATGTCCATTTTCAAAACATGAAACACCCCACAGCGCGCCTGGGCTGTCAGTCTAAGTTAACTGCAAGTGAAGGCCATGACTATGGCTGCAAGGACTTGGCGATGAAGTGGAGACGCTTTGGTGCTCCCATGAGGGCAGACGACCCTATGCTTCACTGCGGATTCTGTGGTAACAAAGCGGAGGACTGGAATGCACGATGCAATCATGTTGCTGATCACCTCATCGCCGGAGGCTTCGATCGGTCGACGTGGTGGTCAGATCGACAAGAGAATCATCTGGAAAACCTGTGCGCCTCGCAGGCCGTTGGTCCGTTTCGATGCCGATATTGTCGAAAGGTCTTCGCGAATGCTGGCGCACGAGACAACCACACGCACTGTAGAGTCTGGTCTTGTCGATTTCTTCGAACATTCGACGACATTGCTTCCGAAAACACTGCGCCTCCACTGTGTCCTCAGTTCCCATCTCCAAAAGCGCATCATTGCCACATGTGCGGCGCAGGATATCGAAGCTCCCACGTCGAGCACGCCCAACAGTACCACAAATACCGACAATGCAAGCAAAAGCTGTACACGTCGGAAAGCGAGTTCCTCCAGCACTTGCACGAGTTCCATGGCGCTTCCCATCCCGTCCTCCTGCAGTCGAACACGGTCCTCGAGCAACACTTTTCTCGCAACAAGGGCGCTTCTTTCGAACCTGTAGAGTTCAACGAGCTTCTACAGGGCTGTAGAGTTGGAGCCCCATCGGAATGCTTCGTCGATCCATGCTACTTTGATGAGCAGAGTATGTCGACTACTTCTCCCATCGATCATCAGGAACCTGTCTTCACGAACGCCGCAAGGCCTATCACTCCTCACCGCAGGAAATCTCACACCAAACCGGCCCTTGTAACCCGCAAATCCTCCTCGCAGCAAAGCTCCCTCTCCAGGCTCCGACACGCATCAATCTCATCCTCTTTAGCGCCTAAACCATCCAACAGCCGCAGCAACAGCAACGGCAACAGCAACAGTAACGGCAACAGATCCACGAGCACCACCGTCAGCAGCAACTACAAGGCCCACTATGACGCACTCCAAAAGCCCGACAGTCCCGGCCCTCGCTTCTTCCGCCTCGAACCCATCCTCCCCTTCCTCTCCTCGCGGATCTACTACATCCGCAACGCGAAGATGTCGCAACTCTTCAACGAGGGCAACGAGCTGTTGGACGAGATGCCGCGGGGCCATATCGCGAGTCTTGTCATGGCCTCGGGACTTTTAGGCATGGCGGCCGCCAGATTGTCGGTTGGCGTGAAGAGGGAAGAAGGCGTTGTCGAGTTCAGTCTCAATGAATAACATTGAGAGTGTCGTAATTACCGTTATCGTTTGCAGAAACCATCCCTCCGTAGCCGAGAGATATTAGGAGAAAATCCCCACATTACCTACGATACTGTTCCAGAGTCAAGCAACGCCATTAAAAAGAGAGAATTCCGCGGGAAGTGATTATGTATATGAAAAGTTTATTGTCGGACACGGAGGAACCTCCCCCCCTCTTCTGTTCTGATAAGAAGTCGAGTCGAGCTGGGTGGCTTGCTTCATCAGCGTGAGTAAGGGGCTTTTTTTTCTTCTCGTTTGCCCCACTTACGGGTCACAATGTACCACCAACACCGCGATTCAAATTATAATTCCATATACCAACATACCTAGCTAGACAAACATTAATTAATACTCATACATACTCCCAAATCGTAATATTGTATCACAATATAGGTTCTGCAATTTGTGACTACAGACATCAAGCAACACACCATCTCATGCGCTCAGCATGACTCGCTTCTTCGATGGTCTAGTGGTCATGATTTCCGCTTGTCAGTAGTCCAATACTTGGATTAAACAAGCGCGGGAGACCGGGGTTCGATTCCCCGTCGGAGAGTCATTCATTTTGTTCTTTTTTTGCACTTCTTTTTGTCGTGGTTGATTGAAGTTGTGGTGGTTGTTCAAAGGTATCGTGGGTGGGTGGGCACGTGACTTGTATATGGACAACGCTCGACGTTTTGGTGCGCTCTTACAGGGCAGTGGATGAGGAGGATTTTTGATTTTTTGTCTTTGCTAGCAACTCCTTTCTGAATGCAACATTGCTTGTTAAATCCAAATTTCTTTTTGCAATATCTGTTGCTGTGGACGCCTTGACAGTAAGGGTGCATCACAGACACAGCCCCTTGAGTACGCCTGTAATATGAGCACTTGAGTTTATCTAACAGTGGTATTGATTGTCTGATCTATGTTCCCATCGCCTCCTATAACGAAGTTCTCTATTTCGCCATCACTAGCGAGTGTCATCAAGATTGCATATGAAATATTAGTTAATTGGTATGAAGTCTAATCACGTACTACATGTTGCACAATACGCTCCTTTCAACAATCAATCTTGCTAGTTCTTTTACCCCGACGCCGCCGAGGATCTCAAAAGTTGCGATGTCTGCGCCCATGCTCTTTTTAAACCAGTTTCGCAGTTCAACAGCGACTAGAGAATCCACTCCAAGGCTATGCAATGGAACCTCGGCTTTTGCTAGCCTGCTTTCCTCTTCGTCGGGAAATGTTCCTGGCACAGTACGATTGAGTCGTACCATGAGGGCGTCGGTTGTAAGCGATCTAAGGGCATCCATGTCTTTTACACTGCGGAAAGAAGCACCGATCTCCGTTGTCTTTTGTTGTGAGCTGACGGCGCTGCTTTCGCCATCTGGAATTGAAGAAGAGTTGGGTAGCTGATGAAGCGCGCGGAAGAGCGGTTGTTCCATCCACCACGGCTCTGTAATGCCTCTCTCGCGCATACTCTCTGGGCTTCCGAGTCCAAGAATGACCTGAGCCTCTCCGTGACCATTCTTCACATTGCAAATGTCGTCCAAAACTGCGAAGAACGCCTCTTCGCGAATGGGTATCAGGCCATCTGTTTTCTCAAGACGATCCACCGTTTCCGGAGAATTGGCTAGGTAGCCCTCGGAAAGCATCATACCGAGATCGATAGACACTGCATGTTGACCACGCGATTGTCGATAGTGGGCCAACGCATCTTGATACGTATTTCCCGCAGCATAATTTGCTTGGCCTCCGCTACCAAAGATGCCGGCCACTGACGAGAGCATGACGAAGAAATCAAGATCGGAAGGAAGAAGCTGGTGGAGGTTCCATGACCCTTTCACTTTGGCCTCGAGTGGTATGTTGAAAGTGTCATGACTCATGTTCTCGAAAACGGAATCCTGTAAATTTTGTTAGCATTGGATAAATTAAGTCCGTATTATACATACTTCGAGGACCATGGATGCCTGAATGCAGCCGCGGACAGGTGGCATGCTTGAGTTGATTCTGGCCAGGGCAGCGCTCAATGCGTCAAAATCGCCAATGTTGCAAGAAGGGGTTTCTACGCAAATTCCCCTAACCCTCAACTCATCTAGATACTCTGCAGCATCTGTAGAGGTGGGTCGGGATCGTGACAACAAAACGAAATGGCGAGCTCCCCGTTTTTCCATCCATCTAGTTATCATGCGGCCTAAACCACCAAGCCCACCAGCTATGATATAGGTTGCAGCGTCGGAGAACAGGTCCTCCCGTTTAATCCTGGTGGTTGCTTTCACGGGGATTTGCTGGTCTACCTCGATCACCATCTTACCCAAGGATTTCCCTCCTAGAAGCTGCCTTAAAGCTTGTCCGACACAATCAATGCTAAAAGTCTCTTGCATGATTGTTGAGAGGCGATTCTCAGCCATCAAATCGAGGACCTTGCTCAACAACCTTCCAGTCTTCTGCGGGCATTGCCGAATCATTGCAGCCAGATCAACGGACGAAAACGTCGTATTGGCAGCAAACGGAGCCATGTTGATGCGCGTTCCTTCTTTTATGTCCTTTTTGCCAATCTCGATAAAGCGGCCGTAGGGCGCAATGCATTCCCAGCTTGCATGGAGAAGATCCCCTGACAGCGAGTTGAGCACAACATCGACACCACGACCCCCGGTGAGGTGATGAATTCCGGACAAGAACCCATCGTCTCTACTTGAAAAGATATGTTCGGGTTGAATTTGGTATTTCTCACTAAGAAATTGGCGTTTTTCATCCGTGCTGACTGTAGCTAGCACAGTGGCTCCAACGTGTTTTGCGATTTGTACAGCAGCCTGTCCAGTGCCACCGGCCGCGGAGTGAATGAGCACGGTTTCACCTTCCTGGAGCGAGGCCACCTCGACGAGAGCTCGATACGCAGTGGCGAAGTTGATGGGAATAGACGCTCCCGCCACAAACGATAGCCTTGTGGGGAGTGGAAGAGCTAGACAAGCTTGAACTTTGACGTAAGATCGATATGCATCGATTGCGAAGGACACGACTGCATCGCCAACATTGAGACTCGTTACGTTAGCGCCGACCTTGGAAACTATTCCTGCAACTTCCAATCCCATGAAGTCGACATCGATGCGGCCAAGAGCAGAGAGCGCATCCAGAAAGTTGCATCCGATGGCCCGTACCTGAATCTGAATCTCGTCTGCTTCCAAGGGAGTGTCTGCGTCGGTATCTTCTTCGAAAAACAGTGAGTCCAGATTGGAGTCAGAATTAGTGCTCAGCTTCAGCGGAACCCCTTCTCCAAAACTTCGAGGCCGAGTATCAATCCCTGATATATCGCTCAAAATCTTTTGATCGAGGCTGGAATGATCCAGAACACGGTTAATATGGAGAGACCCATCGATCTCGACTAACTCAGGTTCATACGACGCACTTTCCTGGCTTTGCTTGTAGGCAGCCACAATCATAGGCGATTGATGGATGGAAAGGTGCTCAGGATTCTCCAATGCAAGTGAAATAAACCGGAGGTTCGGAATCTCTCTTCGAACAGTACGCGAAAGGCCGCTGATGAGCCCGTGCCGAGGGCTATTAGACTGCCTGCCTCCTCCAGGGATCACCCACAGCAGCGTCGATGCTTTCTGTACCAGCATCTGAACGGCGAGGTAGGAGGACTCCGATTCCAGCATAGATGTTGAGTCTGGTCGTATGTCGAGAAGAATGCAGCACCGTCCAGCTACGGCAGGGCTAGACGCCATCTTCTGCAAAGATCCAACGATGCACCCAACACCGTAGTCGCGTTGCAAGTCGACTCGAATACGCTCGGCAAGAGCCATATCGACATCGTTGTATACGTCGGCAATGATCAGCGGCCAGTCGCTGCCTTCGGTGGCCACACTTTCAACAGCAGTACCGATGATGACGCTTGTTTCATGAATCTCCTTGTCCTCAAAATCTCGAAATTCAACTTCGGCACCTGAAAACCCGCTCTTGCGCAACGCAGTATCCCATTGTTCCGTATTTAAGCACGGCGAATGTTTCCTATAGTCTTCGACGCCCAGCCACCAGCCGGGAAGCAAGCCAAATGCGAAGCCCATACGCACATGCTCAGGACGTGTATTTTCGAACAGCAACAACTTTCCCCCGGGTCGAAGCAACGCTCTCACATTTTTCAGCGTTTCCGAAATTGATGCTGTGGCGTGCAGTACGCTTCCTGCAATGATCACGTCATACGAGCCGATATCGAACTTTTGCTCACCTGGACTTTTCTCGATATCGAACTGAGCGAAGCGCATCTTCCGGTTCGCATGACCAAGCTCCTCTTGTGCAGCTGCTACCAACGAGGGGGAAATGTCTGTGAAATCATATCTCGAGAACCGACACATTTCATCATCGCCCGTCTTCAGCGCCTCGAGCGCGATGCGCGTGGTCGACCCCGTACCTGCGCCTACTTCGAGAATCCGCATGCCGGGATTCTTATGAGCGAGTAAGGTTAGGTATCTGGCTAACGCGGGGCCGCATCGTGAATACCGGTTCGTCTCAGCGTAAAAGTCTGTTGCGTACTCCTCGCCAAATAATAGCTGTAGCGGATCCAGAGAGCCCGTGAGCATATCGAAGAGTCGGTCTGCCACTGCCCCGTAGAACCGCCATAACTTGTTAGCTGCGACTCGTTCCCGCAAATTTTTGAGGGCGCTGTCGTTGGCTTGGTAGAAATCATATCGGGACCGCACTTCGGGGTAGACTCCTGAATTGAATGCATGTCGCTGGATCTCCATCCAATCGACATACTTTTGAAAATATGGCTTTGCAAGCTGTATACATCCGGAAGAGAGCCTCTTCTGTACATTAAAGATGGAGCGAAATATTAGTACTGTAGCCTCTCGCTCGAAAGCTAGTATGTCGAGCTCGGGTACTACGGGTGTGATCTTCCCCCAGCAGTGGTCAGCCAACTGTTCCGAACTCATGAGGCTGTGGTCCGGCTGCCACTCCATTCGGTAGCAGACGCGTTCCCTCGTGATCTGTTGCTCGTCCGAAGAACTCGCTTCGTTGTTCGATATTGAAGTCCCTTCGAAGTCTTGCACGTGTATGAGCAGATTGCGGCCGTTGCTCGAAAAGGCAGAAGCGGAAGCGCCCATTTTCCGCTTCGTTTGCATTACTGATTCAGCGACAACCTTAACTTCAGTTCCGTCATCACTAGGGAAGTTCAGACCCAAGGAAGACACCCAAAGCCGGTTTATTCTCTCAGGAACGACGGTGGGGATGGTGCCTTCACCCCCTCTTGCAGCTGCAACTAGTGCTAGCTGTAATACTGCATCTAGAGCAGCTGGGTGTATTACATGACTCTGACTGATGTTTGCCCTTTCCTTTGCATCTCCTTCTAATGGGATAATCGTCGCGGTAGCTTTGTTTTTGCCATCACTGGCGAGACTGTGCAGGCCTTGGAACGTTGTTCCGTACTGGTACCCGAACTTGTGGAAAAGCTGATTATAGAGGTGATCGTTATCCAGGACGCGTTCGCGCGCCAAAGAAATACCCTCAAAGCTTTCTACTGCTCTCGAGAGCGTAGTTCGCATCGGGTGTTGGGTACGCAACGGCGTCTCCACCGTCTCATTATTGGAGTAGTCGTACTGCACGCGGACGGTTCCCTCGCAATGATGCGTCCAGTTTTCGTCTCGATAACTATACAATCGGTAATCGTACCTGTTATGGTCTGATTTGCGAAACCGAAGCTCTACCTCGATTTCTGTTTGCGCAGTTGGAAATACAAGTGCATTGATGAATCGCGCATCGCGAATTTCGTATCCACTGACGCCAGAGCCCGATTCTTGGAGCTCGCCCAGTTGCTTTGCGCCTTCGAGCACGGCTGCAATCATGGCGGCAGCGGGATATACAATCGTGTTGTTGATAAGATGGTCCTCAATGAAACTCAACTTATCCAAACGAAGGAAATGTCGCCAACGCGGCTCGAGTGGGTTCCAATCGGCGACCGTTACTCCGAGAAGAGGGTGTGGAGCGTGGTTTCGGAGCCGTAGCGATTTACTTAGACGTGATTCGTGCCAGTATCTCGTCGAGTGGTCAAATGGGTAGGGCGGAAGCTGGGTGTTTGGCCTAAGGGTTGTTGCTTTGTGGTGTAAAGGCTCGTTTACAGACAGAATGCTGATGCCGTGACCGTGGCAGTACAGTTCTCCCATAGCTTTGAGCAATGTTTCCGTAGCAGATTGAAATCGCAGCAAAGCCGAACTGTAAGAGTATGTGCCAGCATCTAGATCGTCGGCAATATCTTGTATGGGACTTTTGAGCGCTCCGTGAGGTCCAATCTCAAGAATGTTGTGCGCCGTACCCATGAACTGGGCCACGGCATCGGAAAATCGCACGCATGATACAAGATTCGAAACCCAATACTTCGCATCCTGAAGAGTCTGAGGCAGAACTGCTGCTCCGGTTACAGAGGATATCATGGATGCTTCAGTACCGGTGTCATTCCCCTTCTCGATTTCCCCAATGGCTGCTTCGTATTGTGCTGCAATGGTTTGCATTTGAGGCGAATGATAAGCAACAGGAACTTTGAGCATGCGTGCAAATACACCCGCGTTTTGGAGAATCGTTTCCAACGCTGCAAGTTTCGATCGCGGACCCGAGAGAGTCAGGCTTCTACTGCTATTAATGCACCCCACCACTACCTGCCCGTTGTTAGAAAGATTGATGCTAGCTAGGTACTGTTCCACTTCTCTTTCGGAAAGTGAAACTGCCATCATGGAACCTTGAATGGACTGATCGGCCGCCAGTTCGTCTGAGAGCTTGCCACGAAAATACGCTAATCGCATGGCTGATACGACAGATATTGCTCCAATTGCGTACGCAGCACCGATCTCTCCAGAGGAATGCCCGACAACATGATCAGGGACTACGTTAAACGACCTCGTCAGGTCCACCAAAGCTATCTGCAGCGCGGTACACACGCACTGACTTTTCTCCGCGCTCGTTGACAGATCTATGGTGGCATCAATCCCTGTTTTGTGGCGGAACACGCTTAAAAGGTCCCAACTTGCTCCCAATGCGTATAATATATGCTGCGAATGGAGGATGCTCTGTTCGAATATTGGATACGCCAAAAGTTCTCGACCCATTCCGAGCCACTGAGCACCCTGGCCAGTGAAAATAAACGCCATTTTCCGTGTAGATACTGAAGGACTGACTACAGGAGCGTCTCGGATTGATGATTCCAGCTGCTGTACAGAGTGTGATACTACAAATGCTCTCTGTGGAAACCGGGTCCGTCGTTCACTTAGCGTCTGCGCGAGACTGGGGAGCACCTCGTCACCGAACTTCGAACTAGCCACAGCATCGGCCAGGCAGCGGCTGTAAGACTGAAGGACCCGTTCTAGAGATGGTTTGTTGGGTGCTGACCAGACGAGGAGCTGGCGAGGAGATTCTTCTAACGCGGCGAGTTGACTTTCAGAGCTGCTGTGATGCGAGTCCGTTCGAGGCTTCACATCATACGGAATGCCGCCACTTTCTAGGAAGTTTGCAGCGTCGTCGAGAATGGCGTGGGCATTTGTGCCTCCGAAACCGAACGACTGTACGGATGCCCGGCGTGGCCCGGGACACGGCCATGGGGTCAACTCAGTAGGGAACTAATCAATTCATTAGATCATGTTGTATCGCACGAGCAAGAGGAACTTACTTTGAGATTATGTGCCTTGATTCTGAAATTTACACGCTGTAATTGTGCGATTGGGGGGATGAGGGCTTTCTCCAGGACTAGTATAGTTTTGATGATTCCCGCAACACCGCTGGCAGCTTCAAGATGTCCAAGATTCGCTTTTGTAGCCCCTCTGGAAATTGTGTTAGCTAACTCTCGCCATATCATGCGAAGTGAAAATAGAGCGCACATACATGAAGAGAGGATCAGCGTCATTGCGAATACCATGGAACGACGAAGAGAGAGCGTTCATTTCTATCGGATCCCCCACTGCGGTTCCAGTCCCATGAGCTTCGCAGAACCGAGTCAACGAACGGTCCAGATTGAAAGTATCGTAAGTAGAACGAAGAAGCTCCTCTTGAGCCGCCTCGCATGGCTGTGCTAAATTGATCGTGCGCCCGTCTTGGTTGGTCGACGTTGCTTGAATCACACAGCGAATCGTGTCTTTGTCCCGAATCGCATCAGATACCCGTTTTACGACCAGCGACGCCAACCCTTCGCTGCGGGCATATCCATTGCCTCTTTCATCGAAGCTATGGCAAAGCCCATCAGGCGATAGAAATCCCATCTTGCCAATCGTCGTTACCGATTCTGGGGTCAAGATCAGATTGCAGCCACACACGATGCCCTATTAGGAAATTTTAGCGCTCAAATCACCACCATAGACAACTCATAACTATGTAAGACGTCTGCAACATACCATGGAAGTCTGGTTTTGGCGGAGGGCCTGACATGCTTGGTCCAGCGCCACCAGACTGCTAGAACATGCTGTGTCCATCATAACACTAGGTCCCTTAAGGTCGAAGAACCAACTGATCCTGTTTGCCAATATGGCGGAAGAGTTTCCGGTGGCATGGTACGTTGGCATCGTGTCAGGGTCCTTGCACTGCATAAGATGGTAATCACCCGTGAAGCAGCCCACATGAACAGACGTCTTAGATCCTCGCAGCGAATCCATTGGTATGCCCGCTAATCATCACAGATTCAATCAATGCCTACTCAATTAAGAATTCCGTGTGGATTTTCTTACCGTTCTCTAACGCATGATACGTAGTTTCAAGCAGCTTCCGCTGCTGAGGATCCATTCCTTCGGCCTCAGCCGGAGAAATAGAAAAGAAGGGCGCATCAAATGCTCCGACATCCTCTCTCAGAAAGTGTGCACCTTGGGTTCCCCACTTCGAACGATCAGAAACTGGCCCAAGATTGGGGTAGAGAGAGGTTGATTTAAGCTTACCGCGCCTAGATCCTTCTCAGATACTGGTCCAAACGCTGTAGGATTGAACCTGTCTTTCGGAATTGTTGGTGCGTCAACTTTGCGATCCACGAGCATGTCCCAAAACGCATCCTCTGTACGAATATTCCCGGGGAACTCAAACGCGAAGCCCACTACTGCGATCGGCTCTGGCATTGGCGCGGCTGCGAAGGATTGAGCATGGTCCATGTGCTCGCCTGACCCGTGCCCGTCCAAGATGGGGGAAGTCATAGATGTTAGGTAAGGAGCGTTATCATTGAAAAATGGATGCAAGAGAAGTTGAAGAGGAAAGAGTGGATATCTATGTTTCGTCCAAAGCCAGGTCGCATCGATCTCTCATGACTTCAACTTCTAAGACATTATACAGTTTTAGAGAGGCAGGAGTGCCTTGATGGTTTAGACCGTGCTATCTGTAGCAGACGGCAAGACTATCCTCGGGCGCTAAAGTCGCGGACACTAGACTCGCGGGCATGGCCGAGCCGAAACCGTTCATGGCGATGACGATTCGTCAATGGAGTTTCCCGGAGATTAGCATTTTGTCGGTCTGCAAGGCAGTATCTACAAGATGTTTCTCATCGTTGACCATGTACGACTCTAAGTCGCGTCTACTGGGTAGTATCGAGCTCGTCGTGATTCAGCTTTCGCTCCAACCCTCACATAGGGCGGTCCAGCTCGATGTGAACGCCGAGACAAACGCATTCTCGTTTACCCCAGTGCCTGAGTATTCAAGGGCTACGTCACGGGCGTCTTGACGGCAAACGCCCCGTCTGACAGATCGGAAGTCTGGAGAAACTCTTGCGTATTTGGTTTAAGTTGTAAACCTGCTGCCTGGGTTAATAGCTAGCGAGGCTGATTCGATTTTAGTAGGGTGACATTATGACTGAAGGTAGTGAGATCAGCCTAATGTATTAGGACTATAATGAAATCATCTACGAGGTTATGCAGACCTGTGTTTTGTGCATTGGGGTCCAACCTCCCTGTTGTGTGTGGATACATCTCCATTTGATAGAGGCTTTTCAAGTTGAACTGGCGAGGGTTAAGGCTTACTGTGTACATGCATTGCCTGGAGACAATTACCTCAAAACTGGAAATCGACCGACGACTCCCATGGTTCCAACCACTCACAGTCTCCTCGATGCTGAATTGCACTCGATATAATCACCGACAACCCTATCCTATCAGGGCTGAGTACATTGGTGCCACCACAGGTGGCGGCTGTGATATGCTACCCTTTGGATCAACCAAAGTTCTCTGGTAATCCCAAACCGGTTTACCCGTACGAGTAAGTAGATCGCCAGTGAGGTGACCCAAAGTGTTCCAGGAAGCCAATTTATCTACCACATAAGCTTGATTAAACGTCAGCATGCTAGGCTCTATTAGGAGTAGTAGCCCTGCATATGATCGGCAAACATGGGGCCAAAACTCCCCAGGACTGTTCAGCCCCCAACGTCAATCGTGTCTATACAGTAAAGACCTATTGGATTTTGCCACCTACGGAGTATGATTTACCACATTAGCAGGTCATCATTGCTGCAAACATGGACAAAGATTTTTTGATGCCAAGGGGAAGCTGGAACCATTTTGTCTAGATGTCTGGATCCACCCTTGCCGATCGGACGGAGGGTCATTGTTCCTGATAGAGCATGGCACGGGAATGCCCTAGTCATCTGAACCTTGTTCCAGCTTTGCGGTACATTCTTCGGTGATCATCAAGATAGGTGATGAGGCTTGCTCCTGCATCGGAGTTTAAGTTCCCCAGTCGCTTCACATTGAGCTGCATAGGATGACTGTCAGCTCCTGTGGTGGCCAAGCTATGTTTGCCATCGCCCGGACAAAAATGCAGTGCTTGCCATTTCTCATACTTCCATTCCCTTGCATCATTCAGACGACGAGTCTGCGATAGATGGCATCATGACTTCCTTTGAAGGTTTCAGTGCCAATTCATTCTATCTTTTCCGCACCATCATCGCCCGCGCTGCCGTTGTATTCGTCGCGGTAGGTCTGCGTTTTCTGTGCAAGATTGCCAGAACTGAGAGGCGCTTTGGATGGGACGACTTTTGGATTCTGGTGGCCTTTGTGCTTAATTATATCGCAGAAGGCCTTCAACTATGGGGTAAGTTTAGATACTGCTATGGTATGCGAGCTCGAAGATGATTGACTTACATATCATAGCGCTGTTCAAGAGTCGTGGAGGGACGCCAGCTGCCGTGCTACTGAAAGCTGGTGAGCGCGACAGAGTGGAGCATTATCTTCTTGTAAGCTACATCAGGCTCGCGCATTTTGCAATGAAGGTTCGGTATTGATGGAGGCAGATAACGGACATCAACGCCATGATGTGGTATCCGGCCGTCGCGTGTATCTGCGTGAGCATTGTCTGCTTTTACCTGCGCATCTTCCGGCACGAAACCAATTTCCTCCTCTTTTCGCGCATCCTAATGGGCCTCATCACGCTTTGGGCTCTAGGCAGTGCACTTGGGAGCATTCTCCTGTGCATCCCGCCTTCCAATTTCTGGAAAATGCGTGACCTGGATAAGTGCGGCAGTTACAATACAGTGGTCCTGTCCAGCTCCATTGCTGAGATCATCATTACCACCGCAATCCTGGCATTGCCCGTCCGGCCCATCATGAAACTCACATTAGGACTTCGCACGCGGTTGTCAATTCTCACCATTTTTCTGTTGGGTGCATTGTGAGTGCCTACCCTCATTTTCCCTCTCGCTCATGAGACTGACCCTCCACGCGATAGTGTTATTGTTTCAGCGGCCATACGAGTCGGTCTCGTCTGGAAACCCGGTGTTAAGACCCGTACGTTTCTCGACATCAATTCAATGAAATCTTGATCTACGAACTAACGCAAAACAGCCAATTTCCAAGTAATCGCAATATGGTCCGGTATCCATCTAACCGCAGCTTTCGTCTGTGCCTGCCTTCCCATGTACAAGCCTATTTGGAACCAAATTGTCAGGGTTTCAAAGAGTATCGTCGATTATAGTAGCACATTCCGCCATCGCTGGCGAACCGAGCATAGCAGCAACGATAAGGGGAGCATGTCGGAACAAGTTTTGACATCACATGACGTGGTGAAGAAGACGTCCAGCGGGGAGACGATGCTTCAGGAATGGCAGACGTGGGAAAATCATCGTTACTGATTTCGGTTCCCAATATTACTGTTCTCATTTGTAGCTTCAAAAGGTGTTAGGAAGCCTTTGTTTGCCATCTTCGTGTACTTTGTCTTAAACCCTGGATATCTGTGTGATGTGGATCTTGAGAAGGTCTTTCCAATTCCCGATACCACCTACCTAGTCAGGTCTTGTTTGCTAAATTCTGACACCCTGTGCACCACTCAGCACTTCTGCATAATAAATTGAGATGATCGGTAGACATTGCTGACGTGCCTGCCCCACCTGAAGAATGGACACAGAGAACCGAGTGAGAGTGTCTTTCCAAAACAAGCCATGTCCCGGTGCATTGGTGTTCGGACAAATACCCGCCTCTATGTCGAACAGGGTGACAGGGTGCCAATGCATCATACCGCGTAATCTACGAGGCAGAATAGAGGTAAGATTGCCCCTCGTAGTCTCTTATCGGGTCCACTAATGGCCCTGCATCTGATCGGCATAGATGTTACTAGAACATACCTAGTAGCACTCAGCCCCCAACGTCAATTGCTGTTTGAGGTCTTGACTATCCTGATTTGATTGTAACAAAGTAGACTATCCGTTTAGAATTGGAAATGTTCGGTAGGGAGGTTTCACGTCCAGGCCATTTGCAGGAGTATAATTGCGGGGACTTTTGTTCACTTCCAAGAACAGACATACACATATCGTCATGGCACTGACATTGATGCTGTTGGGCGTCGCTGTCCCGCTCTATGTAAGTGATGTAGATTGAATCAATGCGAATGTGCGCCGCTGATGTTGCTTAATTTGCTCTGTAGGTTGTGTTAAGGGCTGTCTACAATGTGTTTTTCCATCCTCTGGCTGAAATCCCAGGGCCGTTCCTCGCCCGCGTCTCGTCGTGGTTGTCGTTTTATCATGCGTACAAAGGAGACAGACATCTCTGGATAACGCGATGTTTTGAGATATATGGTACGTAGTCCATGATTCCACGCGAGGAGATGAGCCTTAAAGAATTGGAACTCACGAAGCTCGTCCAGGGAGCAGAGTACGGTTGACGCCTGATACGGTTCTGTTTCGTTCTGCTCGCGCATCCAACGACATCTACGGGCACGGCGCCAATCTGAAAAAATCCAACTTCTACGACTCGTGGCCGAAGAATAAGCACGATTTCAACACGCTGAGCACCACTGACCCAGCGTTGCACCTCAAGAAGCGCAAACTGCTCAAGCTAGCGGTCAACGAATGGACCGCAGAAGCCGCAGCAGGTATCATAGCGAAGCACATCGACCGTTGGAACGAACTGACCACTGACAACTGCGATGATGGGGCGTGGTCCGACGGAAAAGACATGAAAGCTTGGGCCGACGCCCTCCTCTTTGACATCTTCGGCGATTTGCTACTAGGCAGGAGTTTTGAGACGAAAGAGAAAACGACCAATAATCCATTCCGAGAGATTCCCAGCCATGTTATCAAGTTCATGCAATTCATCTACCCTGTGAGTCGTCGTCCCTCGAATAAGCCATCCATCACTTGCATTGATCTTGTCGTCAATGGACGAAGTATCTTGACTGACCAGAACAGGTAACTAAATCCCCCTTTCTGGACGTAATCGTGTGGCTCAAACCACGTGGGCTCAACGCTTTGCTCGAGAGATTTGCTCCACGCGAGGTACAGCACTACTATGACTTCGTCGCATCAAGCGTTGCGCAGGGCTTAGAAGCCTCCAAGAGCGCCAGCACCTCCTCCTCCACGCCACGAGAGGATATCTTCCACTTCCTGTGCACCTCCATTGACCCAGAGTCAGGAAAGCCAGCGTTCACAGAAGAAGAACTGCTTTCAGAAACACACTTGCTGAACATTGCGGGGAGAGACACAACCGTATGCACCATCTCTGCGCTATTCCACTACCTTTCGCAGAACCGCGCCGTCTACGACAAAGTCGCACAGGAGGTCAGAGAAACGTTCACGGAGCCCGAAGAGGTGCTACCTGGTGCGCGACTGAATAGCTGCGCCTATGTGCGTGCGTGCATCTGGGAGACACTGCGTCTCGCTCCGCCCGGGCCTAGCGAGCTTCCGCGCGTCATTCTGAAGGGAGGGATGACGATCGATGGAGAATTCTATCCTGAAGGGACGATTGTAGGGACTGCGGGTTGGGCTAATGGCCATAATGACGGTGTGTACGGTGACGCGGAGGTATTCCGGCCTGAGCGATGGATTGTGTCTGTTGAAACGGGCGTCACGGCTGAGGAGGTAGCGAGGCTGAAGGAGGGGTTTCATCCTTTCTTGAAGGGTCCGGGTGGATGTTTGGGGCAGCATCTTGCGCTCATGGAATTGAATATGATTTTGGGGAGAACTCTCCTGAGAATGGATTTCGAGGGCATGGAGGCGAGCGGTATTGGGGATGAGAGGGTTGGGAAGGAGTGGGGAAGGTGGAAGGGGCAGTATCAATTGGATGATGCATATATGGCTATTGGTAAGGGCCCAATGGTGCGATTCAGGAAACGGGGAAATATTTAGAGACATGGAGAAAAGAGAAATGAAATACTTCGTAATGATAAATTTCTCATGGCATTACTACTGCTGTTGGTCAATTTACGTGATTAAATTAGCAGGCGCGCAGGTTTTGGACGAAGCGAGTCAACTCAAGGAATGCATATTGAGTCGAGCCGAAGTAACGAACGCAGAACCATAGATGTCATAATGAAAGTGCGTCGGGGTAGTTACTTGTGTCTATACAGGCAATAAATGTCGTAAATGAATAGTTGTAGAGTATTCTTTACTTGTGGCAGTTAAAGAGGCTCTGGCGGCTGTCATGGCTACCTAGTTATATTCTATAGTTGCAAGTCTAATTAGCACGCTCCATGTCCAAAACCGCCTCCACAAGCCCCATATCACCCGCGCTGTGGATCTTCTTGATCTACGTCCAAATTAGCAATTACTATGGGAACGTAAAGGAAGGTAAAATTATGTCTCACATGGAATCTCTCATCCGCCTCCTTCAACAACCTCTCAAAGTCCTTTCCCGAGCGCTGCTTCCCACCCAAAACGACCATCATCATGATATCGATCTGGCGCATGCGTCGCTCTTGATATTTAGATAACTCACCACCTGCTTCGGGGAGCACGATATCGTTGATCAAGAAAGGGGTTCCCGGTGCGGCTTTCTCTAGCGCGGGGACCATGGCGCGGAAGATGCGAATGCAATCTTGATCGCTCCAATTGTGCGTGATGTACCGCAGTAGATAAGCTTTTGCGTCAGTTATGGGCTGCACGTCGAAGAAGTCATGCTCGAGGAAAGTCACGCGGCCTGCTAGATCTGAAAGGTTCTGCCTCATTGCCTGCGAGAGCATGGAGAGGGAGTCCTGGACCGTGATATGGAGGGTTGGGAAGGTCTAGGGGTTCTCATTAGTATATGAGGAAAGCAGAAAATCAGATATGGGGAAGAAATTTCAGTGTAAAAGTCACCCACCCGTGCAAGTGCAACACTCATATGTCCATTTCCACCCCCAACATCCACTACCTTCCCCGAAACGTCTCCCCATGCATAACAATCCCTCAAATCCTCGAACTGTCTCTCCACTAGATCAAAATTAGCCTACGTTTGCTAATTAATGGCACGAAAAGAGAAAAGAATACGCACTTTTGCCAATGCCTGCCATGGCACTCGCAAAGCGATCGGCACGTGCACGGTCGTTCTGATAGAACTGGAAGAGCTCCATTCCATGGCGCGAGACAAACGGGTTGACGGAGCGATTGGTGGTTTGCGGTGTCTCTTTGATGCTTGACGCCGTTTCGGACGTAGCCTTGAAGAACTCATCAAGCCTGGATTGAACAGTGCCATAAGTGTCTGTTTGCCAACAAAAGACATACACAAATGCAGAAATTAACTTAAAAGCAAATGCGAAAGGCAAGACGCGAAAGGAAGAGGAGGGTTTACGTACTGATAATGTACAGCATCCCGAATATTACGATCGCGTCGGTGCAGCACACTCTTCGCCGTATGCCTGAATACATTGGGATCCACCTCCTCAAACACCCTCTCCGTTGCCAAAATCCTCAGAAACCGTCCCAATCGATCCTCATCCACACCGACCTTCTTGCTAATCTCTTCAACGCTTGCTGTTCCTTCTTCAGGAACAGCGTCAAAGAAGTTGAATTCGCACGCTACTTGCCACGCTGCTAGATCATACAGATTGCATATCTGGGTTCGAGCTTCGGCTTTTGGGCCATTGACTAGGCGCAAGAGATCTTGCGCTGAGTCATTCAATGCGTATTGCAGGGCCTTGAAGGGAGCGGTCTCCGGGATAGGCGTAGAGTTAACGTCAAAGGTCGGCTCGGGGGATCCGCTTGTTGAGAGTTCGTCTACGAGCTGGGATGTGAGCTCTTGGATCGACTTTGCTAGCTCTAGGAGAGTTGAATTATTTCTGGTTGCCATTTTTTGGTTTCGTGAAATTGTTTGACCGTGGGGTTTTTACTACAAGGCTGGGTGAGATGACGGTTCATTATTATGCAGGAGTAAATGAATTTAAACACCGAGTGTGGCTGTGATGAACCGAAAACTCTCTATCAACTCTGCTGACCATTTTGAAAATTACGAGGCCACTACAACGAGGCTGTGGTTATATACCTCGCCAAACCCTGCACAGCAAAATCTCGTCCAGATAGAGAGAAAACTTATGTTTAAAAATGGTGCCTATATCCGTGCCGGCAGCAAATCGGCCGTCTAGCTCATCGCGCTTGCGAATGCTAGACAGCAACGGAAAGGCGAAAACAGAATGCGACTGAACTCGAGAGGAATACATGTCGTACGAGAAAAGGAAGTTGTACAAGGGAAGTGAACGGATGTCTTATTAGTTACAAAAGTTTGCAAAGGGAGTTGGGTAACACAGAGCAGAGCTGCATGTAAGCATTGATTGTCTCAAACGTCAACGCGAAAGAGATACGGAGTATTGTAGTACACCAGTCAACTAATGCATTGTCAAAAAAGTAATTTACTAAAAACTCTATTTATGGTGCACTCGTTATTTTGAATAACATCAGAAAGGAGAGTGCCCTCATTGTTTACGCTGTTAGCGGCGAACACAACGTCATAGCAATATTCAATGGCATAGGACATTGATTTAGCCTTTCCGACATGTAGGCGTAGGCGAAGGATTTGTAACCGCGCGGCAGCAACTACACGATACGGCCGCTATGTTGCCCCGTAAAGTTGAACAATTACTTTTGACTAGGCTGTGTAGAGAGCCAGGCTTAGGTTGTGATCAGTTAGGGCGATGCATTGTGCACATGTCGTGGCTATACGAATGAATACAACATCCTCTAGACTACCTACCTACCCATTTCAAGTGTAGAAAATCCATCAAACATGCAGGCGACCAGTTTGACGTGCTTGCGCGCTCTGAACAATGCGACCATTAGGAAGGAGCGAAATTCGGATAAATGAATGACTGCACTAAACTCGAAGGGGGGTTCCCGAAACAGGGCTTCTTTTGAACACAATACTTTTACCGTTGAACCATATACTGCCAGACCTGCGATGATTGTTTCTGAAAACTGATTTCAAGTATACGAGAAATTCATTGAGTCTCGATATTGACAACCGAATGCGGCAGTCGATGTCAATACTCCTCGGTCGTACTTATGACCTGAAGATGGCCAATCATATCAAGTCGAATTTGATTCATTAAAATAGTAGAAAGTCTGTCTCAGGACAAGTACGTCTATTGTCAACTAAAAATCTTCAGTCTTGATTCAAATTTGAATTTGTAGACAATGTAAACCTCTAAATATGTCATTCACACAAGTACATGTGAGGAGTCGGACTTGGCGATTTCGTTATTCCACCACTCACGACCGTAGAAAGCAAGATAGACCCACATCAACACCAGGTCGGGTCATCTTCCAACGAAATATAACCTCAACATCAACCTCAACTTTCCTGCCATCTTCATTTCCCAGAACTAAACTACCATACACAATTAGTCACCATGGCTTCCCAACTCCAGCCCGAGGCATTGCTCACATCGTTGTCCAGAGCCGGACTACTTCCCTCGCCCGTGATCCCAGCGACTTTCAAGCCCGCCGTCGAAGTATCTGTCTCCTTTAACGAGAAGCCCGTAGTGGCAGGGAATCTTTTCCGCGTCAGCGAGGTCTCTCAAGCTCCCGAAGTTACATTCACTCCCGAGGTAGGTAATCACACGAGCATGCCTCTCGATCCAATTCCCTTGGCACCTCGAGAAGAGACGTTGATTGTGGTCAATCAGACTGGAGCGAGTGGAACCACGCGGTATACACTCATCTTGACGGACCCTGATGCACCTACACCTGATGACCCGAAGTTTGCTTATTGGCGTCATTGGGTCGTGAGCAACATTGAGCCGAAGAAATCGTCAACGACGGGGAAGACTCTCACCCAGTACTTGGCGCCAGGACCAAAGGACGAGTCGAAGCCGCATCGCTATCTTTACTTGGTTTATCGTGAGCCTGAGGGGTTGAAATTAGAGAAAGAGGATGTTGGGGGTGAGGAGTTCGTGCAGAGGAGGAGTTTCCAGGTCAAGGAATGGGTTGAGAAACATGGTCTTGAGCTTGTGGGTGTGAACTGGATGTTGGGTGCTGGGGATGGCTGGAAGGAGTAGGAGCATCGAGACGTAGGAAAGAATGATGCATTTAGTAGAACTACCCAGACATGAATTAGCTTTGGATAATATCATAAAATGAATACCTATCTAACACCCATCAGCGCACCAAGTTCACGGCTTCAAAGGAAGAAAATTGATTTTTGGAACAATGGTAGTGGCAATTCTCACATTCGCTTGTTGTGTACAAAGCCACTTGATACATTTCATTTGTAATCATCTGTACAAAGAGTGTGTATGTGTATTGATATTATCTTATGCCTAGTCTCTACCGACCCCCACAGAACACTTGACTTTCGGTGGTGTTCTTTTGATGGGAAATAATGAAATTAATTTTTCTTGTGCGACTTCACGTTTTCCTGGCGCCTCTTCTCAAAGTACGCACAGTTTTTCGAGATCGACTGGCGGAGCTCGTCATGCAACTGTAAGAAGCTTTCGAACTCTTCAGGATCGGGAATATATTTACGTCGCAGCAACCAACCCAGATGGTTGATCATGGCAGTGTACAGCGGGTCTCGATTCGAGGTGCGGAACTTGATGACATCCAAGATCTCTTCATAGGTCGGGAGGCGTGTCTTCAGGTAGTCGACGTGATAGATGAGAATATGAGTCGCATACCGGTCCATTCCCAGCAAACGAGCAGCTTGGAGCCTCTTCAGGTTCTGGGAGAATGTATCTGCTGACGGAATTTGGTCTACCTCCTCTGCAACCGTGCAGCTCTCCCTGAGCCAGTCACCAAGCACGAATCGAACCGCGTTTGCGTCTGGGATGGTGTTCTTGAATCTGAAGTTGGTAACATGCATCCCCTTCCGAAGGTGGGTGTTTAGAACCGCAGACGCAGCCATGGCGGCTCGCCTCGGCAACTCCATGATCTTCTCGTCTCCGATATAGATTCCAACACGAGGGCCATTCGCTAGGCCACGGCGCTCGGATGGACACATCAGTCGGAGATCATCCAGCTTCTGGAACACGACCTGCTTAGGATCATGAGTCTTGGTGGGCAACGGTGCTGATGGAGCCTTGGACGTATTCTTGTTATGCTTCGCCATGTTTGCAAGGTGGATGCAGAGTAGGTTTCGAGTTGTACTAGAGATGCAGAGTGAGTTTCGAGTTGTACTAGAGATGTAGAGTGAGGAGGAAGTTATGTCGTCGAGCTTGTTGGTATTGGGTGTGCGTACTGTCGTTGACCTTTATAGAGGAGATGAGGCAACTTTCACAGCTATTGTGTTGTGTACGATTGTACAATGTCGGCGAATTGAATGGAGATTGTTGGTGGTCGCGAGCCGCTAAATAGTGGAAGTGAAGTGAGACAATGAGGTTCGTGCGTATGAACAATGAAAAGCTATGATTTCAAGGTGAGAATCACTTGGCAACGCGACGTTCAACACCCTGGTAGTGAACACCTTGCTACTACTTGAATGAATAAGGAAAGGACACATTCCTCGCAATGACGTTTCTTGATCAATACAATGTGAATCGAGCCGGAGTCGTTGAAGGCGGTATGATGGGACTTCATGATACATTGACTCTGCGGCTGTTAGCATTGTCTGGGAGGGTATACCCCCCGGAACTTCCTGATCCGTTGATTTAATGATTATCATTCATCTATACACTCATTGTGTAGTTGAAGATTGTACGATCTCCAGAAGTAGATCGTTCAAGGATGAAGTGGAAAATCATAGCTGACTCTTTACAGTGAGAAACGCGCTTACCAGCTGCATCCGTTCTTTTTGTTTTGTTCCTATTGCCGGACTAAGATCTAAGAAGGGTGAAAGTACTTTTATTAGATTGCGACATATTTCTCAGTCTGGACCGCAATAAGCACTCAACACGCGGACGATTAGTAGAACGTAGTGATTCAGATTTTGTTAGTTGATCATAATACCAAAGTTACGTGAGCGTATAATTTGTAACGTCACATTCGGGGCGATTATTTTGCAGTCAAAGATTCGAATTCATAGTCAGTAAGAGGAGTGTGTGCCATGAGGGTATGCAAGTGTGGTTCTCCATCTGCACGGTTGCACCTCCATGCTGTAGGTTTGCTTATCGCAAGTGTACTGGAACTGATTCCTTCATCAAGCGCGCTCCATGGTGAAAGTTTCGCCAAAAAAATGGAGAGATCATCATTCTACCTCGTCGCAAGCTTCATAGTTATCGACATCCTAAGTATGGCGACGGCTTGAGCGACGGCTTGGGCGAAGCTTTCGGACTACCGCCTGCTGCATCATCGGATGAGAACGCAGACGTTGCTCGGCTTGGACAGGGCTAAACTGCTCACTCTTCATATGCCTAGCAATACCTCGGGCAGCGCAACCGAAAAATGCAAGTGCATCGTCGTCTTCCAATCCAAGCCTATCGGCAGTGGCCGACATCTGTTCCAGTGTCCAGATCTCATCGTCATTTGGTAAGACGTTGTTGAAGTGTGCCCAGTAGAAGTTGAAGACGTGTTGGGAATACCTCATCATGCCCATCATGCGGGAGATGCGACAGATTGCCACATCCTGTTCGAGTACGTCGCGACGGACAATCTTGAAGTACTTGCGCGTACAGATGTCACGTAGCCACTCGAAAATGTAGAGCAGTGCATTCTTGCTAAGCCCTGCCGGAAGTCGAAGAACAAGATGCAGGGAGTCCTCGATTTCCCGGGCCTTCGTTGACATGGCCCGAAACAGTAGCCAAGGAATATTGCAGGCCCAAGTGTCACCGATGAAAACTTGTATAGTATTCCCCGCCGTCAATTCTACGCGTTGTTGTAACGAGAGCGATTCAACATCGACCAAGTGAGGGTTGCGAGAGTGCTTTTCCGAAGCTTTGCGGGCCTTGCCCTGAATCGTTGTCGATCGGTACAGTTGTTGATTGTTAGCCCGTATCAGAGATGCCGCAGAGGCTGTGGACATCGATGTAGCACCTCCGTCAGGAATCGTCGTCTGGATGACGCGAGGTGGGGGTAACGGTTGCATACCCGTCGTTTTCTCGATCGCAAATAACGCGGCCCCAACGGTGGAGATATTGGACGAAGCCAGCAGGGAAGGCTTGGGAGGATTCGGCATTTTGGTATCGTAGTTGTGGCCGATCTTCACAGTGCTGGTTGCTGGATCGCCGACTCTAAGGCGCCTTTTCGTAACTGGCCTAACGATGGTTAGCTATTTTTTTTCCATTTCGGAACAGCGCTCAGCTTACTTCTGGCTCTTGCTCGTTACAGCCTGAGCCTGTGATGCCATGACTTATGATGCAAGTGGTGATCGCGAATCTGATTCGTATGCCGGGGGTGGAGGTCGGACTGATATGTTGCAGACTCGTAGTGCAGTCAGAAAAGGTTGTTTATTAGTAAAATCGGTGGTGTGTTGTAGGTGAGAACTGACGCAGACAAATCTGCTAGTGAAGTTTGATGACGGTGTAGTGCAGTGATTTTCACCTTTACGATGTGTAATGAACCGCCCATAATGAGTGATAGATGACCTTACGAACCCTTACTCCCTTCACCTGGAATATCACATGTCATAGTAAATGAGTACGATCTGTCGCATGATTCTACAAGCTCTTGCAATTGTCCCTGGTCAATAGACCAATGCGATGAGGCTACCTCTGGAAATACCATGGTACAGCTCTCTAGTATAGCAGTCGAGTAAATCGGCGTTATCTGTACACGCTAGCAGAGGTGGTTATACATGAAGTTGACAACCTCGAACAGGAATACAGTGCAAGAATGTTAACTTGATTAGCGACCATTAAAATTACAAAATATCTTATCTTACACTCCGAAGAAAATCGCTAATCAGAGAGGAAATTACCCTTCTTCGCGCAATGATTGTACGCAGTAATTCATAAATGTTGGAGCCCGATGCATGCCATTGCCCGTCACCACTGCGCTTCTAGCACTTAAATAGTGTCTTTGACGCAGAATCTTTGGTATCGCGCAGGTTCACTTTTGATAATTAACAATTCAGAAGTCGAGAAGATTCGGTACCGGTTCGTAGGTCAAGTATGCTTGCCATAATGGACCAAGATGATCGCAAATAAATTCAACAAGTTTCACTCTCCAGAGGGAAGTGAACCATCTTGCCGGCTCCTCGTCGGCAAACATCTTGTCGATTTCAAAAGCCATCAGAATTAGTAAAGCCATGGAGCATCCTTGCTGCAGTAAGTCTAAATATCGATGAGGAACAACGTCGATCCAATCGATGAAGTCCCCGGACGCACCACCCATTTCCTCGACCTTTCTCATTCCTGTTATTGTGGTAGAGAGTATCGCCTTGTTGATACTGCTCTCGTTGGATTGGTCAAGTAGGTACTGGAGCTTGATGGCTTTTATTGTAGGTGGAGTACTCGCTGGTTCAGGCTTTCTGATCTTACGTTTAATTTTTCGTGAGTGTTCAGGATTCGTGCGCTTCAGCTCTTGGTCATGCGCCTCCATCAGGGGCCGTGCCTTATATACGGACATCATGATAGCTAGGGCTTGCTCAACATGATCCTTGCATCTCAAGTTCTGTGCTACCTGAGCTAGCCCGCATGAATAGATTACAGAGAGTGTTACCATGCCATACGCTGCCCCTAGATTCGACGATGTGATGTTGGTCACTGAGGAGTTGAATAATTTGACCGATTCCTGATGTAGAGCGAGGCTTCGGTCAAGGTCGTAGGCATGTTGAGGGTCATGAGGATGCCGTAGATAGCTTCTGTGTAACGCCGAAAATGCTAATATAGCATTCAAGAGATAATCGTGTTTCAAAGCCTGCTGAGGAATATCGACATTCCAGAAGATGTTTTCTGCACCTTTTGAAAGTAAAGTCTGACGTGTCTGACATATGAAGTGAGAAAAAAGATCTCTTTGTCCACGGTCCATGATCATTGTCGGGAGCACATTGATAAATATCAAGGGGGCAGGCTCGACCTGTAGTTCCTTGCGATGGGAGACGACTCTTAGTGGGGTAGGTGCTACGCTATCATCTCTATTTAGTGATAAAATTATCAGGGAATCATGTGAGATTGCGAACCTCTGAGTATATCCCTGACCAATCGTTTTCAATTTAGTCCTGTCATCTTCGAAGTCGCACCTCACTGCACGGCGGCGACAGTGATAGCATTTGGGAGCTTGTTCATCACACTTTTTGGTTCTTAGTTATCGATGGCGTATCAATGTTTAGGGGGATGACTCACTTTTATTCTCGAACGTTTACATTGACTACATCCATTTCGTGACTTGAAATGGGTCCGTCGCGATCCGCTTTTCAGCCCATCCATAGCACTCCAGCCACTATCCTGCACCAGATGGGATTACAAAGTCGTAACTTGCACTGTACGAAGCAGATATGAATTCATTGATTGTGGATTGAATTGATAAACGATATAGACCGTTGACTATGGGGAAAAAACTGCGAGGGTTCAGGCTAGGTTATGTTATGTCATCTCAGTCGCCCATAAGTGACTATGCATTGGGTGGTGGTAATGCCGCCAAGTTTCTCCACGCACCGGCCCGCTGCACTGCCTCCTTATGCGGGTCAAGTAAACGCGTACAGAGTGGCTGAAGGTATCGCGGTTGTTTAAATTGAGGCGTCGATGTTTGGTTCACATTTGCAAACACGGAGCATCGTTATCTGTGCTGCTTCGAATCAGCCGCGGCTTTCTCTCATGTTTCAGCCACTGACGCTGATTGGACCATGATGTAGACGAACTTTTCTGAGTGCGGACTAATACGTGCATGCGTTCCACTTTATCGTACTCTAAACTGTTTCTGTCGATACTTGGGCCAATCCGTCATGTTGGCGAGTCAAAAGAGTTATTGTTCAGCCTTGGCAAAGCAATCCAGGTTGTCGAATAGTTCATGATATATGCTATATGACGTTGGTAAAGCTCGTTTACACGAGCCTTATTCCATGGCTTATATCGCTGCCTAACGGACCTTACTCAATTTCCGCCTTTAATTAGCGCTGTATCCTTCATTTGTGAGCAAAATAACGCTTAGCTTAACCTTAGCTATGAACATGTTACGAACCATCGCAAATGCACAGTCGAATAAGCTTAGGGACGAAAATGCGGATAAAATTCTCGATATGTCGGAGCGCAATCGTGAAGCTGTTTAAGCGTCCATGGTTCCGACGAGTTTGGGTACGTGCTAGTATGAGACCGGGTCATATATTCCTGCCGAGAAAGAGAAACACAGATACTTCAAGAAGTAGCTGCCACAGAAAGCCTGGTTATAAGATGCGGAGATGGCGAAATAAGCGGTCATGCTTTTTGCAAAGCACTTACTTCGATAGAATATCTTAGTCGGGATTGGGTCGACCATGAGATTGTCTCTCAAACATTCTCAGTCGCAAGTCTGATGGACTTCACAGCCATGATCTCTATGAACGGAGACCAGCCGTCTTTGAACTTTCATTCCCTCCTAAAGCTTATAGACATGTTCCATACTCATGAGGCCTCCGATCCGCGCGACAAAGTCTATGCACTCTTGAACTTGGCCGTCCACGATAATCCGGCCCAGCTGTTGCGGCCGGATTACGAACTCTCCTGGAAACAGGTTTTCCGCCAACTTATTGAAACATTCGTCAGTATTGATGAAGATACAAAACTACACACCTGGGACGATCAACGCATTGCTATGATTCAAACTGAAGGAGGGTTACTTGGTCATGTTACCGAAGCACGAGGCAACAAAGAGATACAATCAATCGGAGTAGAAATTTGGGATACTACGCCCGTCAGATACCGCGGCCGCCTTTCAAAATACTTCTCTCAGGGTATCAAGAACTTCAGGCTCTCACGTGGAGCTAAGGATATCTGCGCTGGTGATCTTTTATGTGTTCTCTAGGATACGGAAGTACCGATCGTCGTACGACTTTGTGATGGCCATCTTTAATTGATCGCTGCCAGTTTTCCAAATCCAGAATTTCTTTCGAGTGAAAATGAGGAGGAAAGGCATGAATGTAGCAAAAACTGGAGCAGAATTCTCGAAACAGTAAGTAGCGAGCGCAGACCTGTGTTCCTCGTCTGGGATTGGAATGATAGGCAACCCACACCCAAGCCTACAGATAGGGTCCGCACGCTTCTTTCCGACCCAACTCAAGACATGCCGAATTACGAACAGCGTACTAAGACCATTTCGCGACTCTTGGGCATCCAAGCTCACGTACAAAGGATCGAAGAATTTCACGAGCAATCTTCCACGGAGAGAACCGGACAACGAACCGAATGCTCGGATCTGGTTGATGGTACTCGAGTGCGCTTCCAGAATATATGGAGCCCTCCAACCTGATCAAGGCACTCCCACATCTCAGCTCAAGAACTCTAGGCCACTAATCATGACGGTAAAGGGCGTGTTAATATGTCTGATGAGAGTGTATCACTTCATAGGATCATAGAGTATGCCACTAATGTTCGAGCGTCTTCACAGACAGAGCAGATCGTTGGTCACCAGTTCGTGGACTGTAGTATATCGAAGGTTAATTATTTCATAGTGTTCACATTTGTAGCGTCATAATTTGAAGCTAGTTGATCCTCCTAGTGACCTTGCCCTTCCCTCCATTTACCTTTAGGGGCTCCTGGTCAGGAATAACCACGTTGCCCTTAGTTTCACTAGGCGTATCCCATTCGATAGTAATGTTGCCTCCCCCGATCTCAATTTTCGCGGAAAACTTTCCTAGCTTGGTAGTAAATCCCGCCTCTGCGGCATCAATACTTTCAACGACAACAGGTTTGATTTCCCAGGATTCACCAGCAGGTTCTGTCACCCGTAGTCCAACAATATGTTCCGTCAACACGGACGTAGGCCCACTACTCCATGAATGCGCGTGGGACATGTACGATGGGTTCGCGTAGCCCATGTTAAATCTATAAAACCAGCTGCCATCCACAAGGTGACCTTCGGAGACAGTTGATTGCGTTCCGTTCTCGTTGTTCAAGTACCACCCCCAGAGCGTTCGTGCCAAATCTATGGTACGGTCAGGTCGTCCCGCCCGCACATGCGCACTGAGTTCGACACTCGAGATGAACGGCGATACATTTTCTGGAAGCTCTGGGCATGACGGTCCTACTGGCGTCCACCTAGAAGCGAGATAATCCGAGATACGGGCCGCTTCGTTCGATCCGGAAGACACTACTCCAAAAGACAGGGCGAATGAATTCGCATCTTGCGGGTAAAGGCTACTATTCTTAGGATTCTCGGTGAAAGCACCCTTATTCTCATCCCAGAACTGCTCCATGATGGCATTTTTGAGCGTAGCTGCCCTCTCACGATAGGTTCTCGCCAGATTAGTGTTCGAGGTTGAGGGAAGCCAGGACGCCATATCGGCTGAAGTATTGAGAATATGAAATAACCTATCACATAATTCTACGCATAAGCGATTGACAATGTATAGGAGCCATATGAGTGTACTTACAACATGCTGGCCGAGGAACGTAGATCGCCATACGTAAGTCTTCCCCAGTCACGATACTGCTGAACCTTGACAACGCCAGTCGAATTATCGATTAGGGACAAGGCGTAGCCAAGTGCTGCTTGGTGTTTTGGCCATATCGATTCAACAAGATCGACATCTCCCGAGTAAAGAAAGTAATTGTAGGCACCGACCATAGCCCAGAGATGGTAAGCTACATATTGTATTTAGCATTCTTGCTGTTAAATCGCGACAGATCTACTACCCGGTTGACTTGCCATCACTGTCATACTTCACGTAAGGTGGCCCAGCCTTAGGCAATGCGCCATCGGATGATCGCTATTTGCAATTTCAGTATACTTTCTTTTTCAATATTCCATCCTTTCACTGGCTGCTTACCTGGTTATCATACACAGAGAGAAGTGCATATTTTGTGCTGTTAAGCTCTCCCAAGCTTACGAAAGCGCTGGGAACCGCGACCCCTAAGTCTCCTGCCCAGACCCATCGATCTCTCTTTGCACCATCCAGGAGCACGGTTGAACCCTTCGTTATGAACGCATCATTTCTCCACCCGGCCTCACCCGATTTGACAGAGTTGCGACCGTGGCTGCCAGACACGGAATTAGTTTGCACCGTATATGCGCCAGCGTACCATATCTTGTTCAGGAGCTCATCGTTAGAGTGGAAATAGCCCCCATATGCCCTGAGATTTGACCACGTCGGCTGAAAGCTGATTTCGACAGTAACATTAGAAATCACGAAGCTGCTATCTTGAAGAGCAGAATCCAGGTACACGGTCAAATAGCGGAAGCCGCCTCTCAGCTGCGCGGTTGGTAGGACATAGTGACCGCTGCCCTTCGTTGCATCCACAAGTAATGCACCATCACCAGGCTCCTTCTTACTGTCAGCTCGTGAGCTATCGCCAACGCGGCCTATGAAATCTCTGGCCTCTGTGAAGGCAAGGCCAAATTTCCTGGAGTTGCCTCCCTTCGATTCGTAGTCGAAAGCTATTACCCCACCGGCTTCGATTCCAAAATCGAAAACTGCTTCGGACCTTGACCGATTCAACAATGTCTTCTCATCAGTGCTGTAAGGCGAATCAGTGCCTTTGTCGGAAGAAATCAATATAGATTGGGGAGATAATGTCCTAGACTGTGGAGAATATATGTTTGCCTCCCATCGTCCTGGGAAAGAAGCTTCCGTCTGGGTTGAGCAGATGGTGTCCCTCCAGCAAGAGGCGGCGAAGGACGTGGATAGGAGCGCACTCCAGGTTATGGCGCTTCCAAACATCTTCCAAACGCGCCGATGATGTCGATAAAAGCCCAAAGAATAGGAGATCAAGTTAGTCTCTAAGTATGAGTAATCGCATGGAACAAAGGTCTGTACGTCTGCATGCGTTTGACCCAGCTGAAATCGTAATCCTTACGGGGATCGAAGTGTTCTAGTACTGTGCGGTCGTGAGCAGCAATTCAAGAAGTGACATGGCGACATCCAGAAAAAGACGCAAGGATAGAGAATACCATACGCGATTCTCTCTATGCAGCGTGCGAAGCCGGGGTCATACCGTTAATGTTGCCATGTCGGTTCAAGCTACCCCGGGTTTTCGTTTAGCGAAAAGATTTCCCCGCAGGATATCTACAGTCAGGTTAGGGCGAAAGGGTCGTACATCGCAATCGCATTCACAAAAGATCTGAGAGTGCGAAATTTCCTCACATAGGTAATCCTTCCGACTTGATGAGTGCGTTGTTTGCGCTGCATTGTAGATTTCCATAAGGTAAGGATACAATACTCGTTATAGCCAACGGAAGCCCAAATACGAGAAGTTCCAAGCGTTGGCCGTAGAACTACAAAGGTCTATGATGCCCTGTCTTCGCTGGATGTTGCCCCGAAATACCAATCGGGATCAGGTACCCGTTAGATTTACCCCGCGCCCGTACCTGAATAACATTTTATCTTCTTCATTGGTCCTGGTATCCCCACGGAAAGATGGCAAACTCGTTCGGGCGGATGGGTGGATCAATTGATGCACAACAAATATCATCGATTTGGAAATGGAATTGGAACCCTCTAAAGCATGAAACAAATCTCATTCGTGGACTGAAATGCGCCTGTTCGCGAAGAAGTTGTCCGAAGATATCTTGACCGTACAACGGTGGTGCATTTCCTGCGTAGAAGACCCCGATCGATCCAGATTTACTGCATGTTTTTCTCCAGATAAGAGGAATTGACAATCGCCTTGTGAACGACCGTCCACCGAGAGATAATCTAGAACATCTCGCGCATGCTTAAATTGCCATCGTCATTTCGAGGAAAATGCGTTTCTTCCAGATCATCATCGCTTGTGCTTTTATATCTTCCGCGCAAGCTGCACCCTCTTCAGGCGGAAGGCGAACTTGTGTGGTGCCAGCTAGTGGTACAAACCAAACAGACGATGCGCCCGCTATACTAAAAGCATTCAAGAAGTGTGGGAAGGGGGGAAGGGTGGTCTTTGAAGACAAGACGTATTATGTTAACTCTGCCCTGAATATTACATGGCTGGAAGATGTTGAAATAGATGTCTATGGTACACTGTTGGTATGTACCATTTTGTAGCGAAGGTCTACATTGGCAAAGGCTAATTTACTGCGATAGTGGAGTACTGACATCCAATATTGGTTGAATAACTCGTTACCCGTTGGTTACCAAAACCAATCTACAGCTCTAGTGTTAGGCGGAAACAAAGTCACTCTTGACGGGCATGGTCAAGGTATATTCAATGGCAATGGCGATTTCTGGTATCGTTGGATCAGCCAGCAAGAGAATTCGTCCAACTACCCCGGCCGGCCCCATGCAGTCACATTCAACGGACTGACAAATTCCATCGTGCGTGGCTTGACGTTCCTGCGCAGTCAGATGTGGTGCGTGGTCAAGTTCGATGTGCGAGCTAATATGGGTACTAATTTCATCAGGACTATGTCAATCATCTACTCCCATCATGTCGAATTGTCACATATATTAGTAAATAATACCGGGAATTTTGTCGATAGCTGTAACGTCCGTCCCTGCGTAACGAAAAACCCTCCGTGCCGAAAAGGATTCTACAAATAGTCAGGCTGCATCCTCCAACTTAGTGGAATTAGGGTA